CGACCCACGAAGGGAAAGGAGGGTTGTACAGCGGACATATTGCACACAGGAAGGGGACGGTGAGATGCGTTCCTTGCAAACCAAAGACGACCCTGCGTACAGCGCCAAAGTAGAGAACTGGCGTAAGGGGCTGCGTTGCGTTGATGTGTGCGTAGGTGGGTACGTTGCGACGTTTGTTGCGTTGTAGGCTGGTCGCGAAATCCTATCACACTGTCCTTGTACGGATACATACATACCGTCTGCGGTTGGTTACGGCGCACAACTCACTCGACTTACTGTAGTATCAACGCCTTTGTACCTGCCTCTTCTGCGAACACCACCTACACCACCCCCCTGCAGGTTGGTGCAACCACAGAGCGGCACACCGACACGAAACCGCACTTCATCCCTATTGCAACCACATCCCTGTCTTTCGGCAACCACCCAAACACTTCCCACACCCTCTCGATCAACTCTTGAGATGCCTATGCGATATTCAGTATTCACGATGTGATCCGTCAAATTAAAATACAGTCGCATACGTGGTACACCTCCTTCCTAAACCTTTTACATATCAACCCCTACAATAACGCCAAAAGCTCCTCCACGAAGACCTCTCCCTCGCTCCTTCCTTGGCCTGAAACGCAAACCATCCACCACCCGGTATCACGGGGTGGAGCACAACCCCAGCGGCCCGCACACAGCAACACACAACTACCATCTCACAACAACACAACGCCCACACCACCACCACCATAACTACCAACACCAGCAGGTGCAATGCGCACCCACACATGCGTTCCTTTCGCTTGGCAAACCCAACCGACCGTGCGTATGTAGGTACGCAACGACCGCGAAACGGAGAAACGTACAGCTACTACAGCAATCAGATCATGCACCCAGCTACCCCGCATGCACCTGCGCTACACCCGCACAGCAACCTGATGTGCAATAACGTGCGGCGGAAACCAACCTGCCGCAACTTACCCCAGCAGCCCGGAAAGCGCCACCGCCAGCGGTAGCACCCAGTAACATAACCTTCTACTGCCGCCGTTCGCGGCTGCTGCTGTGACAGCTCCTTCTGCCGTTGTCCCCTTCTGCTACCCCGGTCTTTGCGTCATTGCCATTGTCTCGGCCGCTGCTGACCCACCCCGCTTTAAACAAACCCTGGGACTCCGTTGATGCATTTATCTATATCACCCCCCCTTTGAACAAACCAACATTGCCCCGTAACCAACTACTATTTCCATTAAGCGTGCAAGCGAACACCTCTACTTCTAAACCCTGCTACTTCTAAACCCTGCTACTTCTAAACACATACACATGCTGCAAACCAAAAGGGAAAATCCGGTAATGTTGAGTTCATTGGTCTGTAGCCACCGGTATACGTTCCTCCTCGCTAGGCGGTATCAGGTGCAATGACGGATGCATGTGTGCGCGGCGCTTCGCCCTCCCTAAGGAACGCACCAGCGGAGTAGAGCCTGGCGGAGACGTGAGCGACTCTAAAGCCCCCCAAGCCTACATAGCCCTCGGCAGAAGCTACTCCCAAGAAGAGCCCCAAGCTGCGACATACCGCCTCAAGCCACCCTCTGGGGCCCCCCTCAGTCCTCACCAGCCGCCCCCGTCCCCGCCTCCACACTCACCACCGCCGCCGCGTAGCTGACGCTGCTGTGCGACTGCGCGGTGCACCGGCTCGACTGGTCGTACTGTGTGAAGCGGATGCGGTGGCGGGTACGGCAGTGCTGCAGCATCTGCGGCATCAGGGGGGATGCGGTAGGCAGGTGGCACACACAGGCAGGCAGGTGGCACATGCTGCTGCCGAACGTAGGGCGGTCATGTGCATGCAGGGTGAGCGCAGCCGCCCACACCTCCCTGCCCTCGCGCCACCCCAACTCCACCTTCGCCCCGCCAACCCCGCTGGAGTGCATGCTCGCCCACCCGCAGGCCCCTTCGGCGCCTCGCAAGGAAACCCAGCCATACACCACCCTGCAGCACCCCCTCGTCGCGCAGTGCATGCCTCCACACCTCAGCCCCCACGGCCCCCGCAGCCCCCAAAGCCCCCGCAGCCCCCACAGCCCCCATGCAACCCACGCATGAACCCACGTTCAGGAAGAGGCCGATGGGGTGGCGGCCGCAGATGGTGTTTTTGTAGCGCTCCTGGTAGCTGGCGAAGGCCGCCGGGTCGCCCTGGGGGGGACACGTAGGGGGTGATCGGGGGAGAGCGGGGGGGGCTTCATACCGGGATCCCTTCCTTAGCCCCCCCGCTACACCTAGTCCTGCCCTACCCAACCCCCCGTCACGGCAAGCACCCGGAGTCAGCACAGCCACCCCACCGTCTCGATCGCGCGCATGCCCTGCTGGTCCAGCCACTTGATGGACTCCCAGATCTGGCCCTGAGGGAGGACGGTGGGGGGAGGACGGTGAGGGGAGAGCGCATGCATGGGGAAAGAACCGACGAGAAAGAGTCATGCGATTTCAATACCGCAGATGGCTGAAGGTGGGCCGGCAGGGCAGGGCAGGGAAGTAGTTGGGCAGGGCAATGACGCCTGCCAGCAACCCTAACCAGGTACGGAAGCTGGGCGCTCGCCTACAAGGAGGCGGCGATGCAGGGGTTAGGTGACGTGGAAACCCCTCTCCTCCCCCCAGCAATGCACCTGCTCTCGGTCATAGTAGGTATAGCTGAACCTGGAGCCCCAGTGGCAGAAGTCGCTGGAGATTACGAAGAGGTTGGTCGGGTCGTCCAGGTACGGCGCCAGCAGCTTGCCGTACGAGGCCTCACTGACGGTGTCGTAATAGTAGGATGAATGAAGCGGGCAAGAGAGGACAGAGACACGGAAGAGATGTGACCCATGGGTCACATGAGAGCAGTGTGAGGACGGTACAACAGCAAGCTAGCGGCAAGGAAGGAAGGCGGCATGGATGGATGGACCACACGCAGGCTCAAGGCAGGTAAACATGTACAGGAATACCCTGAACAGTGTCACACAGCCCTTCCATCCGGTCCCTCCAAACAAATAAAGCCCCCCACTCACGCTTCCCCCGTGAGCGCCCCAACCATGATGGGCACCAGCCGGAACTCCTGGCCCCGCATCGTGTGTACGATGTACGGCGTGTGGAGCTCCAGACTGTGCTCGTCCTGCGGCACACGCAGCAATAGCGGCCATGATGCAACCCATGGTGCAGCCTCGCTACCCCCCCTACGCCGCCAACCCCCGCATGTATCCCCCCCCAGGTGCAGGCCACACACCCCACCTCGTCCACCTCGAGGTCCATGTCCTCGAAGCGCCCGGTGGCCCTCAGCTGGCCGTACACCTCCGAATCGATCTGCATGGGGCCTGAAGAGGGAGGGAGACCGCAAGGGGAGGAACGCACAGTCGCTGACTCACAGCTGCATAGCCGCTTGGGTTGGGTGGCATGCCTTACTTGGCACAACTTCTTCCCCCCCTGCAGTAGGCTGGAGTGCCCCTTTTGCTCCCAATCCCAACCCACTCCCGACCCGCAGCTCTCACCTAGTGGTGTGTCGTACACCGCCTGGGAGGAGAGCAGGCACTTTCGCGAGAAGACGTGGTGCGAGGGGCCCAACAGAAACACACGCTTGCTGCCCGGGGAGGCGGGCGAGTGAGAGTTTGGGGTTTGTGGGGGGGGCGGGGAAGGACGGAGGAGGACGGAGGAGGTTTGGAATTAGTGTAGATGGATGAGGGGCGGGACATGTGGCTGGAGAGTATGGTGGGCTGCGTAGGGCGAGCCAAACGTGCCCGCCATGTTTGTGCGCGTTGGTGGGCAGGAAATTGTTGCAACCTTTGTTTCGGGGGCTATAGAGGGCGCGTGTCAACGCGCGCGTGTGTGTGTGGCACTACTACTTACAATTTGGTAGGGTCGATGTGCGCGTATGCATGAGCCATTACGTGTCCACAGTAGGAGTAGCCGGCGTGGCTTTTGTTTGGGTTTGGGATAGTAGGCATCAGGAGGGGTTGGGGGTTGGGCCAAGGGTTGGGGGAAAGGCCAGGAGGGAGCAGGTGGAGGTTAGGGGTTTATGGTTAGGTTGCGAAACGACAAAGAAAGGTGGGAATGGTGGTGCGCTTGAGAGCGTGCAAGCGGCAGCACTTCAAGCCTCCTGCTGTTCACCGTTGGAGGGATGCTGGAGCGAAGAGGGATGAGGCGCGCGTATGCAGAGGACGATGATGAGGATTGGAGATTGTGGTAAAAGAGGGGTAAGCAGGGGGTTCGGCGACTGTTAGGAAGTACAACCTTTGGAAGGTCCCCGGACAAGAAGGTTAGGCCCCAAGCAAGGACGCAAGCAGATTGTTCGTGCGGGGTGGCGCATAAGGCGATTTGATCGTGCTGCCGGGATTTGCTGCCTGTGCCCTTCGGATTTGGTAAAGGTGGGCGCACAAAGCAGCGTTTGGGACCCGAGTGCCGACATGTTACACCTACGGGCCAATGATAGCTCGCGCGGGCAGGCCTGGTAGCGGCTCCACAGCTGCTTTCCATTTGCTGATTTCAGCCTCAAGAGCGGCAGCTGCGGGTAGCGTCCGAGGACTGGAATGAGCAAAGCGACATTTGGAGGATATGCACGCAACAACTGCTATCAGACCCACCATCGCCTTTATACCACGAGTTGGCATGAGAGGGTCGCCGCACCCTGGGCATCCTACTCGGGTTCGCTCTACGGAAGAGACTGAAGCAAAGAGTCAGGGTTCTTTCAACTCCTCGCGACGAGGACGGTAGAAAAGATCGAGGCAGAGAAATCCGACGATATACGGCCCTTCAAAGGTCGCTTTGTCTGTGAAGAAGCATGCGAGATAGACGCATGGGATATGCCAGCTCAGGCTCCACTCTTGGTTTCGCTGTACACCCTTGGTCATGACCCTCATGGAGCTCATTGACACATGAAACAATATGACTAAGCCCTCATCAGGGGAACCTATCTCAAGCACAGAGCTTATTAAGGCTTGGTTGATGACTGAGGTTGCCTTCCTCATCAACCGTCGTAGGTTGGAAGCTTGCGTCAAAAACTGGTCAGTTAAGCCAAAGGCAAAGCTAAAGCCATTGAAAGCATATATCATTGAGCGATAACCTGAGCCGACTTGAGGTAAGCCCTGGAATAACAGCAAACTACCAGGCCTCATGGATGCTTGCTGCAGCAAGTTGAGAATGCGGTCATGGGATATACACCATAAGACGCAGATGATAGTATATCTCAATAATGCCGACCTGGCGTTAGGTCAACCTGGCGCAAATGCTTGAAGAGTACGGCGGCCCATATAGGGGACCCTGATCCGGACTAACTTCGTTTCTCACAGTGTCCTTGACTCCCCTGGCTGGTACGGACACACTGTACACGCGTACAGACTGTAACTGTAACTGCGTGAAGAGCAGCTCCACGTGTGCGCGTCGCTTACACCGTTCATAGTCGGTTGGGCGGGGCAGCAGCCCTCAGTTTGTAGTTTTGTGTGACATTACCTGTACCCAAGTGCAAGCAGCAGGACAGCCCTCACGATTCTAGCGCCTTGGAAGCCATGGGACTTCTTAGGGACCCTACTGCAGAGGTCCAGAAAGGTGCATTTCAGATTAACCGTACACGTGTGCCACGCACCTGCTACATCAGCCATAGCCACACCTGCATGCCTAGGGCCGCAGCCTTGTGCTTCAGTTCTTAGCGTTCCTTACGTTACAGCGGACAGGCGCGTACAGGCTCCTGCAGTACCGTACCATGCGTTGTGTTCATAGTCACGGATGCACGTGTGTGTGAAGCGATATGGTGGCGTTGGGCGCAACGGGGAGTGGCCTTACATGAGTACAGTAGGAGGCTGTCCACACCAGGTCCACGTAATTCACTGCATGTGTGCAGCTGAGCACGGACGCTACTGCACAGCTTGAGGTCACCAAGCTAACGCAACATGTGCGCCCAAGCCTTGCAGCCATGCCCACAGGTATTCCTTCCATTAATGGCGTCGACCTAGTAATGTTCCTTCCAGTAATAACGGGGCCCTACCCAAGCTCTCTGACAGAACGCCGTCTATACGGTACCGGCCTTTACTGTCCTTGTCAGGGTGTGTCACATGATGCTTTCTGCAACCAGATAGTAAACAATTCCGGCACCCGAGGCATCCCCTTGCAGCAAGCATTCTTCCATTCAGTGCCCATACCCACTGCCCCTAAGGTGCTGAAGAGGACTAACAGCATTAAAGCGTTCGTAGATCACCCCGGTGGCCCAATGAACACAGCGCATGGAGGCCACGAAGCACATCCGAGTGTGCAGTAGCGTGCATGCGTTTGGCCCGGCGGGCTTGGTTAGCATCAGACTGCCCACATCAATTCGCATCAAAACCCCGCGACCAAGCTGCGAATTTAATTGAGATCACGTGCCGTGTGAAACCAAGCCAAACACAACATGGCTCCAGTTCCCATGCCCGGAACAGTTAACTTCAAACACAACAGGAAAGGAGTCACGGAATCAGAGCATGTCAGAGGTCACAGACGCACCAGACCCAACTTGCAACATTGGCTCAGAGAAACTCGCAGCGTGGTCGTGTGGAAAATTGCCGTTGTACGGACTCGCCGTTCAGTTGCATTAAGAGACGCAACCGACTTGTTAATATAAGACGGCGCTACCCCGAGCTCAACCAGCCAATCAAGAGGAGCAAGGAGTGTGCAGGAAACAACGAGACACGGAGGAGACTCTGCTACGCCAAGATCCTGCAATGCCGCACACATCGCATGGTACATAGGGGCCGTCAACCTACTTGCATGAATTCGACACCAGTTTCGTGTGGCGCCCCGCGCGCGTCGCTGCACAGCAAGTCCACGCATGGCTACAAGCAACAGCTTACCGAACTAATGGCACGCTTAATTTACTGCCGCCGGGTGTCCCCCTGGTGTAAATGTCCCCTACAGCCACGCCTTCAAGTCACCAAGTCATCAGCAATATTTCATTTTCCATACGGATCGCCACATCATGCAACGTCTCTTGACACTGGGTGCAAAAACCAGTAAAAATGCAACGTACCTCAAAAGCACAACAGCAACAACAGGGACTTCTCGGAAACCTCTAGGGACACTCGCCAGCGCCCAGCAGTCCCCGCCAGCAACAGCAAAAGTGTTCTAATATTAGCCACTGCGCATGATAAGCTTTTGCCTTGACTCACATGCGATTGAAGCTCAACAGGGGGCAACAGGGCATCCCCGTAGGAGCGAAGCAAAACGCATACCCCAACACAATACATCGCATCTGGCGTCGTTCCCAACAGATAGCAAAAGCAGCAGTCAAGGATGAAAACGTGTCGACGTCAGCACCTCACGTGGCCGTCAAGGATTTCGCGTACCATCCAGGTGGCAACGCGCAGGTCGCAAGCAAGCAAACATACACCCCACATGCATGGACGCAACTCCAATGCCAGGCAAATACGGTCATTCATGGAGCCGCCAAAAACAAAACAACAGCCTCGGAGAACCATGGGTCAATACGTGTCGTCACAAGAGTACCTGATGACAAATTATTTGGCCACCGTAGACACCATTCCCAACGATCGTCAGCATGCAACATTACCTCGAGACAACGCACGCAAGCCACACAAGAGAGAGCCACCTGCTAGTGAATCTATACCTCCGTCATAACAAAGCCATAATACCTGCCAAAACGCACACCCAGCCCGGTAACGGTAACACGCACACACAGCTTTCAGCAGCCATCTGCACAGTCCAGGAAACGCCCCCCACACGACGGGATTCTCCATCTGTTTTGCAATACTAGGTAGGCCAAATTGGCACTTGAGGGTACATAGGAAAGGCAAGGGGCTGCAGGGAAGGCCGCATTCCTTGACCGCCCCAGCGCACGTGCGTACACCGCCTCTGCAGCCTCACTCGGCACTTAGGCAAGGGGAGCCTTGCCCGCTAGCACCACGCGACTCTTGGAGGGCCGGGGTGCTTAGACCATCACTGCGCACTCCATACAACACTTCGCAAGGCGACTCATTCTTCATTGACCGACCAAACCGAATCGAGCAACGTAGCATGTGAAAAGCTTCGCTTGCACGCTCTCTGCCCTCTCTCCACGTCGCCGCATACACACTCAACCCGCCCTGCAGGAAAAGCATCATCCATGAGACGCACATGCACACGCGTTTCAGTGGGGACTAACCTTCCAGCAAGCACAGTGTGTTCTGGCTCGCGGCCCGTTCTTCTCCACGCACAGGACGCGCGATCCAGCTTCCAATGAGCGTTGCACGGTGAACACCACCACAACACGCACGGCAATGTCCTGCGCGGAAGGTCCGCAGGACAGGATAACACCGTCTTTGCGCCTGACCTCCCAAGAACCAAGAACCAGCGCCACACTGCGTGACTAACACATGCATTCATCATATCTTTATTAGCTTGTATAAGAAAACAAGCACAAACGTCAGCAGGCCAACGGACAAAACGTATGCCGGACACACGGGGTGTGAAGGGGAGAGCACCACTCGCGCGACGTGTAACAGTCACACACTATGGTGGGATACTTATGAGGTCAATACCCCAATGAGGTGAAAACAACGCAAGTAGTCAGAACGGGTTGTTTTACGGACCCCGCTGATGAGGCACGAGAATCACAAGCCGAAAACCACGGGGCTAACATGCAACGCTGCAGACCGTAAGTGCTGCCTTGCTGTTGCGATACTACTATAGGCACAGCGCCCCAACAAGACGGCATCTGCGCGCACAACCCACCGGAGTGTCGTACTTGGAGAAAGGGCCATTGGGGCATCACAGAATGGTTCGTCCAAACGTCCTTAGGGTCTCAGGTTGACTTCGCACGGCAGGCAAATGCACGAGGACAGCGGTTGCATTGCACAGGCAGCACGACCTGAAACACGACAGCATGCAACGTACGCGCGCGGGCATGAGACGCCACGTCGGCAGAAGGCATACAGGCAACACAGCGTGCCACAGCATGCCAAAGGCACAAGAGGGAAGGCGCACGTTGTGAGTCCTCAACCCTTGCAACAGCTCCAGCGCAGCGATCAAGAGTAAACAGAGGATTCACCCCACACCTCCAGCCACAAGACCCCAGCAACCCCAGGACTGCTCGCCTTCCGCACAGCATGAAGGAACCCATGCGTCATACCCTGCAAGCATCCCTGAAAGCATACATGCATACATTCATGCAGATGCACACCCTGCGGCACGGGAAAACCCCATCCCGAATTCAGCATCAGCACTGTCTTCTTGTGCTCTTCAAAGCGCAGCGCTCAATCTTGCCACACCAGTGCAAGCATCACTCCCTCCCCACCTGCAATCATGCTGTAGCACACCACCACCCGCTTACAACCTCACCAACCCTAGCTCCAACATCACACCCTCCTGCATGGCCGCTCCCACATCCAAGGGCCCTCGCAACCCCTTTCCCTCCTCTCGTCCTTTGCCCCTCCTACTACAGCTTGCCGCCTATCCCCTTAATCGCCTTCTTCACCGCCTTCACAAACTTGGACAACGCGCCCGACTTGCTCTCCCTCCTCCTAGTGCTGCTAGACCGGTCTAAAGACGCCTCCGTCAACCGGTACACCTCGCTCGCGTCTCGGCTGCGTCGGCTCCAGTTCAAAGCCACGGCAGACGCTGCCACGCCGCCCTCCTCCTCTCCCACACACACCGTAGCGACCGCAGCCGTGCCCGATCCCTCTAACGATCGGGACGTCATGCTTCGGAACGCAGAAGGCAACATGGCGGAACTGGTGCGTGGGGGCTTCTGCGATTCAGACCGTTGAAGGGGATACTTTGGCGGCGTCTGTGCCGGTGATGGCTGCGCCTCTCCCACTACAGTCATCATTGAATGCGGCGGTGGCGGCGGTGGCGATGGAGACATGTACGCCCCCTCCCGGCGAGCAGCGTAGCGCTGCTGGTAGTGCTCCAATGGCGGTGAGAGCGATTCCCCGTCGTAGGCGCCCACGCTGCGGGCCGTGGTGAAGGAGCAGAAGCGGCTGCGGTTGCGACTGACCGGCGCAGGCGCCGGAGCCACCTTGACATTCAAGCCGCCTCTCAGGCTGGTCCTGCTGCCGCTGCGTAGCCCGGCTCGCCCAGCCGCAGGAGAGCCCACCGCCCCGATGGCTGCTGCTGCGGCGGCGGCGGCGGCGGAGCCGCTGGAATGGCGGTGCTCCATGGGCATTTCCACGCCGGCGCCGTAGTCCGTAGCGCCACTCAGGCTGACCTTCCCCATGCATGGAACGGCGTCTGCGTCAGCGCCGCCGGGCGTCGTGGCGCTGTGCGGGTGGGGAGGCAGCGGCACCCCGCGTCCCTCCGCACAATCCTCCGCTGCATGCTCGCCGCCGTCGCCCTCCAGCAGCGAACCCATGCGCGGTGTGGGGTCGCCGGTGTAGCTGCAACCCAGCCGCCGCGGCACGCCGGCTGCCGGTCCATAGTCACGACCGCCACCCATCAGCGTGTGCGTGTGGAGGTGCAACAAGGAGGGTTTCCGCCTCACGTGCATGCTGCCACCACCAACGCTGCTGCCGCCTCCGCCAGCGGCCGCAGCAGCGTCTGGAGTTAGCAGCTGGGGCTGCTGCAGGCGTGCTGAGCGTGATGTGAGGAGCTGAGGCCGCGGCGCGCTCACAGGGTGCAACTCCACCGACCTCCGCGATCTAAACTGCTGCTCTTGCTGCTGCTGACCCCGTATCGTTGTGTGTTGCTGCTGTCGGGAGGCTCCGTCCGCCGACGCCGCCATAGCCGTCGCCGCGCCGGCAGCAGACGCAAAGGCATTCTCCTCGTCAAAATCTCCGCTAAGCGAGGGCGACAGCCCAGGTCCCAGCATAACCATTCCCGCCGGCGTCCCGCCACTGGATCCCCGTACCGCAGCGAAACGCCGTACATGCGGGGGAGGTCCGACTTGGGACGGTACGACAGGCGCCATGGGGGCGCCGGTGGGTGTGGAGCACTCGCCCAGGGCCGGCATGGGATTCATGGAGCCATCCATTCCGCCCCCGCTTGCCGCCATGGAAAGGTAGTAGGAGGAGTTCGGGCTGACCATGCTGCTGGTCTGCGGATCGTAGGGTATGCCGCCACCGCTGCCGCCGTCGCCAACCCCGCAACCGTAGGTTCGGCCAGGCGCGGGAGCCGGAGGGCCGCAACGTAGGCGCGCCAGCGCCGCTGACGGCGCACTGGGGCACTGTTCAAATTTGGCGGTGTCGCAGCGCCCAAGCGCGCCAGACGTTAAGGCGGCCGACATGGCGGTTGACCCGAGAAGGCGCGCGGTGGAGGTGTCAGCGGTGGGAGCACTGAAGGCCTCAGCTAGCAATGGAGAGGGGCTTGAGGGCGCGCCTGAGAAGGGCGTCGGTCCTCGCCAAGACACGCCAGAAGGCGAGGGGGTGGCGGCGGCGGCGGAACACTCGCCAGCGGTGGCAGGAGCAGCAGCAGTGGCGCCGCCGCCGCCCACTGCGGCACTCCCCACTGGAAACGGTGAGCCGTTGAAAGTGGCAGGCGGCGGGGCACTCAGTGCGGTTACAAACACAGTCGGGAACACTACAGCGGAACCCTCGCGATCTGACGGACGAGTGGAAGCGGGCGGTTTATCGCCGCCAGCCGAGGTGACACCGCCCTGGGCAACACGTCCCTCGACAATGCCCTGCCAAGATAGGCTTACGGCCTCCCCGTTCGTAACCACCGTGCCAGCTCCGTTGCCTTTCTGCGGCAAGCTGTCCTGCTGCTGCTGCTGCTGCGAGGTTGCCTGTGCGGTCAGCGGTGGAGCATTAGCTTCTGCGTCCGTGCAGGAAGCGCCCGCACACACGAGCGCAGTGGCACTGGTGTCGTCGTCCGCCAACTCCACGGACACTTGCACCGGGGACAAGCAACCGGGCCGTAGCACAGGGGCCATCGTGGCACAGGGCTCCGCGGCGTTTGCGGCTCCTAACGGCGATGCGCGGGCGAGCGTCGGTTGCTGTTGGGGCCCAGACGTGGCAGCAGTTGCAAAGTCTAGAACGCGCGAGGGGTCCCTGCCGATGATGTAGCTGCCAAAGGGGGCAGCGGATGCTGTGGATGAGGAGGCGGCTGCTGCGGTTGTGACGCCGGTATTTCCGCCTTCTGAAGGAGCCGCACGTGCCGCGTTTACGCCATGCTCCTGTTGCCCTTGCTGCTGCTGCTGTTGGTGTTGCAGGAGGAGTAACAGCGGCGGCATTGCAGCCTCCGATGAAGACTTCCCTCCCAGCTGCTGCCCCTGTCGCTGCTGCTGCTGCTGCCGCTCCTCAGCGTCTATCGACTGCTGCCGTTGCTGCAGCAACTGCCGCTGCAACTGCAACGACTCCTCCGCCTCCTCCGCCTCAATTGACCTGCAGGAGTTCAAGAGAGGCGCCTGCAGGCTGGCAGCCAGCACAGCCACCTCCTCCTCATGCAACCCAACCATCCCATACCCCTCATCCTCCGCCGCCGCTGCTACAGCCACGTACTCCTCCGCATCCGGCCCCACCACAGCACCCACATCTGCGGCTGCTGCGTCCGCATCCGCATCCCCCTCTCCACCTCCCCCTAGCTCCCCTCCCCGCTGGTCGAGTCCTGTCAAGGAACATGCAGACGAGGACATGCCCCTACTCGAAGCCGCATCAGCATCAGCAGTCGACGATACCGAGGGCGAGGAGGGGCACCCGGTGGCACCCAGCGGCCGCTCCGCAGCACCGCGCTCCGAACCCACCGGGCTGCCAGCGCCTGAAGCGGATGAGGCCTCCGTTGCTGCTGCTGAACCCGACTCCGATCCCTCCCTCGACCCCGAACCAGACCCCTCAAACTCAATGGCTGGCAGCGCTGCTCGGTGTTCGGATGCCGCCATGTCCGGGGTCGCAGGCACAGCAGGCGGCGTGGAAGCAGCGGGGCCTGCGCCCGCCCGGCCACCGCCTCCGCCGCTGTCAACGCCCCCAACATATGCTCCCTCACCTCGGGCCCCCCGAGCAGAGGTATCCAGAGCCAGCCGCGCGGGCTTCGGAGCCATAACCGACGGAGGAACAACCACCGCCGCCGCCGCTGCATCGGCCGCCACACTCGCATCCGCCGCCATGGCTGCCGTGCTGCTCGCGTCCACCTCCGGAAGCCTCCTGTACGACTGCTGCTGCGGCGCCGGCTGCTGCTGGCACAACAACTTGGCGTACACCTCATCCAGCGGCGTGCCCGCAATCAGCCGTGGCACGCTCCAAAAGTACGGCATTTGTAGCAGATCTGCTGCCGTGGGTCGCAGCCGCGGGTCCGGCTGCAGGCACGCCTCTATCAGGCGGAAGAGTCCGGGGTCGCAGCCGCGCAGTCGCTCCCTCAGGCTCCGCCCGCGCGGCGGCACCCGCAGTCCCTCCAAGCGGGAGTCTGCGGCCATGCGCTCCGCTTGCGGCGCCGCCAGGGGTCCGAAGCAGCGCATGATGCGCCAGAGCTGGTCCGGGGTGGACTTGCCTGGGGTGGGGTTGGGGGGTAATCATGGATAGCATTAGGGGGTGGGGGTGGGAAGTATGTTGGGGAGCGAGAGATGGGGCGCGTGTTGGCCGGAGGGAGGGTGGGGTGAGAGAGGATGGGAAGGATGGGAAGGTGTAGGGGGCTAGGGTGGAGGGCAGCTCAGTTAGGGTACGCAGCAGCTGTGCCCTGCAGGGCCGCTGCGGGGGGGGTGAGAGCTCAACCCCACAACCCACCCCACCCCGCATCCCCCCTCCGCCCCCCACCTGGGAACAGCGGCTGCCCGGTCGCCAGCTCCGCCACCGTGCAGCCCACCGACCACACGTCGGCCGCCGGGCCGTACGCGTCGCTCACCAGCACCTCTGAGGGAGGGCAGCAGGGGGCAGGTGGAGGGGAGCAGGGGGCAGGTGGAGGGGAGCAGGGGTGCAGCAAAGTAAAGGTTAGCAGAGCGCAACAACATCAACAACATCTCGGGCTTTGTTGTAACTTGACGCAAATCTACGCCCTCCCTTTTTCCACACCGCTCTACCCTCACGCCCCCTGCTCCCACCAGTCGCATCCACCCTCCCATCCCATCCCTCCCACCCACCACCCCACCTGGCGCCCGGTACCACCGCGTCACCACGTAGCTCGACAGCCGCTGCGCGTCCCGCGGGCCGCACCGCGTGGGCCGCGCGAACCCAAAGTCGCACAGTTTGATGACCCCCGAGTCCGCGAGCAGGATGTTGGCGGGCTTGATGTCCCGGTGCACCACCCGGCGGCGGTGCAGGTACACCAGCGCCTGCAGCAGCTGCCAGCTGGGGGGAGGTGGAGCAGGATGGGGGAGGGAGGGAGGGAGGGAAAGCGGGAGGGGTGTAAGAGTTCGCGCGTGGTGAGGGTTGGGACGCAGCGGCTGGGAGTAGAGGTACTGTGGTAAAGCATGAGGAGAGCGCAGCTGCAAACAGGGTGACGACAAGGTTGACGACCCATGCTGCTGGCTGAGTTCTCCTAGCAACCGGTTGGTTGGTTGGCTGCCGGTAAACTTACACAAGCAGTTTCAGCTGCGGGGCGTTCAGGCCGCTCGGCTGGAGGTCCAGCTCCTGATAGGCGCTGCGCCCAATGTACGGAAAGACCTGCGGCACCAGGACAGCAGAGACCACAACACCAAAACGAGTCAAGGAAGGCAGGAGAGGGGTCGACAACAAGGTACCACTGCACAGTGGCACCTGCACGCGAACCCCCGGTGTATGGTGCGTAAGGAAAGGGAATGTGCGTGGAAACGGAGACAGCTCTTGGGCCCGCTTAGCGCGTCACCATCAGGGTGCGGGGGCTGCTGCTTCCCCACAGCGGCGCGGCACAACCGCAATTACCATCCGTCTCGTACGGCACTCATGTGCAGGTACGGCCTGTCGTACGCACCATGTACACGCGGCCCGATTTGGACTTGAAGGCCTCAATGAGCTGGATGATGGCGGGGTGGTCGAGCGCCTGCAGCACCCGCACCTCCCGGATCGCCAGCTTCATGATCTGTTGGGCGTTGAGGTCGGGGCGGGCGGGGAGAAACACAACCAGGTTTGACACCCGTACCCGTACCACATGTAGGGACATGTAGGGACATCTTCCTGACCCCACAAGTCCGCACCTAGATGCGCGCCAATGCCAACCGCACCCGCGGCCCTGGCCTCCATGTCCCCCAGGAACCCTTTTACGCTGTGCTAGATGTTCCTTAGCTGGAGTAGCGGACATATAGTCCCTCACCTCCGGCTCCTCGTGCGCCTGCTTGAAGCCCTTTATGGCCACCACCCGACCTGTGGACCGCTCCTGACATTTCCAGACGTAGCCGTACGCGCCTGCAGCCAACACGCGGGTGCATATGGTGCCGTGAGGGCAGCAGTGGCATCGTCGAGGGATGGCCCCACGGGATGGAGTGGGGCGTCTTATGTTGGAAAAGCAGTTTCGGCACAGATGGGCCCGCATGCTATAACCAGAGCTTCATTTTTACAACGTCGTAGTTGCCCCCCGCAAAAGTTAGCGTTCGGCCCCGCCTCGCTGTTAGCCTCCCACGTCTGACTTGCAACCGCCATCCACGACTACGCCAAGAGCTCACCTTCACCAAGGGTTGAGACGTATTCGTATTCCTGGCGTAAGCGAGCACCGGCGGGCGCGCCAAGACATGGTGACAAACCAAACGTCAGCTGACACTCGGCGTTGAAATGTGAGCTAGGGCGATATAACTTCACGGCAATTTATAATATACACACGGATGGATGCTTGCGGAGCTGCCGGGAAAACTACACCGTTGTCTAGCGACATACCTCCATACGCTTGTCTACGAAGGTCCCTATACTAGAAGCCTAAAAGTATTGCCAGTATTGCCGTTGGCAGTCGGCGCTGCGGTTCAATAGCGCCTGCTTCGTCGGGCCACCATGCACAGAGCAGGAAACCCCAAATGATCAGCCTCGTCCAAAATTAAGTGTCAATCTATAGTTGTAACGTAAGACTGGATGCGCTATGGCTAGGATTCCTTAATCCGGGAGGTAAGTTTGCGTTCGTTGCGAGCCATTTCCTACGTAAATCAGGTGAGGTATAACAGGATCGCTAACGGCAGTGAGGTGCGTTTTCTTCCTAGTTTCGCTGGGTGACCATGTCACTGTCTGCAACGGTATGGGCCTTACGGGGATAAGCGTGCCGACATCCAGCTGGTCAGTTTCTCTGCCAACACGAGCAGCATTTCGTCAATTCTACACAAGTCGTATGAAACAGTGGCTTGGCGAGTGCCGAGCAGATCCTCCATCCAGGCCGAGCATCCAACACAGCGTCGGCATACATGCAATCACGTGTACAGCATAAGTAACTTCCTTCCTTCGTTTCCTCTAGAAGCAAATGCTTATCCAGTTCATCTTCTGTCATCAACGCCTGGTCTTGTGCCGTGCCTTGCATTGCGGACTTCTGCTTTGGCCCTAACAGCAACTTGACGAACCCTACACCCCGCTTGCCCCACGGCAATCGCTTAAACCCAACAATGCAAGTGCTCCCTGGTGGACAATGCTGGGCAGGATGTACGTTCCCGAGCATGGTCATGGAGCTATGCCGTTCCCCACCCCAACCATCTACCCCAACCCGTCCGCCGTTCTACCTTTACCTGCTCACCAGCCTGTGGCCCCTTCAATAACTTACCAGTCGGAGCTGTCCGGTTACCAGTTCCAGCCTTGCGTAAGAGCGGCAGGACACATCACCAAAGAGTGCCTACCCTACAGCGGGGGCCACTCCAGGGTGTGCAAGGGGCACATGGCAGGGCCATAGGCCCACGGACAACCCCCTCCCACGCATGTGCACCTTCACCCTCACCAGCCCAGCCCAGCGGAATCCCCGCCAGGTGGTGCAACGCACCCTGGTCTCAAACCCAACCAATGCCCCAAAGCTCATTTAAGCAACCAGCAGCCATGCATACGGTATGGCTGAGCTGAGTGTGGCCATACGTGCCAGAGGCGGGAGGCAGGCTTAACAGAATTTGCGTAAACGTTAAGAGGCCCTGACCGGGAGGAAATTAGTTAGCATTAATTACCGGTATGCTTGATTTGGCGGACAACAGAGTTTACATCTCCAGCGCCCTCAGCCTCGTCTGTTAGATGCAGGCTTTAGGAAAGTCGTTAAGGGTCCACTGAGATAAAAAGGTATCGTGGAGAGAAAGTGAGCAGGTGTTGGCCAAATGCAGCGCAAGCCTGCATGACTTGCAGGAATCTGATGACTATACTGATTAACGGGTGCAGGTTTTTCCGACAGAAATTGCGGACGACGAAACGGTTTATTCCATTGAGGTGGACCGTTAGCCCAGGAGCAGCGTAAGATGCGTGGCCTCGATCTCGCTCGCGGCTACCCCGATGCCCCTGCTGGTTTCCATTTGCGTTCTTTCTTTCTCAGGCCCTTTACCTGATCCAAGCTCACCAATGCTGACTTACCCACGCTCTGGCACAAGGCACATGCTGCCATGCAGCCCGAAAACTCACCTGCCCAGGCTGGGGCAAAAACAGCTGGAATCCGGCCTACATGTATATTCATTTGGTAGTCACCTTCCAGCCTAGATGCATGTGCTTAAAGCACGGTTGGCAACTGGTTAGGCTTAAGGCGTGTATGGTAACATGTACGGCAACATACGGCATGGCTCTGCAGCGCATGCGGTAGCAAGGGGCTGTAAAGTAGCAGCCCATTGCAAGCTGTTACGCCCCTGCCTCCGCACGCCTCGACTCAAGTCCAAATTACAGTAACCACGTCTCTTTACCCAGACAGTCCTAACTACCGGCGTGCCAGGAGGGGTGAGCACAGCCAACGAAACGCGTTGCGATGCCGGACCTGACTCGCAAACATGGACCAACCGCCGACAACCGCCGCCCATCCATATCCACACCAACACCTGCAAACTGCAGTTTAACCTTGTCAAAAGAATGACGACAGGGAAGTTGTGGATTAGCCGTTGCCAAAGTTTGAACAGGCAAATGTGTAAAAGTGGAGTCACGTGCTATTCCGAACAAACGTGCCGTCGTACAGCGGGCCCCCAGTCACTACTGTTCCCCGATTGGACAGTGACTAACGTGTCAACATATTAATGCGATCGGGGTCCAGGTAGGAATTGATGGATATATAGCTGCGATACATGCGCATTTCATGCCTTTCGAGTACGAAGTAAAGCCGAGAATGCCAGGACAAGTGGAGGAATAACAATCACGATAGACACCAGCTAAACCCCTTTCACACGGCCCTACCCAGTCGTAACCAGGACCAAAGGAGCTGCTTCCCTATGTACAGACGACGCCAGTTTTGTTGCCTGAAAACCGGTAAACTGTGGACAAGATACCGCCTCGCCACAAGAGACGACCCATACCTCGGCGCTTCGACCCAATCGTGTGCACGTATTCAAGCAAATGTAGGAGAACCTGCCAAACCTCTATACACTTGACAATGCTTATGCCTTGGTTGGTGCCAGCGTCCTCCTCGACTCACCTCGCCACACGGCGAAATCCCATTACGGCGCACCAGACATTTAGCGAGCAACGTCAAACCACCAATAAGGTCGGATAGACCAGCAACATGAGCACAGTGAGGCCTTGCGGTGCGATGTCGACATGATACCTGGTGTCAACATAAAGCCACGTTGGAACGGCCTCCTTCAAAACAATCCCTCAGATCAATCCTGACACCTCCTTGTTCCCACCCTCCGCTCACCCGGACACCTCCTGACTTGCCTCTTCATCTACTTGTGGCGCATCCACTCCTTTGCCGCCAGCGCCAACCAGAACAGGAAGCGGTAGATGCCAACCATGGCGCACTGGATGGCCACGTCAACCCACTTGTTGAGGCCGTTGACCGTCCAGTAGTCCAGGATCTGGAACAAGGCGGTTGGGGTCGGGTAGGGCGGTGTCAGGTAGGGTTGGGTGACGCGGGGCAGGAAGGGGCAGGTTGGTTCGAGCAGGCGTGGATCAGGGTCAGAGGGTCCGGAGCAGCAGAGGGCTGCATGTGCTACCATCTGGATCAGCAGCAGGGCAACTGTATAAGCACACGACAACTGACTCCTCAGGGTGCACGCAGAGACTGACAACAGGGCATGCGATTAGACCACATACATACAGAGAGGACCATGCTGTGTGGAATATGAGGAGGAGGGCCATGGTAAGGCCTCAGCAGGCCAGGTCAGGTCTTGGACAGACCGGTACATGCACTACGCCACATCACGCGTGCCTCTACCGCACAATGATGACCGCATGCAACCGCGCGGACAGCAACGCACCCTCCCCCGCTGACCCTGTTCATTCCTTCTTACCTCCTGTCCGCTCAGCGTGCAAAGGTTGTCCTCATCGTATGTCGGCCCGCAGCCCGCAGCTTGGTCATAGCAGGGGCACAGCCAGCCGTCGGTGCCACCAAACTCATTGTGCATGAAGCCAGCAAAGGCGTAGCTGCACGCAAGCGGCGTGCGCGGGGGCGAGGGGGGTGAGTGGGTGCCCAAATGAAGGTTAGAGTGGGGTAGCGTGCAGGGTTTTAAAGCAAAGTGAGCTGCAAGGCGCTGAAGACCATGCCAGCGACAAACGATCAAGCTGCGCACGGCAGTGCCACCTCCGGCATCACACTGACAGCTCCTCACCACGTACACAGCTCCCCGTGCCGCCACCGCCACTCGCCGAGCTTTCCTCATCACCTCACCATGCAAACGCCCATGCAAACGCCTACCGTTTTCAACCCCTCCACCCTTGTCACACACCCACCCTCTTCACCTCCATCCCTATCCACCTTCCCCTCCCCCGCCGCCTCTGGACTGCGCGTGCTTTGGTCAGCAATTGGTGATGCAATGGAACCCCGGAATGTGTTGTCCCGTAATACCGGTAGTCACCACCGCCGCCTCAGCGCACGCACCCCCCGTTGCCCACCTGTGGAAGGACATGTAGTGCAGCGGGTAGCGCCACACGGGCTGCGGCAGCTCGCCCACCGGCTGGAAGAAGCCGCACACCAGCATGAACATGCCCAGGATGCCCGCACCGCCTGCAGCGGGGGGCAGGGAGGCAGGTAGGCAGGGAGTGGGGGGGAGGGGGACGGAGGGTGTGTGTGAGGGATGCAGTGAGAGGAGATGCAAGCGCTACCCGCAGGCAGGCAGGCAGGTTGTAGGGGGAGTATGAAGGCCGTCAGGGAGCCAGAGACGGTCATGCAAGCATGCAGGGTGGTGGGGCTAATACCGTGCAATAGTTGGAATGGGCCCTCCCCAGCCGCTTCTCGTTCGGCATAAGCACCACCACATCTGCAAGCAACACCCACCCACTCCGCCCCCAGCCAGCAGCAGCACCAGGCCACCACGCACCCACCCGCAATGCCCATGAGGTAGTGTGGCACCACCGCCGCGATTGCCATCATCATGCTCTCCACCACCGTCAGGCTCACAAACAGGTTGACGAAGAAGTACACGAAGCGGTCGCCGCTGTCGTTCAGGTCTGGGAGGGTGGGGGGAGGGGGAGCGGTCAAAGACCATACCAAACAATGTGGAAACCACGGGTTAGGGCAAAGCAATGGGGATAGGAAGCGGCAGGGTGCCACATCACAAGCATCAGTGGGGGGGAAACTATAGATAAGTGCAACAACGCAGTCCCAATCCCGAATCAGTGGGGGGGCCGTTGCTGGCATGTCAAGTGAAGGGCGCCAGCCGAGGGTACGGGGCAACACAAGTTCGTTGCCGCAATGTAGCACCGACCAGTCCCGGCCGCCTTGTCCATCACACGGTACCCCTAACCACCGAACTACAAGCCAGGACATCACCAACACCCCGACCTCCGAGATGCTTGAGGAACCTCTCTCCCTGCCGCCCCTCCCTGCCGCCTCCTCTCCCTGCTAGCTTGCCCTCACGTGTGGGTTACAAGTCTGTTCCCGTTACGGCACACCCACCTACGAGCCAGTACACCACCGCGGAGGACAGCACCGCAATGCCAAAAATGAAGGGCGTGGAGGCCAGCGTGTTGGCGATGGCAAAGGTGGCCACCGAGTAGTAGCCGTTGAGGCGCTCGCGGATGAAGACCGCCATGTCCTCCACGAAGGCGGGGAAGCCGGCGATGCTCATGAAGGTGAGGAAGGCCACCACAAAGAACACCATGGAGGCGCGGCTGTAGGTGCCCACCCAGCTGGCATCCAGGTGGTAGTAGATGGTGCCAATGCAGATGCACAGCATGATGTACTGGAGATGGCGGGGAGGGGCGGGGGAACGGGGAGGGGGAGGCGATAGTTAGGGATGGATATACACATAGGGTTTTAGGCTTTATACTCATACATAGGTTTTAAAATCCTAAAACCCTAAAACCCATGGGAGGAAGGAGAAAGGGGGGAGAGTGCTTGTGGAGCCGCAAGAGGTGTTACCAAGGGTTTCAAGATACCAATTTACGATCATATGCACGGCTTTATGGTTCCGTCCATAAACCCCAGCCCACTTCACACCCACCATGCCCAGCCTCAGCCAGAACACCGCAATGTTGCGCCAGTTGTTGGTCAGCATGCGGCGGGTGAGCACCAGCGCCTGGTAGAGCGGGTTGGCGTTGCAGGCGGAGCAGCGGTACTCCTCGCCGGGCTTGCTCAGCTGCAGGATTGGGGGGAAAGAAGGAATTCCCAATGTGTTGAATGAGAAGGAGGGGAAGGCGGCGGCGGCGGGAACTGGTAAGGGTGAAGGATGGCGAGCATGAGGGTGAAGGGTGGTGAGGAAGAAGGGAGGGGTTAGGGCGCAAAGCATCACAAAGGGGACCTAGTCATGACACCCAGCCACCACCGCTGCCGTACCTCTCGCAGCGCCTGCTCCACACGCGGGCCGTGCCGATTGTTGTACACGTCGATGAGCTTGCGGATATTGGCCTCAGGGTCCGGGCCGTGGTCGCTCTGCGGGGAGTCACCATGGTAGGGATCGGGTTAACATGACCCATGGGTCAGTGGCGCGCACGGCGTTTCACTTGTTAGCACAAACGGCACCCAGTCCACCACATCACAGCGCACAAGCTGTATGCGACCCGCCGCTTGCGCCTGCAGTCCTGTCCTGTTTGCACGCCATGGCAATTCGCAACTGCTCCATTCCCCCGCCCTCCATTGCGCGATGCAGGCGCCGCTCCCGGGTGCAACACCAGTCCAAACGCTCTCCAGCCCAACAGCCCTCCCTTTCCCACCCACCCACCCACCCACCCACCCACCAACAACCCCCCATTCGCAGTTGCATATGCCGAAATCCCCAGTTCGTGCCCCCCCTCGCCAACCTCTGATTTCCTAAAATTCGGTATGGTCTTTGACCCCCCTCGCCCCACCTTCGCCCCCCACATTTTCACCCCCCCATCACCCCCATCACTCCCCTCAAGCCCCACCTTGAAATCCCGGTTGATAACGTGCAGGAAGTGGTCGGTGGGGTTGCGCAGCGGCGGACAGGGCAGCCCCGCGTCCTCGAACATCTTGAGCGCATCCGGTGCCGGACCAAAGTACACCACCTCACCGGCTGAGAGGAGGAGCAGGGCGAGGTGCGCGGTGTGTGACGATGCAATCAGCTACCCAACACAAGCCATTGCGAACAATACCGGTAAGAAGCGGCCTAGGGGGGAAGCATGCCCCCATGCAGCCATGCAAGGTAAGGCATGCGCGCGGCGGAGGTCACAGAGGATTCATTGATTGGTTGAAGGTGGTCATACTCCGCAAGAAACACACACCCGGACGCTCACCTGACAGCAGGCACAGCTTGTCGAAGAGCTCGTAGACCTGCACGGCAGGGGGAGGGGAGGATACGCTTGGGTATCTAGACAGAGTAGCGCAGCAAAAAGGCGCCCAGACCCTCACATCCTAGCATTCCCTCCCTCCTCCCCTTCTCAGGTGTCCTTCTTTTCCCTTCCCCCCCCCATCATGGTAACGCCCTTTCACATCAGGTGTAGCCTTACCTGCTTCCCCTCCCCCCTCCCAACACCAACACGCCTACCTCGGATGAGGGCTGGTGGATGACGGTGACAACGGTGCGGTTGTGCTCCGCCAGGGTGCGGATGTTGGCCATCACATAGAAGGCGGAAGCGGCGTCAAGACCTGCGGTATGGTAAGGAATGGAATGGGGTGGGTGGGTACATCATTGCCGCCAAGCAACATAGCCCAGGTAAGCCCCTAAGCCCCAAACTATACTCGACAAACGCCCATACACCTCAACTCCCGAACCCCCAAGCTGCTCCCTCCTCAGTCCCATACCCGAGGTGGGCTCATCCAGGAACAGCAGCCCCGGGTGCGTGATCAGCTCGCAGCCGATAGCCACACGCCGCTTCTGACCGCCGCTGATACCCTGCATGCACGGCAGGGCGGGAGGCGGGAGGCGCAGGGGCGTCAGGAGGCAGGCCTTAGGAGGCACCGCATAGGCTCAGAGCTCGCTGCCGTTACGGGAGGCGTGGCTGGGGTGCGGTCATTGGGGTGAACAGGGCAGCGTTGCCGGATGAGGGCAGCAGTGAAGCGCAGGTGAGGCGTGCCGGGGTTCGGGCCGGGCCCCTTGAGGGCGAGCGCAGCGGAGGTGTGCACATGACGAGTGCGCAACCTGACCCACCCAGCACCAACCGCGCTCCGCTCCGCCCCTGCCTAGGTTTCCTGCCATCACATACTAGGCTTTCGTAACCCCGCCGTCCTCCCCCCGCCTCCATACACACACCTTTATGAAGGGTGTGCCAATCTTGGTGTGTTGCGCCTCCTCCAGTCCCAACTCATTGATGATGTCGTCTACACGCGCGAGCTGTGCGGCGAAGGGGGGGTGAGCAGGGAGGGGTGATGAGGAGAGGTGGCCGGTTACGATGTGGGGCATGCAGACATACCCATGCGTTCCGGGTCCACACATTCCAAGGCACGTCACCAGCACCATACAGCCAGCAACAGCCTAGCGTGCCTCAGCCAGCACGGAGTCGTGGCAATCACACACATCCACGCATTCACCCGCCCCCACCTTCCACTTCAAAAAGAAAGTCAGGACAGAGTCCGAGGTACCTTTGGACACCCCAGCAGCCTTACTTCATGCGGAGCAGCAGACCCACCTCCTCCCCCTGCCACCGCTCACGCTTACCTTATCCGCATACGCCATCTTCCGCGGCAGCCGCAGCAGCGCCGCGTAGGTGAGCGTCTCCCGCACCGTGAGCGTGCCCACCAGTACCTGAGGGCGTGAGGGACACCGGCGGGGGGAGTAGGTAGGGCAGGGCGGGCAGGAGTTGGGCAGCGCGGGTCAGGCAGGCATGCAGGTAGGCCAGAGAGGAAATCAAAACCATATGGCGACTGTCAAGGCGTCTCAAGTAATTAACATGGAGGCGCACGCATATGGACCGCCATAAGGCAGATGCTGTTTGCCCCACACCTCATCTTGCGTCACATATCCCGTCCTGCCGAACGTGAGGATGCTCTTGTGGCCGTTGAGAAGCACCTGATGAGGGGGAGGGAGAGGGAGGGCGGGTATGAGATTGGATGCTACGCAGGCATGGGCGGCTGGGCGTAGGTAGGGAGGGTGTAGCCTGGTTGCCTAGACGGGCTTTCCTGTCGCACAACGTTAAGAAAGAATGGAGTAGCAGACGCTGGTTGCCGTACAACGGCTGATCGCACGCCAGGATACGCAGTAGCTTATATTGCGGGAGCGCTGTTTTAACCACCCTCAAGTAATACGTCGCAAGTAGCTAGGAGGTTGTGATGCCAAAGGGCAGGCTAGCAGCGCAAGAAGCGGTTAAACTGTTTGCCGGCAAAACACTGTGCTATTTCTCTGTGCTGATGGATGCCGTAGTCGCACCTCGCCAGTCTGCTCAACGGAGGCAGGCAGGCGACCTGCTAAGCCATCCAGAAGCGTACTCTTGCCACATCCCGATGGACCCATAATTGCAAGCATGTCCCTGGGAGCAACTGCAGCAGCAGCACAAACATGGAGTCTAAGCTGTTGTATTAGAGCAACTTCCGCAAAAATAGTAAGGACGAGCAAATGCATCTATCAAACGTGAAGATTGTGAAAAACTGCCGGTGAGCGACTAGGCCGCAATAGGCAGCGTGAAGTGGCCCGGTAGCCTTACCGTAGCCCCGGACATCCTTCAGGATATGGCGAGTACCTCCCTTCACATCCTTCGTAGTCTGCGAGGCAAGATATGATGAGCAGAAAGTTTGCGAGGCAAAACAGATGGTAAGGACTGGGGCTCGGCGTACATAGCATGTTGGCACATGCTATGTAGCCCCGTAGGCGACGTACTTACAACATTTAGCTTATCCCAAGTTAGGGTTGCAAGCTGTGCATTGCTATACTTGGCTGGGCCGATGTTGAGCACAGCGGCTCCCTCGGCGCCGTCCTCCTGCAGCGGATGTTGATTGGTATAACCGGCAGTAGAGATACAGAGACTATACGTGTCACCTACAGGCGTAACACGCGACGATGGCATTCTGGCAAAAGCGCTACAATGACACCCGGTATTAATAGGGGTACCGATGCTACTAGCAGAGAGCAGGCTCTAGGCAACAACGCTTCGCTAAAGTTACTTACGACTTTGTTAGCCATCATCGATACAAGTTAAGGCTTTGCGTATCACACGCAAAGGTCAGATACTCAACACCGTAGCGTCATCTAATGGTAACCGCGGTCTGTACGGTGAGCAGCTTCGAGCCGTATCGGTCCCAAACTGAATATGCATCCCTTCTTAGCTGCAAAATGCTGAAGTTATGATTAGTACAAATGAAGCTGGGCCGTCTCAGTTTTATAGGCATTCCTGCAAGTAGAAGTAAATCAGTAGTAGGAAGGGTGAAGGTAAAGTATCGATACGAGTACTTCCCTTGATTCGCACCTGAGTCCTACCCCAAGAATCATGAGCGGCAACGTGCAAAGGTGCCATGTGCTTTGGACAGCTTCAATGCGCTTAGGTACTACTGTATGCAACGTGCATTGCCCACTAAACACTATGGAATATGGGTAGCTTGTTTTGCCTAGCCATGTATTGGTAGAAATGTAGGATTGGGTGGAACATCAGCCGCAACAACGCAATGCCATGAAAACCCTAAACGGTTATGACGGTGCACAACATTTGGTTTCAGTATTTTATTTCATTCTACCTCGACATTGACTGTTGTCAACGTCTCTATGTACGCCTACCAATACCGGTATAGTGTACTCATGCCCCTTGTTTCCGCAGCTAGAAACGACAAACATGCGCGCTTGGCTGCTGGGGCTCTGGGGCTCTGCTGGGGCTTGGCTGCTTGGCCGCACTTAAACATTGACGTGAAGGGACTAAGTTTGGGTCGCAGAACTGTGGGACATTCCACCTCCCACGAGCTTGACACCTCCACACCCATCCATACTACTCTTTCCAGCACGCCTCAGTTGGTTTGCTGCAGCATGCCCTCCGAGGTTAGCGTCATCGGTATCACCAAGCAGCTCACAAGAACTCCGTACCGTTGGACTGGAAAGCTACTCGTCGTACATGGTGCTCCGGTCCCCCTTGTAACCTTCGCATTCTACTTGTCGTGGGCTACATGTTATTGGGGCAGAGTAGGTCCTGCAACCACTATCGGTACTGATTTCCTTCCAAACCTAAACAACCGGGACTTGCCAGCCCCCGCCCTGAAGCAGGATCCCTGTTTCCGAAGCAGCTGTCCGTGCCTCCGAGCGTGCATGTGCGCTTATCGGTCGTACACACACGCATGTACCGGTATGTTACGCCAATAGCCTTCGGCCGCATGTGTTGGGCGGCGGGCAGTAAGGTGAGCCCCCACAGCAAAACCCCTATCAATCAGCCACGAATGACCCCCATCGCCCCATGCCTAAACCCCAGGCCTGCTGTGCGTGATTAGACGTTATCCTTCGTCCAAGAAATCCCTGCCTCTCTTACAGCTTCAAGCAGGTCCTGTTTGCATGCATGCACCACCCGCAGCACCCCTGTGATGCTGCACCATCCCTGTTGCTGCACCCCTCCCCAGCGCCTTGTCACCTGGTTAGTTTCTTCCTCTTTACCCCCCCCCAATAATCTTTGCCGCCCAGCCCCTGCTGCTGCTGCCGCCCCTGCTGCTGCTGCTACCGCTGCCAACGTGTCGTACGGCCCCTGAACGGCACATCGCTGGTCACGATGAGGGTTGCAGCGGCCGAGGACGCCTCCACCAGCTCCGCATTGGGTCGGTCGTTGGTGGCGATGCGTGTGAGGGACTCCTGGAATGGGGGGAGGGGAAGGGGGGGAGGGTTGGATTGGTGAGTAACGGGAAAGAAACTACTTTTGGGTGGGTGAATGGTGGCCGGGAAGTAGGTCCTCCGCTCCCCCTCACCTCCCTGCTCAGCCCCAGCTGCCTCTGCCGGGCCAGCACGCGCTGCATGGCTGTGTCCAGCGGCAGCCGCAGGTACCAGCTCTCGGCCAGCAGCGGGCGCAGCTGGCTCCAGGGGGCCGAGGGAAGCAGCAGGTAGTTGCCTGGGGGGGCGGAGGACCATACGGCACCAAACCATAGGAAAGCACACGTTAGGGCAAGGGCAAAGTAATGGGGATAGGAGGCGGCAGGGTGCCAGGGGGGACGGGGCAGGGAGGGGACTTAGCAAGGACGCATCGTGCGTTGCTTGTGCACAGCAACTCCGGCATCGCCCCCAAGCTTCTGACATATTCCTCTCAAAGTTATTATAGGCTACCCGCTTCCCTCCTCCGCCTGCTCCCGGTGTTTAAATTTATTTCATTCCCGTCTTCTTCCTCCTTTCACCCTCTCACCCTCCTCACCGCCCCCCCCTCTCGTCATTTCACTTATATAATTTTTCCCCCCTCTCACCCTCCACCAGCACCACGGCAGCCCCCGCGGGTATGCAGATGTCCCCCTCCACTGGGTCACCCACGCCGTGGTCGAAGGAGGGAACGCAAACCTCCTCCTCCTCGCCAAACCCAGATTCAGATCCAAACCTAGTTGCTGCATACCGTACACGTCGTACGGCATCCACGAATTTGGCCGCATCAAAAGTCCATGGGGCCCCGCGCCGCGCATGCGCTTCCTGCACACACACACACGTTTCGCCTCGCGGCCAGTTATTTTAACACACACACTCCGGCAATCACAGTACGACTCGCGGCCTGTTTTCTTAACACACGCACACCGCTAATAGTCCTCTTGAGTCTTGACATACACACGCATTCCAACAGTGGGGAGCGTCATTGCAGTACGACAATACTGGTACAGAAACAGTAAGGCTAGAACGGCGTTGTGGTCCAGGAAATGCAATCGTCACTGTGCAAGCGTGTCATGGGTAGTACCGAAGCGCCAAAAGCACGCGTTAAAGACAAGCAAGTCTCCCACCCAGCACCTGCCTGGGGGTCGGGCATGGCATCCAGTTCGCGGCGGTAGTAGTGGAACCCGTCCATAGGCAGTACGACAGCGTACGGAGAGGAGGGGGAGGGCGAGGGGAGGGAGGGGGAGGGCGAGGGGAGGGAGGGGGAGGGCGAGGAGGAGGATGGCTGGGAGGGCGATGACGAGGGCGTTGTTACGGGTGTTGTTTGTCCTAGTGGAGATGAGAAAGGCAAGGAAGATGACGCCATTGCTGTTGTTGTGGTGGTGGTGGTCATAGTCGTGGCCAGCTGGTTAATCCTGGCCGCCACCTCGGCTGCCAGGGTGGACTTGCCGCTGCCCGGGGGACCCGCAAGGCCCACTAACACACGTCGTACTGGTCGTACGGGCTGTAGTACGGCAGCTGATGGTGTTGGCTGAGGAGTGGGGGCCGTTCTGCTGGTGCTGTTGCAAGCATTGTTGTTCTTGTTGGTGGTGGTGTTATCCGGGCTGCCGTCACTGTCATTGGTGGTGGTGGTGGTGGTGAGGGCGATGGCTCTGCGGGCAAGAATGTCAATGACGTCCTCATACGCCTCCCCTGCGAGGATTTCGCAGTAGGGTCGGCTGGGGAAGGAGCTGGGGAGGAGCTGGCCAAGGGTTGGTGCTTAGGAGGGGCTTTGCGCTATGAATGCAAGCATAAGCGGGACACACGTTACAAGGATCGCTCACCTGTTACTATTTTAGCCCGGCATACCGGTATTGTTCCAGCGCACAAACTAGCTCTTCCCGATGTCCTAGGAAAGGTTGTCCGAGCGCGGATGGCGCAATACCTAGCTTTGACGTGGCATAACCCAGATGAGGTTGCAGGATTTCCTCGATGCAGCTGCATGGGAAAAACCTACTATATCAAAGCCAAAATGGCCGCGCAAGCAAGCAAACAATATGCGTGAGAGAGTCGCTTTCCTTCAACTGTTTCCTATGCTAGATGTTGCGAAGCCAGTACGCAAGATCAGCAAAGTTGCTTATAATCCAGGGAAATTCTAGCCCTTCACAAATGTGGCAATGCGAGAAGTTAAACGTCAAATCTCCATTCATGGCACTCAGGATAAGGCTCCGAAATCGTACTGCTGTCGTCCCCAGAAGCCGGGCCAATTTCGGCCCTGCAGCCCCTCCTTGCTGCATGGACGTACGATGACATACACGTGACAGCATCCTCGCTAGCAAAGGGGTGCTGGCCTCCGGGCACGCGAACCTTCCCGTCCCTCCCCGCCTGTGCTCACACACCTACCGGTCCATTCCCGCCCCATCATACCAGCGTGAGGCCCGCCCCGTCCGCCTCTATACGTTCCTCCCCCCAAATACAATCCCCCCGCTTTCCCCCTTCTCCCTCCCAACCCTTCCCTGTCCCCAATTCCACCTTTTCCTGCTCCACCGTTTCCACACCTTCAATTTGCCCTCGACATCCTCCCCCACTACAACTACCGTGCCTTGCTTGGGTTCGAGTAGCTCCCCTCCTGGACTCTTAGCTTTCCATCACATGAAGCTCTCCCCTCTGGTGCTCCTGCTCCTGCACCTGCTCGCTCCGCCCCCGCCGGGGTGGCGGTTTCGCCCCTTTCCTGGTCAGAGTCCGCCCCCGCCACCCTAACACCACCCGCTCCCCCACCCCTCATGCGGACTCGGTATCGGTTGGAGCAACTAACTCCTATGTCTCGTGATAAACTGTTTCCCTCTATCCCCGTTGCTTTGCCCTAACCTGTGGTTCTGGTATATCTTTTACTCCTCCTGCGGCGGAGCCTCACTTGTTGCGCAGCTCTCGGCTTCTTCCTCTACAAGTCGTGCGCTTCCGCTTGTGCGGTAGGGTCCAGCACGACTACTGACTAGACGTTACAGGTAGGGTTTAGCTCCTCACGAGGGCCGTAGGTCACTGCACCCGGTACCGGTAACGGCTACGGGTCGGGTGCAAAGTACGGCAATGGCATATCCGGGTACTTTGCTGTCCAGCCTTTGCCCCTCATGCCGACCTTCGATCGCCCCCCTGTCCTGCTCCGGAGCGCGTTTGCATGCGTCCATGCACGCTACAGGCAACCCCAGTGCGCTAACTGCTCAGGGCAGGTGCCTCAGGTAGCGACATGCTGCCTTCAGAACACCCGACCCCAGCAGCACCCAGCAGGGTTCGAGTGCTCCACACCTGCCACACCCAACACCTGCCACTCCCAACACATGCCGCCCTCCACCACCAAAGCAACCACACGCCGTTCCTCAACCTCCCTCCGCCCACTCCCTGCCCAGCCCCTCCACTGCTCCTATAACTGTGGCTCCTCCTTACCAGCCCCTGCACCTTCCTTCCTTGCCTTACCCTCCACGCTGCTCTTTCGACCTTCTCATCACCCCTGCACCACCTCCCGCCACCCCTGGACCACCCTACCCTCCAGTACCCTACCCCACCCCACACCACTCTACCCGCTGCTGCCCCGCACATACACACGTGCCGCCAGCGCCCCCACCGCCAGCGCCCCCACCAGCAGCACCGCACCGCACCCCACCGCAACCGGGTCGCCCCCCGCCGCCCACCTCGCCCAACCGCGCATATCCAGCAAACCCCGCGCCGCACGTGCTGTACGCACAATCCCGTAATACCCTCCCGTGCCCCCTCCCCGCCGACCGCCCGTACGCCCCGCGTACCCGCCCGCAAAGCCCCGCCGACCGCCCCCGCCCCCAACAGTTCCCGGCCCCCGCGGCTTGGGTTTGAGGAAGGACAGGGAGGCGAGGGCAGCGGGGTCGGATAGGTCGATCTCCCGAGGGGGACCGCGACCCCGGCCGCCACGTCCCCGCCCCCGCCCTCGCCCGCGTCCCCGCCCCCGTCCTCTCCCTCCTCCTCCCCACCCTCCTTCTCCTGCGAAGCCCTCTTCTCCCTCCCCATACTGCAATTGCTGCTGCAACGCTAGCGCGAGTGCTAGCGCGTATAGCCGGGAGTCGACTATGCAGCGGGCAGTAGCAGCATCACATACGCCGTTGTCGCCACCGCCACCACCACCGCCACCGCAGGAGTTCTCTCCTTTGCCTCCTTTGCCCCCGGACGAGGATGAGCAGGGATGGTCAGGTGGAGAAGAGGAGGAGGCATGGGAGGAGGACGAATGCTCGAGCCCGGCGTTGCCGTACCGGTTTCGGAGCTGCATGAGGGCGGGCAGTAGGCCGTTGTACGGCAGCAGCTCGCAGTGGAGGATCTCACCGCCGGCGGTGTCGGGGCAGGAGGTGACCCGTGGGTCTGCGTTCTCCGGGGCGTCACCGTCCACCTCCACTAGGGCCAACTGGGGAGGGAGTGCGGGTGCGGGTGCATGGAGTGATTGAATGGATGCATTAATGAGTGATCTGAGTAAAGGGGCCGGGGAGGTGGGATGCAAAGGAAGGACTGTGGAGTTACGAAACGAGGTGGGTTGCAAAACCGAAGGATGGCCACATGCGGTACCGTACGACACACGACTCGACACAAAGATCCCGTACGACACCCACCCTGCAGCAGCAGTTGGTCATCCCGGCACTCTCTGCCAGCGGAGGTGAGATGGACAGCACCCGGCCGCTGAAGCCTGGTTGGGTTGTGGGTTGGTGGTGTGGGGGAGGGAGGGGGCGGGGAGCAAGGTCGGGGGTGGCCAGGGAGCAAGCTGTCTAGTGGGAGAGACAGAGGTGGTAAGACAACTGGTGCGGGCGGGTCAAGCAGCAGGAGGAGGGGGCAAGCAGCAATGGGGCCGGAGGTAGTGCGGAAGTAGACAGCAAACAGCCGCCGCCCCCCTTCGGTACATTGAGCATCCAGCAGGAGGCGCTCGGCTGTTCCCCTCACCACACCCTACGAGCGGTTCATTTTATCCTGACCATTTCACCCTGACCCCCACCCTACCTGTTTCCTCCCGCAGCTCCCGAAGCGCCGTCTGCTCGCAGCTGTCACCCGCCTCCACAAGACCCGCAGGCAGCTGCGGCAGGGGGCGGAGCAGGGGTTGGTGCGGTGGAAGCGGGTGGGGCAGAGGGAGCCCGCAAACGGATTGGAGGTGCCAATACAGGCAACTGACCCGTGCGCGGCTGCCAAGGAGGTTGATTGGCGAGATTGGCGGAGGCACCTCGAGGGAACAACACACCAGACCCACCCACGCCCTACCCGGACCCGCGTCCCGGATCCCAACACCCCGATCACCCCACATCCGCGCACCCGCCCCCGCCCCCGCACCCGCGCCCGCCCCCACCTCGATCACCCAGCAGCCCAGCGGCGGTCGGAACTGAACCACCACAGGGACATGAACCTGCACCTGCGACCGCGCCTCCCGCGCCTCCCCTCCCGCCCAGGCACCCCGGGCCTGCCGGGCCGATGCTGGCTGCGGCGCCCCAGCGGCCCTAGCTTCCCCCGACTCTGCGGGTGCGGCGTTCTGAGGGACTGAGGGCGGGCCTTGGGCCGACGCGCCCTCGGCATGGGGTGCTGCGGGCCCCCGCCGGATGACCTGCGAGCAGCGGAGCAACCGGGCACACGTGCGCGGGCAGGCGTGTCGGTTTCTCACGTGCGCAGCAAGCCGATCCGCCCCAGCCTATCCCAACCCAACCGTACTGGTACCTCCGCCACCAGACCCCCGAAGCCCCCGCCCCCCGCCCCCATGCCCAGCCTCACCCGAGCGAACACGGCCACTCCGTCGCAGTCAACAGCAGGGGCAGCAGCAGGGGCAGCAGCAGCGGGCCGCACCTCCACCTCCTCAACACCAACAGTAGCATCACCACCAGCACCTGCAGCCCCTTCCGACGCCGCATTCCCTGCAGCAGCAGCCGCGTCCCCTGCTCCCGCGCTCCCGCGGCCCTCCCCAGCACCCCCCAGCACCGCCGCCGCTGCAGCCGCTGCAGGTACCTGCTTGGGGCGCTGGGGACGCCGCTCCACGGACTCCCAGCTGAGGGTCCTGCAGCGGGGGGCAGCGGGGGGCAGCAGGGGGCAGGGAACCGCAGGGAGTGGGTAGGTGGCTGGGAGTGGGTAGGTGGCTGGGAGTGGGATGGCTGTTGGTGGTTCATGGCTAGCGGCTTAATGGCCCTCATAAATGGGCTGCACTGGGTTCTTCCCCCGGTGTGCTACATGCAGGGACTGTCCAGGGGCATCCGCGCTAGTGGCCTCTGGCAAGAATGAAGAGAGGAGAGAGGAAGGGCTACCCTGCGGCTACAGCAAGGAGGAGAAGTGGAGCACCCTCTCGAACCACAGTCCCATGCAGACCCGACTCATGCAGCAGGGAGGCGGGAGGAGGGGCCAACACTGCCGCTGCCCATGCTGCACTACCCGCCCACCACCCGCGCTCCGCCCACCGCATCCCACCCACCCACCTGCCCTCCGAATCCTCGAACTGCGGAAGGAAGGCGTCCCGGCAGCACCCCGGCAGGAGCAAGGGTGACGTGGGCGCAATTGCGGTGTGGGAGAGGGGTGACATGGACGCGGGTACGGCAGGCAGGCAGGGGGAATGATGAGGGATGAGCAGGCCGGGGCGGAGGCGGGGGAAAGCAGACAGGGCAAGCGCTAAAAGGCAGGCCGGGTGGGTGGTTGTTGCATTGCAGGTGGTGCGGCCTTAGGCTTCCAGGCCCCAATCGCCTCACATCCCGCACCCTACCTGGGGCTGCCGGTACTCGGCCCTCATGGGCTCCTACCCCACACCTTTACGCACGACCTGCCAGCCAGAGCCTAACCCCCATATCTAATAGACCTCTAGGTCCCTGCCCCGGTCGCACCTGGATTCGATGCAGGCTCAGCCACTTGAAGCCATCCGGTGTGCAGTCTTGCTTGGACACAACCCGGCAGGCGCGCAGGCTAGGAGCCGCGGCCGGGCTAGGGGCTGCTGATGGAGTGTCTGGAGCGACGGCGGCAGGCGTTTCATGGTCGAGGCTCTCTAATGTTCTTGGTTGTATGGAACTGGAGTCGGAGGCGTCAGGAGGGCTGTCCATAGCGTTTGACGCCCTGTCCGGTCCCAACGACCCTGTCGCAGGTGCTGATTCCAAGGTGCTATTCGTTGCAAGGTGACTGTCAGCGTTCCTTATTGCTGGTGAGTTTGCGGCGAGTGACCGTTCCAGACGCTCGGTTGACATCAGCACGGAAGAAAGTCAAGCTGCCTGTCCTGCTGGTAAAACTGAAGGTAAGGGTGGGTGACAGCTTGAAACACCTAATGCCTACTTTGTGTTTGAAATAACTGCTGCGGTGTAGGTGCGATGAGTGAAGAACGAGATCATCGGCGATCAAGCAAAGCGAAGTTAATAGCACTTGTAGATATTGCTTCTCTGAAACGCAAGCGAGAAAGCTCCCGGTGTTGCTTTACCCTAACCTTGCCGTCATCTTACTCATACTGGTACCCGTACAGCGTCCCTTCTATGGATCCTAATCGCATTCATTCTTCTGCCGCTGTGCGTTGTCGGACAACATAATAATAAAAATTTCATACTCGCTTACGCTTTCTTACACCAAAATGCGCTGCTGTCGCAGTTCAAGGTCGTGGCAGGCCGGGTAATACCAGGCAGGGTCATAGATACCTTCGGGGCAGTCTACACCATACACTATTTCTATACCCAGCAGTCAGCAACGTTTGCATGTATCGATGCATGCCGACACAGCGCTCAATCCCAGCCCCTATTCACAACTCGCTCCCCGGGGCTCCCTCCCATCCATACTTTTTCCGAATATGTTGGCCCTGCATGGCGGCCTCCCAGCGCCTAACCTGCCCGCGTCTTCCTCCTCTTCACCCCCCACTCCCTACCCTGCTGCACCTCTTCCTCCTCAACCCCAATACCGGGTTGTGCCCCGCTATGACAAGTTAATTCCCCATTGTGATCCCGCCACCCAGCACAGCAGCATGCGCCTGAGCAACAGCGCAATAACCACGGCACGCCACATGCTACCAGTTGGGATGCAACCAGTTGGGATGCTACCAGTTTGGATGCTACCAGGAATCCCAACTGCGACAACTGCAACACGTTGTTCCACAACAGACACCAACAGTCCTAGCATAGAACGCACGGTAGACCGGCTTGCTGATGGTGCTTATGTTGACAAGCTGGGCACCAGGAACTCCACCCGTGCCGAGGTGGATGACAACCCGACATCCTACCGACTCAGCGCAGAAAGACACGCGCGGCCAGTTTCCTTAGCACATGCCCGCCTCCCAGGTCCCCGCCCCCACCCGCCAGCCCGCTCTCAGCAGCAGGCCCCCGCCAGCAGCCCTGCATTGACCCGCTGCAGGAACCCCACGAGAGCCGACAACACCTGCTCCGCGGCGGCGGGGGGGAAGGGGTCGTCACCGCCGCCGCTGGCGCCGCTGCCACCAACACCGTCGAGGGCAGGCCTGATGAGCAGGTCAGCGCTGTTGCCTCCGTTGTCGCCATGCGCAGCAGCGGCCGCCGCCGCCGCCGCAGCAGCAGCAGCAGCACCAACAGCGGTATCTGCACTCGAAGGCGGCGGCGAGGGCTGCGTTGGCAGTGGCGACAGTGGTGGTGGGGGCGCCGGCGGTAGCGGTGACGAGGGCAGACCACATGCCTCCTGCTGGTCTGCACCTTTGACTGGATCCGCCACCGTCGCTGCCGTCGTGTTTGGGGGCGGCGTTGATGTCCCGGATCCCTCGCACTCGACTGTCTTGCCTGCGGCTGCTGCACCTGCTGCGCCTGCTGCCTCCGGCGGTGCAGCAACCACAGCTGCCGAAACCTCCGCAGCAGCAGCGGCAGCAGCAGCAGCAGCGTCGGTGGCACCCGTCATGCTGCCGCTGCTGCTGCCGGCCTTTTGGTTGGTGCCGGCAGTGCTGCCGCTGCTGCCGCTGCCGGCCCGCAGCAGCAGCAACCGCTGAAGTGCTGCATCCACATCAGGCAGCGCACCACCCACCTCAATGTGGGCCGTGGGGGGGGAGAGGCCTCCCTTGTTGTGCGTGTAGGGCTGCTGGTTGGGCTGAGTCACCTCCTGGATCCGCTGCACCACCACCTCGACCGGGTGGGAGGAGGAGCCGCCAGGCGCCTGCATGCAGCGGGTGGATATGTTGTGGAAGGGCCGGTTGCTGAGGTATTGGTATTTCGCTGGCATGTGCTTGGCACGATAAGCACAAGGCGTCAAGGGCTGGCAGCAAAGGACTAGCGTCTTTGCATAATCGGAGTGCAGCTATCACAGGTTGGATGTAGGAGTATCACTGAGGTCTCGCAGCTGACCCGATGATAAGCACTCCCAACCCGTCTGCTCCACCCATGGCAACGGCCCGCACCCGCACCCGCACCCGCACCCGCACCCGCACCCGCACCCGCACCCGCACCCGCACCCGCACCCGCACCCGCACCCGCACCCGCACCCGCACCCGCACCCGCACCCGCACCCGCACCCGCACCCGCACCCGCACCCGCACCCGCACCCGCACCCGCACCCGCACCCGCACCCGCACCCGCACCCGCACCCGCACCCGCACCCGCACCCGCACCCGCACCCGCACCCGCACCCGCACCCGCACCCGCACCCGCACCCGCACCCGCACCCGCACCCGCACCCGCACCCCGCACCCGCACCCGCACCCGCACCCGCACCCGCACCCGCACCCGCACCCGCACCCGCACCCGCACCCGCACCCGCACCCGCACCCGCACCCGCACCCGCACCCGCACCCGCACCCGCACCCGCACCCGCACCCGCACCCGCACCCGCACCCGCACCCGCACCCGCACCCGCACCCGCACCCGCACCCGCACCCGCACCCGCACCCGCACCCGCACCCGCACCCGCACCCGCACCCGCACCCGCACCCGCACCCGCACACCGCACCCGCACCCGCACCCGCACCCGCACCCGCACCCGCACCCGCACCCGCACCCGCACCCGCACCCGCACCCGCACCCGCACCCGCACCCGCACCCGCACCCGCACCCGCACCCGCACCCGCACCCGCACCCGCACCCGCACCCGCACCCGCACCCGCACCCGCACCCGCACCCGCACCCGCCACCCGCACCCGCACCCGCACCCGCACCCGCACCCGCACCCGCACCCGCACCCGCACCCGCACCCGCACCCGCACCCGCACCCGCACCCGCACCCGCACCCGCACCCGCACCCGCACCCGCACCCGCACCCGCACCCGCACCCGCACCCGCACCCGCACCCGCACCCGCACCCCGCACCCGCACCCGCACCCGCACCCGCACCCGCACCCGCACCCGCACCCGCACCCGCACCCGCACCCGCACCCGCACCCGCACCCGCACCCGCACCCGCACCCGCACCCGCACCCGCACCCGCACCCGCACCCGCACCCGCACCCGCACCCGCACCCGCACCCCCCGCACCCGCACCCGCACCCGCACCCGCACCCGCACCCGCACCCGCACCCGCACCCGCACCCGCACCCGCACCCGCACCCGCACCCGCACCCGCACCCGCACCCGCACCCGCACCCGCACCCGCACCCGCACCCGCACCCGCACCCGCACCCGCACCCGCACCCGCACCCGCACCCGCACCCGCACCCGCACCCGCACCCGCACCCGCACCCGCACCCGCACCCGCACCCGCACCCGCACCCGCACCCGCACCCGCACCCGCACCCGCACCCGCACCCGCACCCGCACCCGCACCCGCACCCGCACCCGCACCCGCACCCGCACCCGCACCCGCACCCGCACCCGCACCCGCACCCGCACCCGCACCCGCACCCGCACCCGCACCCGCACCCGCACCCGCACCCGCACCCGCACCCGCACCCGCACCCGCACCCGCACCCGCACCCGCACCCGCACCCGCACCCGCACCCGCACCCGCACCCGCACCCGCACCCGCACCCGCACCCGCACCCGCACCCGCACCCGCACCCGCACCCGCACCCGCACCCGCACCCGCACCCGCACCCGCACCCGCACCCGCACCCGCACCCGCACCCGCACCCGCACCCGCACCCGCACCCGCACCCGCACCCGCACCCGCACCCGCACCCGCACCCGCACCCGCACCCGCACCCGCACCCGCACCCGCACCCGCACCCGCACCCGCACCCGCACCCGCACCCGCACCCGCACCCGCACCCGCACCCGCACCCGCACCCGCACCCGCACCCGCACCCGCACCCGCACCCGCACCCGCACCCGCACCCGCACCCGCACCCGCACCCGCACCCGCACCCGCACCCGCACCCGCACCCGCACCCGCACCCGCACCCGCACCCGCACCCGCACCCGCACCCGCACCCGCACCCGCACCCGCACCCGCACCCGCACCCGCACCCGCACCCGCACCCGCACCCGCACCCGCACCCGCACCCGCACCCGCACCCGCACCCGCACCCGCACCCGCACCCGCACCCGCACCCGCACCCGCACCCGCACCCGCACCCGCACCCGCACCCGCACCCGCACCCGCACCCGCACCCGCACCCGCACCCGCACCCGCACCCGCACCCGCACCCGCACCCGCACCCGCACCCGCACCCGCACCCGCACCCGCACCCGCACCCGCACCCGCACCCGCACCCGCACCCGCACCCGCACCCGCACCCGCACCCGCACCCGCACCCGCACCCGCACCCGCACCCGCACCCGCACCCGCACCCGCACCCGCACCCGCACCCGCACCCGCACCCGCACCCGCACCCGCACCCGCACCCGCACCCGCACCCGCACCCGCACCCGCACCCGCACCCGCACCCGCACCCGCACCCGCACCCGCACCCGCACCCGCACCCGCACCCGCACCCGCACCCGCACCCGCACCCGCACCCGCACCCGCACCCGCACCCGCACCCGCACCCGCACCCGCACCCGCACCCGCACCCGCACCCGCACCCGCACCCGCACCCGCACCCGCACCCGCACCCGCACCCGCACCCGCACCCGCACCCGCACCCGCACCCGCACCCGCACCCGCACCCGCACCCGCACCCGCACCCGCACCCGCACCCGCACCCGCACCCGCACCCGCACCCGCACCCGCACCCGCACCCGCACCCGCACCCGCACCCGCACCCGCACCCGCACCCGCACCCGCACCCGCACCCGCACCCGCACCCGCACCCGCACCCGCACCCGCACCCGCACCCGCACCCGCACCCGCACCCGCACCCGCACCCGCACCCGCACCCGCACCCGCACCCGCACCCGCACCCGCACCCGCACCCGCACCCGCACCCGCACCCGCACCCGCACCCGCACCCGCACCCGCACCCGCACCCGCACCCGCCACCCGCACCCGCACCCGCACCCGCACCCGCACCCGCACCCGCACCCGCACCCGCACCCGCACCCGCACCCGCACCCGCACCCGCACCCGCACCCGCACCCGCACCCGCACCCGCACCCGCACCCGCACCCGCACCCGCACCCGCACCCGCACCCGCACCCGCACCCGCACCCGCACCCGCACCCGCACCCGCACCCGCACCCGCACCCGCACCCGCACCCGCACCCGCACCCGTACCCGCACCCGCACCCGCACCCGCACCCGTACCCGCACCCGTACCCGCACCCGCACCCGCACCCGTACCCGCACCCGCACCCGCACCCGCACCCGCACCCGCACCCGCACCCGCACCCGCACCCGCACCCGCACCCGCACCCGCACCCGCACCCGCACCCGCACCCGCACCCGCACCCGCACCCGCACCCGTACCCGCACCCGCACCCGCACCCGTACCCGCACCCGCACCCGCACCCGCACCCGTACCCGCACCCGTACCCGCACCCGCACCCGCACCCGTACCCGCACCCGCACCCGCACCCGTACCCGCACCCGCACCCGCACCCGTACCCGCACCCGCACCCGCACCCGTACGCGCAAACATTCCTACATTCCTTCACACACACGAACCTGGATGACCCCCGTGTAGAATGTACGACACCTCTTGCGTACGGTATCGCAGTACAGGTGCCGCCCCGTGGGCAGGTAGCTGGAGGGGTCTGCCAGGAAGGCCGTGAAGCCGTCCTCCCGGCACCTCCGCACGATGTGGTCCGCCACCTCTCGCGCTGTTGCGTCCTGCGGTGGTGGTGTTTACCAGTGGTACGGGAAGCTGTTACAAGCTACACGGATTGACAGCAGCCTACGACAAGCATGCTGGTAACCCGGCGCGCGAAACACACAAAACGCAAGTGGGTGGTTGGCTGGTGCCACCCCGTCCCTCTCACGCAGCCGCGCAAAAACACCGGCCTATCCTTACCCCATCAGCCTTCGCTGGCCCGCCGTGCCTTCCCTACCCCGCCTCTCCCCTCCGCATACCCACATGACCACCCCCGTCCCTAACTCCCTCCTGGACCCATCATGCGTCCATATGCTCATATCGCCATGCCGCCCCTTGCCTCCCCCGCACCCTCTACTGCTCCTCAGCCTCCTGTCCCGTCTGACCCTCTACGTGGTCACATACTCATGTCGGGTGGCCCGTTGCTAGCTTGCTCCTACCTAGCCTACTAACGGTACTGTTCCTCCCGCCCCGCTCCCCTGCAGCAGTCACTGCCCCCACCTACCTGCAGGTCCGGGTGCTGCCCCATCATCTTGACGCGCAGGTCCAGCGGCCCCCCCGCCAGCAAGCTCACGAAGTGGAACTTGGAGGTAGAGGACTCTAGGCGCTCCAGTCGCACGTCGGTGTCGCCGCTGCGGGTGCGGGAGGCGGGGTGCGGTGCGGGTGCGGGTGGGGCAGGGAGGCGGGGGAGGGACACAGGAGGGGGAGGTAAGCAGTACGATACGTACGAAGGGGAGTGACGGGGAGGTTGCGCATGCAGGCACGCAGCACCTTGGCGGATCTGGTGTCTGGGTAGCGGTATGCTGCTGACCCGCTGCGAGCATTGAAAGGCCGGAGGAGCACACAGTTGCAAAGGAGGATGGAATGAAACAACGGCCCCTTCCGAAACAATGGCGGCTTGTTGGTTGGTTGCATGACGCACCGTGTTATACCCGGTGGATCAGCGAGGAGGTACCCGAAGGTGCCTGGGGGACATGCTCGCCCATGCAGCTCTGTGCACGGCAGGTCCACAACACGCACACAAACAAGCACACGGCCAGCAGGCACACGCCCCTCTATCACGCCCCTCACCCCTCTCCCAGCTGCAACACAATGGCGTAGTGCACGTTGAGCTCCTGGTTGATCACGTGAAGCATGGCGGATGTCGCCGAATCCAGCCGTACAAACCCCATTCCGCTGCCACCACCGCTGCTCCCGCCGCCGCTGTTGTCATTGCCACTGCTGTCGCTGCTGCCGCCGGCGCCAGCAGCAGCGTTAGCAGGACCAGTACCCGCAGCACCCGCCTCAGCAGCAGCCGGCTCCCCCGTCAGCAGAGCGATGAGGCGGTGTACGGTGGCCTCGGGCACACTGTTGCCGTACACCGACCGCACCTTTCCCTTCGCGTAGCTGCCAACATCCTACCGGATAAACGTGCGTGGAGCGAGGCGGGGGTAAGGGGCAAGGAGGCACAGCAGGGTCGGTTGATGGTTGTTTCTTCTGTGACAGGGGAGCAGGGATGGTGGGTGGGTGGGTAGCTGCTGGCGTGTAATGGTTCGTGTGTACGGCTGTGGTCAGCGGTGGGGTTGGAAGGATGTGGGGTTCGATGGGATCGTCTGCGTGTGTGTGGTTATGACCGGGGTAGGAAAGCCCAAGCAGCGTGGTGCGCGACAGGTACGTAAGGGTAGGGCCAGGCAGGGTAGCATCAGGCAGGGTGGCACCAAACGCGGAGGATTGGGAGTGGAATGAGGGGCCTCCCAACGAGGGGCCTCCCAGCGGACCTGGAGGCAGGTGGGGCTGACAGCGCCGCACAGCTCCAAGTCCCCCAGGTTGTAGAAGAACTGCGTGCCTGCATGCGGTCGCAAACACACACCGCAGTTTTCTTAACACACCGCAGTACGTTTCTACTCGTGACCAGTGTTCTTAACACCCCCAAGGTGCATGCATGTCGCTAGTCAGTACAGTACAGGTACCAAGGTTCGGTTGGCTTAACACACTGGGTGTGTTTGCAGGCATGGAGCAGCAGCAGCAGCGGCAGCAGGAGATGCAGCGGCGGCTCGACACGGAGGGGCGCTGGGGGCAGGACTCGAAAAACACAGCCGCCACAAGGTTCCGTCCCGTCTGAACATGCCACGCCGGGGCCGCTGGGCACCGGTATGCACCTCGCACACCAAAGCCACCCGGCCATCACGTGCGGCGTCGTGCGGCAAACTTATACGGTTCCTAACCCTTCTACATACCGATAGCCCTCCTCAACGCACAACCCACCCGCACCAAGCCGTCCCCTTCCACCCCACCCCACCCCACCCCACCCCAAGCCGTCCCCACCCCAGCCCCCACATCTACGGTATCCTCCCCCACGCACCCAGGTTAAACCTCAGCTTGAGCAGCCCAAACGGCGGCTGCACCCCGGCTGCCGAGTGCACCGCGGCGGACAGCGCAGCCGCCACCGCCTCCAGGGAGTCGCTGTTGTGCACCCGCAGCAGCAGCTGCTCTTGGCTGGACAGGCCCTCATTTGGATCAACGGCTGTTGCCATGGCAGCATGGGAGGCACCTGCATGACACATGCATACCGGTACATGAAACATGATTAAACCAACAAGCAAAGCAGTCACCAAAGTGTATATTACGGATAGCCATGTGTTGACTAGCATGCAGCACGCACCGCAGCCTGCTGCTGCTGTCGGCGCGTATGATGGCTAGCACCGGTTACGGATCCGAGAGGGCATATCAGAGGATAGGGTATCTATCGGTGTTATACGACGCACCTGTCGTACGGCGGTTGCAGTTGGATGTGAAAATGTAGCCGCATTCATGGATGTTGGTGCCAACATCCAGGGTGGTGCTCCCGGTGTCGCCTTGGGGGATGCAGCTAGGCGCCAGGGAGAAGAGCTGCTCCCGCCGGCCGGTTTGCCGTGCAACCTCGTCGCCTGACGATGAATGCAGGAAAGGAAAGGATCGAACCCCACCGAAGGAGGGTACCATGAAGCCATGGGCGGTGTGGTGGATGCAGGACGTGAAGTTACCGTAGTACCGGCACAAGCCTTGGATTAGGGTCGGGCGCATTGGTGCCCGGTGCACAGTAGCAGCAGCAGACACTACCTCTCCCGCCATTGCAACGAGAAGCAAAGCGCTGCTTGGGTTGCGCGCGGCGCTGTCGTCATATGTTTTGGCTGGAGCATGCATGGACTACCGTGCACAGTCCGTACAAACGGAGGCCCATGAGCCAACTGTCTCATCCTGTAGAAAGGCTGCAACATACCGGTGAGTGTCCCAGAGGGAGCCTTCAGGACATCACGTGAGGCATGAGTTCGGAACCTGTGTCACCCTGCCCAAACACTTGGCAGTGCCGTAGATGCGCACCCGGGGACGCTCACCGTGCCTTGCAACGAACCGCACGTTGTCATCCGCGCCCTTCGCGCTCCCTAGCAACACAAAGTCCACACGCGCAGGGTGAGGGTAGGCTTGACTGCCTGCGCGGTGGCCGCAACGCAGAAGAAAGGGATACCGTGGATACGATGTGTGATGTGACTTGCGCCAAAAATATTCCAGTACGGCACGCCAACTTCTCCTGCTCTCGAGCAAGAGCAAGACACTCCGAGACCACGCACCCATTGCGATGTTCGCTTGCAGTTGCTTGCGCAAGAGGATCACAGCCCGCTCCAGCGATTGCCTAGATGTGGCATTAATGGTGATGCCGTTTGGGTCAACAAAGATGCGCGTTCCTGGGCCCGCCTGGGTTTGCAGCCAGCGGACGTTGCGGCCCTGACGACCAAAGATTGCGCCAGCTGGCACCTCACGCGGAAGCGGCACTTTAGCCTGGTAGGACATCGTTAACAAGGTAGGATAGTACTGCTATGGTGTGCCTAAACGCAGTTGCGCTGCTGTCTGGTGCCTCGAAGGATACCAGAAGGCCGCAATCGCTCGGCTGGAAGCAGCCCTTGCCATGCAAGTAAGCTGAAACGCGCGATTTGGGTCTCCTATACCCTTACTGCGAGTATGCCTGCAACGTATAAGCGCATGAAGTTTGCAAGGAATGAAGAGGCATTTTGGGCTGGAACCCGTGACGGCCCTTCACGGCCCGTGAACGGCCGACCGTTTTCCAACTGCTCCTTGGAAAGACGCCAGTTATGAGGCGACACGAGACTCCGTTTAGTTCGTCTCGAACACCTTATCCATCTACATTGAAATGGGCTGCACAGGTGGACGGTAGAGTGCGGAAAATACTTGTAGCTCTTCGCGTCGTCTACACGCGAAATAACCGGAAGTTGGACCGATTTTCGGGCGGGCCGGTTTTTTATGCCAACTAAGTTATACGGTTCAACTGCGGCAAGAGGCCGATACTGTAAACCCTTGTCGCAATTATCGCCGAACGTACTTATTCATCGCATACCGGCGGCCCCATCCATCAGCCCCCAGCATCCCGACATAAACCATTCACCGCATTCACCGCCGTTCGGTGGCTCAGCCCAGCCATGCAGCCACCGCACATTACATCTGTCCGCTACCGGCAAGTTTTGCCAGGAACCCAGGAACCCAGGAACCCTCACCCTCCCATCATGCACGCAATCCTCACCGCAGTCCCACCCTCGCCGCCCGCTACCGCTCCCCCTGCCCCCCGACCTCCCCACGACCATAATACGTAGGCGGCGCCGGCAACCTGAACACCCGCCCCTCCCCGCTGCTGCCTGCCCCTCCTCCGCCCCGCCCACCACCATCCCCTCCTCCTCCTCCTCCAAGCCCTGGGCTCGCAGCCACACCCCGCTCACCACCCCCGCTCCTCGTACCCGCCCCCGACACCTCGTCCTCCCTACCCAACCCCTGCTGGCCCCCCTCCTGCCCTCCTTGCTGCCGCTGCGGCTGCCGTACACCTTCCGTCAGTTGTGTCAGTTGCCGCTCTCCTCCTGCATGTCGTCCCCCAGTGTCCCCCACCGCCCCCACCGCCCGCTGCCCCGGTCCCACCGCCCCCACCGCCCGCTGCCCCGGTCCCACCGCCCCCAGCACCCGCACCAGCTCCACCTCCAGCAGCAGCGGCTCCCCACGGTGCCCCGACAGCCGCCGCCGCCCGCCGAACGTGTCGGGCCGGGGGCCCACCTGCAGGGGGGGCAGGAGGGTAGGGAACCGTATCGTGCTCCAAGGCTCCACCATGGGGCAAGGGGGGGGGGGAAGGCGGCAGCAGGGGCCGCAGCAGCAGCAGGATGGGTATACTGGTACTCTTGTTGGGGTACTACAGCACCCCAATTGGTGGCCTGGGGGGAAGAGGGGAGATGTGTACGGCAGATAGCAAATGGCAGGCAAGGTCCAACCCGGCCCTCTCCGTGGCTTTCGGGATGAGATGACCCATGGGTCTCCGATCCCCTCACTACTTGCGCACCCACCTAGCCAGCACCCATCCACGCCTCCCTGGACGTCATACCGTGGTAGATCTGTTTTGTGTCAGCCCACCGCTCCTTCACCCCACATCGTCCCAGTGCCTTTGCCTTGCTGTTACTGCTCAGGAGCTTATTTTTTTGTCTTTGCTTCCATCCGCCTGCATCTACCCGCCTTCCTCACCTTATCGTCCACCCAGCCCAGCCCCGGCGGCACCAGCACCCGGCGCCGTCCGCCCTGCCGCATGCCCAGCAGCGCGGGGGGCACCGCAGCGGGCAGCGCCAGCGGGTCATCCAGCCTGCGAACAGAAGGGCGGCAAGCAGGTAGAACACGGTAGGCACCAGCTGTCCGGGCGGGAGCGAGGCAACGGATGGACTGGAACGGATCGAACCGGATAGGCGGATAGGCGGGACTAGGTGGGCGGGAAGATAGGCAAATATGAAGCGTCAGCGCAAAGGGTTAGAGGAGGTGAGCCAGCAGGACACAGTAAGCAGCTGCGGTTTGCGCCCGAACAGCCCTAGCAAGTGGGGGCGACCTATCACGTCCCCGTACAGGATGTACGACCCAACCGCTAGCGCCCAACTACCGTATAACTCCCAACTGCCGTACTACCGTACACCTACCTGAACCTGTACGTCTGCCCCACATCGTCCTTGCCTTCCTGGCCGTACCCCAGCGAGAACAGGAACACCGGGGTGCCTCCGCCGCTGTACTTGTAGTAGGCGCCGGAGGAGAGGCGGTACACGATGTAGGAGATCTCGCACACCGACCCGTGGGTCGCGGCGGGGCCGGAGCCCTCCAGCAGCTCCCGGTACTGGGTGCCTGGGGGTGAGGGTGAGGGGTGGGGGTGCATGGGGGGATGCACGAGTGGCAAAAGCACAAGAAACTGAAGTTCCAATGCACCTAAAAACCCAACCCATGGAGGATTGTAGTGAGGGAGGGTCATTGGGTAAGGGGTGGGGTTAATGTGACATTTGCACTGACGTGACGACCGGGGAACTTCACTCTGGCTAACGCTCATCCTGATACGTCGCTGAGATATTTGCCACATTCCTTTACTTCTCCGATAAAGTTGCAACAGCTACGTCGCTGCTACGGATAAGCAGGCTACCGTCATGTCCTCGTACCGTACCGTTCGGTAATGTGACTAATGTCCCCGGCTGTTCGTACTGCCGGTACCGCAACCGCTCCTCTTGTACGGCATCCCTGTCGCTGACGCTGCTACTGCTGCTGGCGCCAGCAGCAGCCGAGCCGCCTGCAGTTCCACTGCTGCCCGCCTGCCGCTCCCGTTCTGATGCCTCCCGGGCCCTACGAACCTCCCGAAGGCATTGCTGCAGCGCGTAGCCGTTGAGACCTGAGGGCACTTAGACAAGGGTAGCTGTCTACTGGAAGGGCAAGTGGAAAGGCAAAAAGGCAAATCTTGGCTGCCCACGCTGCAGCTGGCACCGTGTACTAACCCTAGCTGACATTTGCAATCCCGCTTCCTCGTAAGATTCATTTCACGTTCTGTGACACGGACGTTTTAGTAATCGAGTACTCACCTGGGCATGGAATGCCGGCCTTAGCGGGTCCAGCCATTGCAAGCAAACCAGCAGCGGCAGTCAAGGCGAGCAGTTGCTTACGGCGGCTATACAACGAACACGATGCTGTTGTTCCTGGCTCAGTTTGCAACGTTGCGCTTGCTGGCAGTGACGACGCATGGGCGCAAGAAGGTTTAGCGCGACATCGTCTTCGTGAGATTTCTACCACCCGGTAAGATTGAACGGCAAGCGAGGGAAAGCAGTAAAGCTTCAAGGCAGTAGGTCGCTGTGCGGTCTGCAAGCGGCCGAGCGCACCAGCGTGCGCCATCCCGCTGTGCACCCGGCTCAATGAGGTCGACGGACGACGTGCTACACAACGAGAATTTGCAAAATGCTCCTAAGCAAGGAGCGCGAAAGATCGTGAACCAACCGCATTTCCGTACTTTGCAACCGCGCAGCGGTTCACGAGTGCTTGCCTTGCACCTTAAAGTTGCAGACTTCTTATCGGTGTTATTTTCACACATCATCACGTCATTGACTGCGCACACAATTGCTCTTGCTTGCTGTTTCCATCCTTTATTTAGTATTAACCCCGGCTTTAAGGTTATTGCGTAATTTTGCACATACACTAACGATAGCGTGTAACGTTTACATTGTACATTGAGTAGCTATTGTTGGACATGGCAAAGCGGAAACAACAAGAGGAGCAGCCGCGCGCTGATGCTAACGGGCGGCCAAGGAAGCAAGCAAAGCAAAATGCAAAGAAATTAGGTAAGCTAGCTCTTGGAATACCCAGCCGCCTTGTCGTCGACGGATGTGGCGCCGCCGGCTGTAGAGCCGGGGACCAAGGATTCGCTTTTCATAGCTTAATAGCATCGTTCGAAAGTGCACCGTTCGTTAGTTTGGCAGTAAAGGTCGTGGCGTCTTGCGTGGTAGTTGTAATGCACGAACCAACACCTTTGCCTGCACAGTTTAGAACGTACGTCGTCCTTTCATAACGGGTTTTCCCTAACCCACATTAGTGATATTGCCTGCTCAGCGTTGCCCCCACGTCCGGTGACTACCATTAGCCCTCCTCCCCAAACCATTAGCCCTTCAGCCCTTACTCATACCCATGGATGCCGACCACTCCCCTGTCCCTCCCTTTACCTCCTCGCCCCATCCACCCACCCCCTCCCTCCCTCCTCCCAGCCACCGCACCCCCACCATCCGCCGCCCCCGCCAAACCCCGCGTCGGCGCCTTCTCCACCACCATCGCCGGGCCCTCCGCCCCCTCCCCCGCTGCCCCGCCCACCACCACCACCACCACCGCCCCCCTCACCTCCTCCTCCTCCGCGCCCTTCAAGAACAAGGAGAAGGTGCTGGTGCTGTCCACCCGCGGCGTCACCTTCCGCTACCGGCACCTGATGGAGGACGTGGCGGCGCTGCTGCCGCACGCCAAGCGCGAGTCCAAGCTGGACACGAAGAGCGACCGGCGGGTGATCAACGAGGTGGCGGACCTGAAGGGATGCAGCAGCGTGCTGTTCTTTGAGGTGAGGGGGGGAGGGGGGGGGAGGGGGGGGAGGGAGGGAGGGAGGGAGGAGGGGGAGAAGCTGACGAGCTGGGAGCGGGGGGGGTCAAAGACCATACACCGAACCATAGGAAACCACAGGTTGGGGCAAAACAATGGGGATAGGAAGCGGCAACTGTGAGGGGGGGCGGGAGGGAGGGGGGGGAGAGGGATTAGTAAACTGAGCCGCGAGAGAAGGAGAGGGAGAAAGAGGTGCGGAGGCTGGATGGGGCGGCAGGAAAGGAGCGGCGGGGTGAGAGGAAGGAAGAGGATAGCAGCAGCAGCAGCGGGGGGCGGTGCCCCCGGCCCCCGGTAAGAGCCGCAGCGGGGCGGCGTGTGGTGGTGGCTAGGCCCGGGGGAACCGCGAGGGCGGTTGAGGAGGGGGGCGGCGGCGGTGAGGGCGGGGAGGGGAGGAGAGGAGAGGAGCAAGGGGCGGAAGGGGGGGTGGAGGCGGCTGCAGGTGGCTTAGCATTTAGGGAAGCAGGTGGTGGTCGTCCTTGCCGGGGCTAGGGCCGGGGCTGGGTTGGGCGGGAAGGCGGGGCGGGGTACATGGGCGGGTGCGGGGCAGAGGGCGGAGAGTGTGGGTGGCTTTCGCGGCCTGCTGAAGAGGTAACAAAGCCCGGCTGGGACACGAACTTGGCAAAGGGGTATAAATAGACAGCGGACTCACAGCAGCTGACCGAGGAGGACGCCAGATGGGGTGCGGGTGTGTGCGTGTTGCATGTGGTGGGGTTGTCAGGCGGTGCTGGGGAGGTGCGCGGGGTTGCCCCATGCTACCCGCTGGGCTGTGGGTGGGGGTGCTTTGTTTGTTGTAGGTGGTGTGGCTTGGGTTGAGTGGCGCTGGTGGTTTGGTCGGCTATTGGCTGGTGGTGGGAGGTTGGGTGGAGCCAGTGGAGGGTTGGGGAGCTGGGGACAGAGCTTTGCCCGGTTTGGTGGGGGTGCATGGCGCTTTGAGGGTGGGGGCGAAGGCTGTGATGGGAGAGGCACCGCACTTGCCGCATCAGCCCACATAGCCGCACCACACCTGCCCTGTCCATCACCTCGCCCCGCGTGTGACACCCCCACGCTGACCTCCCCACTCTGCCTGCCACTGCGCGGCTCCTCTCCTCTTCCTCCTCCTCCTCCTCCCTTGCTCCTAGCATGGCTCCTCTTCCTCCTCCCCTCCCCCTCCGTTGCTTCACCTCTCATATATCCCCCTCCCCGCGCCCTTCCCTTAGGTCCGCAAGAAGCAGGACCTGTACCTGTGGCTGTCCAGGTCCCCGGACGGCCCCTCAGCCAAGTTCCATGTGGCCAACGTGCACACCATGGCGGAGGTGGGGGAGGGGGGGGACGGGAAGTGAAGCAACGGAGGGAGGGGGGTTAAAAACGAAATGAGAACTGCAGCACAGCCCCATGTCCCAACTGCTCACTGCATGTGCAGTGGGGGAGGTGGGAGGGAAGAGCGTTAAGGAAGAGGCGCATGGGGCCAACCCGTTACGCCAATCCAGGAACCCAAACTACCCTCTGCCTGTCCTGACCCTTATTTTTGCAAAAGCTTCCTACACCCCCTGCCGCCCGGGTGTTGCCTGGTGTCCTATTCCCTCTTAACCCCGCTCCTACCGCCCTCCCCGCTCCTCCCGCCCTCCCCCCCCCCAGGTGAAGCTGTCGGGCAACCACCTGAAGGGCTCCCGGCCCGTGCTGTCATTCGATGCGGGCTTCGACGGTCAGCCGCACACGCAGCTGCTCAAGGAGATGCTCACGCAGGTGGGGTCGGGAGGAAGGGAGGGGGTGGGGGCAAGGGAGGAGAAGAGGGGGAACCTGACGAGGGATGTATGACGAGGGGGGGCTGCACCATGGGTTGCTACATGGTACCCGGCCATCCCGCCCCACCCTGGGGGAGGAGGGGAGGGGAGAGAGGGAGGGAGGGAGCTTAGGGAAGAGGCACGAGGCAACTTGAAGCGTTTCCTTTGGTGGTGGTGTGGCTTTGGGTTCCCGCTATGATCATCCGCTGTCACATGAGTCAACACCCATCAAGCCAGCCCACCCTAACCTGACGTTTGCCCACGTAACCCCGCCCACCCCTACCCTCCCTCCCCCTCCCCCCTTCCAGACGTTCGCCACCCCCAAGTGGCACCACAAGGCCAAGCCCTTCTTCGACCACGTCCTCTCCTTCACGCTGGCGGACGACCGCATCTGGGTGCGCAACTACCAGGTGGGGGGGGGGCAGGGGGGGAGGGGGGAGGGGTGGGGAGGGGGGGCACAAAGGAAGGGACTAACTGACCGTGTGGCTCTTATCCCGCCCCCCGGGGGGCCCTATCTCACCTGGCTCACACCCGCTCCTCCTCCGCACATCCCTTCTGCACCTTAATCACCTAATTACCGCAAAACAAGTCAAATTATTGCGGTTAACCCAATGCACAATGCCCCTCTGCCCCCCTCCCCTCCCGCAACAGCTGGTGGTGCCGCCCGACAAGAAGCGCGCCGACCCCTCCAACGCCTCCCTCGTGGAGGTGGGGCCGCGCTTCTGCCTCAACCCAATCAAGGTGGGGAAAAGGGGGGAGGGCCAGGGAAAGGTACCGGGGCCATTGCAACATGGGTGGACTTGGGGCCCGGCACAGGAGAGGATGCTGCCTTTCCCAGCTGCTCGCTTTCTCCCTCCCTCCCGGTAGTCCATTCACTGCTACCGCCCTTCGTCTGTGTGACCTCCTCCTGTTGCTACTCCTGCTTTCGCTGCTGCCGTACACAGATCTTTGGCGGCAGCTTCGGGGGGCCCACGCTGTACGACAACCCGTCGTACACCTCCCCCAACGCCATTCGCGCGGCGCTGAAGCGCAAGGCGGCTAGCAAGTACGGCAGCAAGGTTGCGCAGCGCGACCGCCGTACAGAGCACAAGGCCGCGAACCCCATGCCTCGGGACCCCATGGAGGGGCTGTTCCGAGGGGAGGAAGAGGGTAGCGAGGGGGCGGAGGAGTAGGGGAGGAGGGGAAGGGGGTCGAGGGGAGATGGGAGAAGGGGATGGAGGGGGTGGAATGCTAGGTAGGGGTTGGGTGGGTGTTGGGTTTGAGGTGGGTTTTGGGTTTGAGGGTAGATAAAACGAGCACATCCGGATAGGGTGGGCGTGTAGGACTTAAACGTGATGTGTTGTATGCTGTATCAGGTACCGGTACTAGGTGGACTGAGTGGAATGCGACTGACATGGCAGGTGATTGGGTGAGGTTGGAGTTTGAGATACGTTTGGGTGGCAATTTCAAGTGGCGACGCGACACCAGTGCAAGGTTGGAGTGGGCCTAATCAGCGCCGGAAGTGCAAGAGTCACGTGACATGAGCAGGCATCTGGTCTAGCGGATGCTAGGGGGCGAATTGCGATGAGGTGCAGGAAGTGCATGTCGCTGGCTATTTGCTTTCTTGCCAACCACGTTGTTGTCAAGGGTACGACTGCTCAACTGAAACGCCGTGCATATGTGGTAACTTGTTTCGTCCTGTGCTTCTTCAGCTGCTGCTTGGTTAGGCTGGTGTGCCCAGCAATTGAAGTAGCAGTTGAACCGGAGCAAATGTTTAGGCGCTATCGATGGGCGTAGGGTTCCAGGCTATTACCGCTTTACGCAGCTGTCTGATTGCTGGATTGCGTCGTTCCTACATTTCGAAAGAATTTATTGAACATTACGTTCTTGTATCGGGCGGAAACATGTATGCCCCAATTCGCGGCTTTCGAAGCTGCAACACAGCGACATCGTCAAAAGGCACCTCCGCAGGTCCAGTACTTCTAGCGAGGCATAGCATTCCAACTTTCGGCCTTTCTGGGTCTCGACTGCTTGCGCATGAGCGCCGCCAACAGCTGGGCATAATTACAACAGCACTGAAAAGCGACAGCAGCAACTCTCTCTATGCAACCGCTACTCGTCCAAGAAAGCTTGGAACCGGCAAGGAGGCCGTCGCGCCCCTTCCTACTGGAGAGGATGACCTCATGCTTGTCCCATGTGCCCACCTGCACACCGAGCAGCTGGAGAGACTCGACATTTACACCCTAAAGGACTTCCGCCGGGCTTACGAGGAGAATAAACCAAACTTTCATCGCTTCCTCCAGGCAAGGTTGGGGTTCCATGGGCGGGAAACCCTGCCCTTTTGCCTTTCAGGCACCTTTCATACCAGCTATCCAAAAGGGCGGGGATGAGCCCCAATTACCTTCCGCCAGGGGGCACGAGGATTTCGGTAGGCCGAGCAAGCCAGTAACTGCGACTGCTACAGTCTGTGACATGCCCTTTCCCAGTGCACCCAAACGTCCCCCCTCCTTCCCCCTCCCCCCCATTAGGACAAGGTGGGGGTGCACGATGAGCGGCAGCTAGCCGCCATGGAGGCCTTCTTCAGGGCCCTCGACTCGGCTGCTGCAGCCGCTGCAACCACCACTGCGACTGCTGCGGGTACGGCAGCAGCCATGCACCATACGACAGCAGCAACAGGAGCTGGGGCAGCAGCAGCGATGGAGCGGCCGGTGGTTGAGGGGCGGCCGGTGGTTGGGGCGGCGACGGCAGCTGCGGTGGTTGCTGCGGGGATGACGTCGCAGCAGGTGGGGGGTGGGGAGGCGGGTGGAGGAGGTTTGTTTGGGGGCGCTGGAGGGTGAAGGAATTATGAGGTGGGGAGAAACGGAGGTGGGGGCAGGCTATGTCCTGGATTCCGGATGTTAAGGATGGGGAGGAGCATGCGTTGATAGATGCCGGTCGCAAGGGGCTACTAGTGTAGTGTACATGGCGCAGATCCACCTGTCCCTCCCCTCCCCCCACCTCCACCTGTCGCTCCCCTCCCCGCCCGCTCCCAGGTCACCCTGAGTGTGGAGGGCAACATCAGCGCGGGCAAGAGCACCTTCCTCAACATCCTCAACCGCCACCTCATAGGCGAGCGGGAGGGATTCAGCGTGAGTGTGGAGGGGTGGGAGGGTGGTGGGGTGGGAGGGTGGTGGGGTGGGAGAGTGGTGGGGAGGGTGGTGGGGAGGGTGGTGGGGTGGGTGGTGGCAGGGGAGTGGCAGCGGCACATCAACAGGGGCTGTCCGTGAATCCTCCTTTGTCCCCAGCTGGTACTTACCTCATTGTTTGTTGCCTTCGGGCTTTGCATTAGCTCAAAACCTCCACCCCTCCCCTCTCTCCCACCTCCCCCTGGCGTCCTCCCCCAGTTTGTGAAGGAGCCCATCGAGCAGTGGCAGCGGGTGGGCGGGCGCGAGGTGAACCTGCTGGACCTCTTCTACCGCGACCCGGCGCGCATGGCGTACACCTTCCAGAACTACGTATTCCTCACGCGAGTCATGCAGGTGGTGGGAGAGAGGGGGGGAACTGACGAGCTGAACGACGAGGCTTGGCCATGGGAGGGAGGGGGGTAAAAAATTATAATGAGGCACTGACGAAGCAGGGAGGGGGGGGGCCAGCAGGGAGGCAGCCGGGGACGGGGACGCAGGGTGATGGTGGTGGGGGGGTGCTGCCTGCTCGCCTCTGCCGTAGGAATGTGCCGACCCAAGGGGGAGTACTAGCACTGGGCACTTGTCAGAGTACGTTACAAAACACGCCACATGCATGTTGCGCTGGGGGGGGGGGCTTCGAGTATCAGCCTCTCCAACCAACAACCCCCCACCCCCCCAGGAGCGTGACTCGTACGGCAGCAGCACCCGCGCCCGCTTGCTGGAACGCTCCGTCTTCTCCGACCGCATGGTGTTCGTACGTGCCGTACACGCCTCGCAGCACCTGGCGGACCACGAGCTGACCATGTACGACGCCTGGTTCGGGTGAGTTAGGGGGGGGAGGGAGGGAAGGAGAGGAAGAGGCTGGAGGGCTAGCAGGGATTGTGTTAGGGTGTTAAGGTATGGTGTTCTGCCTTAATGAAATGTCACCTCTTACCTGCCGCCCGCCTCCTCTCCGCAGCCCCAGGGCTTGTCAGCTTGTTTTACATCACACCACACATTGAAATTTCTTTTCCCCCGCAGCCCCATCCTGGCCTCCCTGCCCACGCTGGTCCCCAACGGCCTCATCTACCTGCGCGCCTCGCCCGCCACCTGCATGGCGCGACTGCGGAGGCGGGCGCGCAGCGAGGAGGGCGGCATCCCGCTGGACTACCTGCAGGTGGGGCGGAGGGGGGGGCTGGACTACCTGCAGGTGGGGCGGAGGGGGGGGCTGGACTACCTGCAGGTGGGGCGGGGGGGGGGCTGGACTACCTGCAGGTGGGGCGGAGGGGGGGGGGGGGGGGGGGGGGGAGGGGGGCTGGAGCCGGGATGGGGTCCTATCCCCTTCCCTCCCACTACATGATATAACCCATGGGGGAAGCCCTGTTGCACGGAGGTTGATTATTCGCTCTTTCCCTCCCCCCTGCCGCCCACTCCAGTCCCTGCACGCCAACCACGAGGACTGGCTGCTGGAGGCGGGCTGCCGGGCCGCGCAGCTGAAGGACTTGCTGGCCGCCAGCAGGCGGCAGCAGGGGGCGGAGCAGCAGGGGCAGCAGCACCTGCAGCAGTGCTCCTCACCCGCCTCCCCCGCGACACCACCCACAACAGTGACATCCTCCTCCGCACCCTCCGCCTCCTCCTCTCCATCGTCGTCTTCCTGCCAACAGCACCACCACCACCACCACCAGCACCATCAGAGCCAGGAGCAAGCGCAGGCACGAGGGCAGTTGCGGCCGCTGCTGCAGTCGCCGCCTCCCGCACTGGAGTACGTGGACATTCCCGCCTCGCTGGAAGGCTGCCTGTACATCATTGATGCGACAAAGGTGTGAAGGGGGGGGGGGGACAGGGAGCGGGAAAGCGAAAGGGTGCGCATGGGTGATGCCCAGCACGGCGGGAGCGCTTTCAAACAGCGGTTAGGGCGAGTGAACGTTTGCTTCGTCGTCACACCTCCCCTTTCATGCGTAGGCCCCCTCCCCCTCCCATTTTCCCCCTCCTTCCCTCCCCCCTCCCCCCTCCCCCTCCCATTTTTCCGCTCCCCTCCACCCCCCTCCCCCCTCCCCCCCCTTCCCAGTTGTCGGATGTGTCCAGTGCCGGCTTCCTGCACCAGCTGCCCTCCCTGGTGCTGGACTGCGAGGCGGATGTGGACGTGGAGGGGGACACGGCGTACGGCACGGCAGTCAGCAACAAGGTGGGAAACACAAGAGGGGGGGGGAACACAGGAGAAGGGCATGCTGCGAGCAATAGTGTTGAGGACCCATTGGAGGTCGATCACGCCATGCCCTCACCCTCCATCCCCTCACCCCTCACCCCCCCCCCTCCCTCCCGCGCAGGTTCGCGACTACGCCGCCTTCGTGTCGCACTACCGCGCCGCCTGCCACCGTCTGGCCGCACAGGGCCACCCGGACGCCGCCGCGCTGCGCCTGCCGCGACCCTCCACCGAGTACTACACCACTGACGTGGACGGCAGGGTCACCTACCGGCCCGTGCCGCAGGGGGTGCCCGGGACCGCGGAGAATGGGCCGTGGTCGTCCCGGTAGTAAGCAGGAGTACGGTGGCGGTGGCAGCTGCAGCAGAAGCAGCAGGGAAGGGCAGTTTTGCAGTTTGTGAAGGGTGCATTGTGTATGTAGCTAGCAGAGAGTGTGGGTAAGCAATTGCTTCCTTGGGGGGTGGAGGGCGCATGCGCGAGGAGTCAAGCGAGGGTGGTGGCTCCGATGCGGCGCGATTGAAGCGCCCTTGGAACTAGGAAGCCGGTTTTGTTCAATTAAATAAACAGCTTCCTAGAGGCATGGGGCAGCAGGGCATCTTACATGACGTGACACGAGTGCTGGGGACTTGCAGGATGCATCGACGGCACACATCTTGACACGACTGCGGCAGCTTGACACATGAAGTAACATGGCCGCCTGGCTTGGTGCTGTCAGGCGTGGGGCTGTCCAAACATACCGTACTATGCTTTCCGAACCTGTATTATGAGCACATACCGTACTTCCTGACCGTTCATGTCGTGGTGTATGGTTTTCAAACTTGTTTGGTTGCTTGCCGTATAATGGTGTCGCTGTATTGCCTGAGAGCCGAGCTACTGGATGGTTTGCTTCCGCTGTGTTGCTCTCGGTGGGGGGGGCTTTTACGCGGTTGGGGTCCCCTGGCAAATCGGGTTAGTTATAACCCCCGGGGTTTTTCTTTTTGGCAGGGGGCGGCAAGATGCTTGCTTGTTCTTGATGGTCGTCATACATCTTGTGGACGATTGATGAGAGGAGCACTAGGGATGTTGCTTTCCATGCCGACTTAATGATATGCATTGAGAATTGTTTGTCATAGGCTTACAGCGCTGCTACTGCTGCTGTGTACGCAGGTTTCAGTTATCTGGGTTTCGGTTTTGCAAGCTGCCGTTGTGCGTACAAGGGTCCTACACAGTGATGCAGGGGACCCTTGCGCACGAGCAAGTCACCCCTCGATCGTGCCCTGGGGGATGCCTTTTGACAAGACTACCGCATCGGTGTGGGGTTCCAATCATGCAGGTCGGTTCATTCGTTGCTGTGCTACCGATATGATGATGCAGGGGTCCGACTAGGGGGGCGACCGCACGAGTCCTGCCAGGATTGGGCTGTCGTGAGAGGGAAAGGGAGGGACTGCCGAGTCGGTGGGAGTTGGTTTTCCCACCGGTGTATTCGCTAACATTGGTGAGGCGGGGCGGTTCACCCACGGCGGCGGTGTACGGCGGCACTAATGTCTATGCGTACCATATACTGCATTGTAACCTTGAGGGGAGGGGCTCTCCACATGAGGCATGTGCGGTGGATTGATGGCCGCGAGAAGCAGTGTCGCCCCAACAGACGGTGCCGGGCACCCGTGCATGCATGTGCCCCTGCTTCACGTATCCCAGCCGACAACCAACTAGGCCGCCCCCGGGTGCTGTCGTTGCCCTCATGGTGTCCTTTTCCGATGTGGAATGTTACAAGAGTCCGGACGATTAGAAGGTAAGGAAACTAAACCTAGCCAGCAGGACAAGAAACCCTGACCCAGACCGGCACAGATGCACAGTCGGTGTTGCGAAGGCACCGCGATACGCACGAGTACAGCGGCAGGTGGAGCGAGAGAACAAGGGCACGACGTGGCTGAAGACTGCCCTGCAAGGGACACGGGGGGCTCTGCTGCCAGATGCCGGGGCCTGGGAGAGGAGCCGCTGAAAGCAGCACCAGGGCACTGTTAACGGGGCTGCTGCCGCCGCCTCCTACACCAACACGGTACCCCTCGTGCATCCTTCCTCCTCCACCTCTCCACCTCCTCCTCCTGCTCTCTGCTACCGTACTCCACCTCCACCACCACCTCCTGCAGCCCGGGGCTGGTAGCGGCCACAGCAGCAGCCCCCAGGCGCTCCAGCCCCCCCCCGCTGCCATGCCCCCTCCAACACATACACACCTCCCCAACCCTCCTCCACCCCCCCACCACCTCACGCAAACCCCGCCAGCTCCTTCAACCCCTGGTGGTGTATCGCCATCACCTGGTAGGTCCGCCCCATGCCCTCCGGCCCCTCATCCACCAACCGCTCGCACCCCGACACCAGCGCCGCCGCCGCCGCCTCGCTCACCCCGCGCCCCCCCAGCAGCGCCTGCAGCCGCGCGCCGATGCCCAGCGCCCGCAGGAAGGCCGCCTGGCTGACGGGCCCAGCGGTGGCCACGGGGGCGCCCGAGCCTGCTGCCGCCAGACGCAGCGCTCCGAAGTCCACCCAGGCGCTCAGGTCGGCGGTGCCCGGGGCGTCCAGGATCTGGAAGAGGTGGGGGGGGTTTGGGGGTTGGGGGGGAGGGGTGAGGTGGGGTGGGAGGGAGAGAGGGGCAAAGAGGAAGCGACTAACGAACCGTGTGATAAGGGGCGCCATCATGGTTTGCAACATGTGAGCCAGCACGAGAGGGGGGTTTGTGGAGGCGCAAGAGGGGTGTACGTGGGGTGGAGTGTGGGGGGCGGGGGTGTGTGAAACACAACAGGCACCGTACACGCGGATGACACACGGTGGCAGGGACGGGCAGAACATGCTCCTCTCCCTCCTCTCCCTTCTCTCCACTCCCTCGTCTCTCTACTCCCCCACTCTCCACCCACCCACCTCCACCTCCCCCACCTCCATCTGCCTTCCCCCATACACAGCTTCCAAACCCCTCCCTCCCCCTCCCCCGCTCACTCACCCCCACTCCCCGATGCGCCCGGATGCCCATCAGCGAGTCGCCGTACGGCGGCCCCTCGCGCCCGTAGTCCACCAGCAGCGCCGCGCCGCCCTGCCGACCCAGCCGCTGCGACAGCCGCTCGGCGGTGGCCATACCCACCGCACAGATCTGGGCAGGGAGGTGGAGGTGGAGGGGAGGGAGGCGGAGGGCGGAGGGGAGGGAGGAGGGGGAGATGTGAAGGTGGGGGGCGTCGTGCACCGTCGCCAGCTGGCCGCAGCAGACTAGGTGCAGACATGCAACCGACCGAGTTGAGGAGAGAGAGAGAGCATGACGGAGGATATGGAGGCAGAGGCTGATGAGGGAGACGGACGGAGCCACTTCTCTTCTCCCCATACAGGTTACAACCCCCTCCTCCACACCGAAGCACCGGTACACGGTACACCCTCCCCCCCTCTCTCTTCCCCCCCCTCCCCCCACCCCCTACCTCCAGCTCCTTCACCCCCTCCGCCTCCTCCTTGCTCAGCCCCGCCAGCCGCCGCGGCACCAGCAGCGCCGCAGCGGGGGTGGGCCCCGGCGACAGCACCAGCCGCAACCCGCTGCCGCTGGTGGAGCTGGCAGGGGCAGGTGCGGCAGCTGCTGCCACCTCTGCTGCTGCTGCGGGTGGTAGGGGGCTGCTACGGCTGCTGCTGCCGCTGCCAGCCCCGCCGCTGCTACGAGGCCCCGGCTTCAGCGCCGCTGCTGCTGGCTGAGCTTCCGCTGCTGTCACCTTCCCTTCCCCTTCCCGCTGCCCCCCCTCCCGCTGCCCCCCCTCCTGCCCCTCCTGCCCCTCCCCCTCCTGCTCCTGCAGGTCCACCATCTTCTCAAGCCAGCCGCGCGCCGGGTCCCGCACGAACTGGTGCACGGGCAGCGCATCCAGGAACTCGTGCGCCACCACCAGGGCGGGGCCGGGGCCCTCGGGCACGGAGTCCAGGGAGGAGTGCCAGTGAACCTGGGGGGGAGGGGATGGAGGTGGGAGGGGAAGGGATGGAGGAAAGAGGAGAAGGGTGGGATATGGATAGGATGGGCGGAAGGAGAGGAATGAGCTTTTGATCGGGCTCTCCCACCACCCCGCCCTTGTCATTAGGACATGGAAGTATTCTCATCTCTCTTCTCTGTTGGCCCTTTCGCCTCCCCCACTTCCTCTCCTGCATCCCGCCCTCTTACCCAGCGCCCCCCGTCCCTCCCTCCCTCCCGCCCGTCACCTACCCGGCAACCGTTGAATCCGCACACCCCCACCAAGCCACCTTCCCCCTCCCCTCCGCCTCCTCCTCCTGCTGCTGCCGCGCCTCCTCGGCTGCTACCGACCAACCCCGGGGTCGCTCCTCGTCCCTGCTCCTGCTGCCCCTGCTGTTCCTGTCCCTGCCCCTGGCCCACCAGCGGCGGCAGTCCCGTCCGGAGGTGCCGCATCTCGGCCTCGGAAGCGGCGCTGGGGAGTGGGGAGTGGGGAGGGGGGAGGGGGGAGGGGGGGATTGGGGAACGGAGGGGCAAGGTGGCCGTGGTGGAAGCTGCTGGGGCAGGTGCAGGGACTCGGGAGAGGTCGGGAGAGGAGGGCAACCGCCTGTGCGCGGGGCTCCTGACACAAGCCGAGGGGGCTGCGGGCGACAGCGGCCCGCTGTTGGCTGTTGGCACATGGTGGGGAGGGAGGTCGGGGCACCTCCCGTGTGTGCACCTCAGCCCCTGCAAGCCGTCGACTCACCTAGCGGGAGCAGCAACTCCGGGAAAGAGGGCCACCCACACCGACTGGGAACCGACTGGTATCCAGGGCTAGGTACACAGGGCGCAACCCATGCCGTACACCTCCCGGCGCCCCCGTACACTCGGCCCCTCCCTCCCGTCGCACCCCCTCCCTCCTCCCTCCCCCCCACACCTGCGTTGCCTCGCCCGCTCCTCCCGCTCCCGCTCCTGCCGCTCCATCTCCTCCCGCTCCACCCCCGTCAGCTCCCGGCAGCCCAGCGCCCGCCACTGCAGCTGCCGCAGCGCCGGACTCACCTCCACCAGGTGCAACTCCAGGGAGGAGGAGAAGGGGCGGAAGGCTGGGGGGGGGGGAGAAGGATAGCCAATGAGTTGGTTGGGGGAGGGGCGGGGAGGGAGGGAGGGGTGTGGGAGGGAAGGTGTCAGGGAGGGAGGGAGGGGGCAGGAGGTGAGGGGAAATAACAGTAGCGGGGCTGGCAGCAGTCCCGTTGTTTCCTTTCCTCCCCTTCCCTCAGCCACAAACAAGTACCCTCCCTACCTTTCCTCTCGCACCTCTGGCCCCGCCTCACCCGCACATCCCCGTGCTCCTCACCCCCTGAACCCACCCCCCTTCCCCCCCTTGATGCAACCCATGCAGCCCTACTTCCTACCTCACTCCCCCTCCGCCCCCCCCCTCCGGCCCTCCCCCGCCCCCCTCCCCGCCTCACCCCGTGTTCCCCGCAGCAGGTCCGCCATGAGAGTGCCCCGCCCCGGGCCCAGCTCCACCAGCTGCAGCCGCGCGGGCTGACCCAGCGACATCCAGGTGTGCACACACCAGATACCGATCAGCTGGCGGGGGGGAGGGAAGGGAAGGGAGGGGAAGGGAAGGGAGGGGAGGGAGGGATGGTTAAGAGGCAGGCAGGGAGGGAGGGAGGGTTACGAGGCAGGCAGGGAGGGAGGGAGGGTTAAGAGGCAGGCAGGGAGGGAGGCAGGGAGGGTTAAGAGGAAGAAACTGACGAGGGCTGTATGACACGGCTGCCCATACACATACGCCCTCACCCCCGCCCTCACCACTCAACCCCGCCCTGTTTAGCTCGCATTGCTTTAACCACCATTTCGGCTCGACTCACGGTTGATTCCACCAGGGATTGTCAGCAACTTGTATCATAATCACACCACACTTTGGAATCTTTTTTTCCCCGCCCTAACCCACACGCACCTCTCCGAACACCTGCGATATCTCGGGCGAGGTCACGAAGTCGCCCGCACTGCCGAACACGTCCCGCCCCATGTAGAATCCACCCTGGGGGCTGGTCAGGCAGTCCTTGGGGGGGGAGAGGAGGGGGAGAGGAGGGGAAGTGAGAGGAGGGGAGAGGAAGGGAGGAGAAGGTGGTCTGTAAGGCGTAGCGGGAGCGGGATGGTGTGAGGAGGGGGAATGGGCAGGTGGAGGAGGTTGCGGAAAGGAGGTAGAGCTGGGTGGTGGGTGGAGCTCTTGTGCGTCAGGAAAATAGGTATGAGGTTGGGGAGGATGAGGGCTGGAGGGCACACCAAGCTACGCGACCGTTGAGGGCGCGCGAGCTAGCGACGCAGTTTGTCCTTACCTGCATATACTCGGCCATCGATATGGGGCCACCACGAACCTGTGGGAATGTGTCCAGAGCTTGCGTCGCTTGCGATGCGAACATGCGACAGCTGCGGCAAACAACAGGCATTGCAAAATACCATACATCTCTACAGCACCGCTCCTACCAAAATCTTCGCTTTAATGTGATCAAGCAGCGCAGACGTCGCGGGCGCTGCGGCACCGCTGCTTAGGTGGCGGCATGTCGCCGGCAGGGCAGTTGACAAATCGCCTAATTGTCGACCAAGAACGCCACGAGTGACACCCCTAGCTATAAACCTATAAAATGCTTGTGCCGCTGGCTGGTGCGCCATCCTGAAGGTGTTGCTGAATGCTCCTTGTTATCTGCCTTCAAACAGGTCCGCCATTACTTCAACATCGTGTAAGGCTGTCTACGGGCGATAAGCTTTAGAATGAGATAATTAATAGAGGTATGAACGTTTCCTTTGTAAGCCTCGGTAGGACACAGCAGGATGAGCCGTGATCCGTGTTCGATGCAGGTTACGCCAATATGCATAGCATTAGACCATACCTAACTATGGCTTCTTTGCTCTCTGAAGGCGTCGGTATCTGTTCGTTCCGGCTACAGGGTCCCATGGGCCGCCCACACACTCCTCCAGCCTATTCCCCTCTTTCAGCAGGGGTTATCCTTCATGCATCATCATCCCGTCGCGGGACTACTGCGGGCTCCAAGGCACATGCCCATTACTTACATCTGGCATGATATTGTTGTTTGTTGTTCGGGTGTAGCGTCTGGTTTGAGTACAGCAACCCAGACAGAGATACACCGGTATTTGCAAGTGCCAGTCAGTCAAGAGCGTTGACTGTAACAGACTATAACAACAAAATTATTGAAACGGGTAAAATGTCGCCTCAATGTGCTGTTTAGATACGCATGCGAGCATACATTCTCTAACTCTCTCGGTCCTTCACCGGAATGTTCTTCCGGGCCTTGCCGGGGTGCAGCATTACCATGCGCCTTGGGCAGGCTGCACCCCGCTACTGCTACTGGATAGAAGACCCGCCACAAACATTTCCATACACCTTGCAAAGCAGCGGCAGCGGTTTCCAAAATCGGCACACGCCACCCTCCAAGCGGCCAACATATCGACCCACCAACCCAAACACAACTAGCCAAGAGTCCCCAATGCATCTCCCGTGCCCTCAGCCCTATCACTGCAAAGCAAGGTTCGACGTGAAACGCAACCCAACACACACGCACACACAGTAAAAACAAGCCAGACACACAGCTGATATTTGACAATTTTCGGCAATGCGCACTTTGAACACATGCGAGCAGCTGTAGCTGTGTGCAGCACACCGCAAAGCCAACCGGGACAAAGCCCGCTAAACCCGCTAAACACAACCGCCAAGCAACGCAAGGCCACGCACCATACCGGCATACGGGTGGGTGCTTTAACAGCTGGGCACATCATGAGAGGACTACCCTAGTAACAGGGTCAGCGTGTCGAGGTGTACACGGCACTAGGGGGACGCTAATCCGTCTACTTCACATCCCACCGCACGGCTATCGAGTCCTGCCGTACCTACAAGTGGCGTAGGGATGTTTTGCAGGGATGCCGTTCCCTCCCCCCTCCTGAGCCGCGTCTCCCCGCACAGCTGAAATCAGTTCCCTCCAGCCCCCGCCCGCACACCCCCTGTTGCGCAGCGCTTGCGACGCAACCCACAGTCACATGCACACGACCCCAACAATCATCAGGGAGGGGCTTCTACAGGGGCGGCAATCCGACTGGGCTAAGCAACATGAAAGGCCGCGAAAAGGCTATGATGAGAGGTCAACTGACAGCTAGGGCCCAAGGGACCGCACCAACAATCCGTGCAACCTGTTGCAACGCACAACGTTTCCGACGTGGGCGCCCAGACGCCTCACGTGCGCAATACAACGGCAGCAGTCCTTGGATGCTGTTCATGCAGTTCTGGTCTCACCAAAAGTTGCACCAACAGTTGCGCTCAAAGCGAGAGCGGCAAACGCGCAACGTATATCTGTACCAAGTACCATACTAGCTGCACCCTCTCCCCCCACACGCAGAGATACAGGCACGGCCATTCCTAATATATAAGACCGGCGGCATGTGGGGAAACAAGGAGTGGCCTGTACACATAGTACAAGGCGGGCCGGAACACAACGCAACCTGCCAAGGGAAGCTAACCGCAACCGCAACCGCCCGCAGTTCACACACATCACGGATGCACACACGAGTTGGTTAAAAAACACTCACACAGGAGCACAGGAACTCGCGGCCAGTTTTCTAACACCGGGACACACACACCACCCAACACGCCACCCACATCCAGCCTAACACGACCTGCCCCCGTATGCAGCTATACACGCGCCCTGCCCCAAGCGACGGCGCGCCGTGGACCAAACGGACCTTGGCCGGAGCCATTTCTTCGCACAACCCACCGCCCAACATCCTGTGACCCTCCCCCACTATCGGCGCAACCAGTCAGTGGCATGAAAGGGTGCCTGCGCTCAGCTGCCGCCCAGGGCCCCCGTGGGGGCCGCTCAGCGCCCCGTAGATACCTCCTCCGGGGACACCATTGCTGCTATGCCACCTTGCCCTCATTGGTTTGCGCTGCGCTGCCCTCCTCTCCCCACCGGACCTCGTCGACACCGCACAAGCAAGGCGCGTTATTCACCAAATGACACACACAACCCCAGCTGCTAGGTAGCGTGCTATCAAGCATGCTGGGGCACATTGGGAAGAATGACTGGATGGGATGCAAGCTCACGTCCGTTTAGGGCGGCGGCGACGAGGAGGAGACCGTATCCGCGCAACCATGAGATACAAACGTTGTTGCAGACCTGCAGTGCAGGCCGCATGCAGCATCCATTGCGTTGTTGATACCTGGACCTGCTCCTGTGTGGCAACCCCTTATAGCCGCTCTCTAAAAAATTAGAAGTCGTTACGGGGCTGCAAACGCCGCAACTAGTATATATAAACCAACAACAGTCGCATTTCTCCTTGCCTGACCCAACCCCCTCATAACCAAACTTCGTCAACGCGCAAAAACACTAGCACCCACTACCTTGGTGGGACCTTGGTGTCCCCTCTAGAGACATTGACAATCTTACTGCGGCACTGTAGCACGTTAAAAGCTTTACCACGTACGTTCTGACAAATTCAAAAATTAGCACATGATCTCCTCACCCGCACCCGCACGACCCACAAGTTAATAGGTTACATGTTACAGCAGCATGCAGGCCGCATGCAAGCACTGCTGGGGCCCCCAGCCCCAGCACCGCCACGTGCAGGCATGTGAAGGCAGCACACCCAAGGGCCCGGCAGACCCAGGGGCTCAGTCGCAGGACTGGAGCAGCTGGAACGTTTCCGCATCCAACAGGTTGTCCCTGCAGCAGGAGCGGTGGGCAACACGGTAGGAGGGGTCAAAAAGGGAGAGCCGGGAGCATGAAGCCGCTTTGCTAATTGCTGAGCCAACGGGCGCCAGCTATAATCCGCCAGCTCCCGATTCCGAAATATATAGCAAACGCAGTCAAGGAGCAGTATCCAGTAACATGTGTACCTTCAAGCGGCGCCTTCCCCGCGGCCAGATCATTGTGATTGGTGTACGCACGCACTAGTATGGCCACTACACCGACCCCAGCGCTCGCCTCCGAGCGCAGCCCCTTCAGCATGCACCAGCTCCGCTCCCACGCTCAAAACTCGCGCCAAACCTTACCTGTGGTGCTCATTGTTGCTCACGCCGTTGACCAGCTGCGTCAGGACCACCTTCCCGCTCCCGCCCATGCCATGGGGATGCGCGGCAGTGTCGTGTGCCTGGGCAAGCAGCAGCAAGGCGGCATAACGACACGTTATTAGCAGACGAACGGTAGCATAGAAGTGACTGTCAAGGCGGCAACCAAGCAGTGGCAGGGTAGGATACCCGCGCATGTACGCCGCCAACGTCCTGATCTTCTGTCCTGATCGGCAGAACGCCAGCTGACCTCCATTGTGCGCACCATGGCCCATCGTGTCCTTGGCTTACCAGGTAGGCTCCGACGCCCTGCCCATGCAGCTGCTCTCCAGGCGCCGCACCAGCTTCCCCGTTGCTCCCTGCCAGCCCTGCCACCCCACCCTCCTGCTGCGACTGCGGCTTCGGCTGCAGCTGCCCCGGCGCCTCCCGCTGCGCGCCTGCCAGCCCCCCGTTGCTGCTCCCCCCCACATCACCACTGCCAACAACACCAGCTGCACCCCCCGCAGCAGCAGCAGCTGCACTCAAACCTCGCCCTGCATGCTGCCCTGCGGCCGCGGTCCCATCCACCTGCTGCTGCCCCTGCCCCCCCTCCTCCCGCTCCTCATTATGCCACTTGTGCAGGTGGATGGTTGCCATGGTGGGCAGCTCATCAGGCACCCCGAACAGCAGCTGCATCAGGTCCCCGTCATCCGTGTGGTCGTACAGGAAGTCCTCTTCAAGCCCCGCTTCCAAACCCAGCCCCATGCCCATGGCGGAGCGGTTGCGATCCATGCGGTTCTGGCTCTGCGGACGTGGCAGCTTCTGCCCAAACTGCGCAAAGTTGAAGAGCATGCTGCCGCCGACGCCGGCACCACCTGCGTTGGCGGAGGACGCGGCGTGGAAGTCGTCTGGTAGCGGCGGCGGCGAGGGGATGCGGCCAAAATCGCGCGTGAACTCCTCGACGTCTGCGAAGATGCTGCCAAAGCTGTTCTGGCTAATCGTCCGCCTGGCAGCTGCTGGTGATGGTGGTGGTGGCGGAACAGCAGCAGCACCGGCGGCGGTGGATATGGAAGGAACGGCTGACACAGGGGCCACGCCCAAAGTGTCGCAGGCTCCTGCACCACTGGCGCCGACAGCAGGCCCTAACCCGCCGTCCGCCTGCACTGCATGCTGCTGAGCCGCGGGGTGGGTGCCAGCTGCTGGCTGATGGCCTTGCGGTTGCCCTTGCGGCAGCTGATGGGCTGTGGAGGCCGGGTGCGTGGTTTGCAGATGCGGGGCCAGAGCTGATGCGTTCAGGAGCGCAGCTGCCTGTTGGCTTGCCAGATGGTTTGCGAGCTGCGTGGGTTGCAAAAGCGACGAGTCGTGCGGCTGTGGGTGGCTGAACAGCATGGCGCTTACTTCGGGCAGGGGCGCCTGGGGAACCCCAGGCATCCCTGGGAGCGGCTGTAGGTGGCCGGGACCAGCCGGATGCAGTGTTAGCACTTGACCCTGGTCCGCCACAGCTGCTAGCCCATGCTGTGGGTAGCCGGGAAGACCGGGGAAAGCAGCAAGCTGCTGTGCGTATGCCGCTGCCGCAGCGCCGGTGAACGGCAAGTCCGTGGTGTATTGCGGGCGGCCGTGACCCGACTGCAGTGGCGCAACGAGACCATTGACGTGCCCAGGAAGCCATGCCCTGTGGTTGGGTTTGAGTAAGGTAATGGAGAGCGGAGGTTAGCTTTGCGAGGTTGCACCGCTAATAGTAAGGTGAGACGGAGCGCAGGTGCCCTGAGGGGCACCCTATGATTCCTCTGGACCTCCAGAAGAGCATTGTCGCGGCGAAGAGCAAGTACTCACGTTGCGGTGCCGTTGGGCGCGTACAAGATGCCAGGATGCATGTTGGGCGGCCAGTCCTGCTGTTCCTGCTTTATAGACTGCTGCAGAGCCAGGGGTTGCAAGGTCTGCGCTGCCAAGGCCTGTGCTGCGTCCTGCCATGAGGCTGCGATCGGTTCCGCATCCAAATCAGCGCTTTTGACGTGCTTTGCTGGTGGGTTGCTACTGGGCGCGTCGTCCGCAAGCTCCGCATCATTAGTCTGCCGGAAACGACGCAGAACAGTTGCTTGATATGCACCCCCAGGGTGTAGAAGTAATACCACCGGATACAAGCGTGATTGCAATTTGCAAAGAGCGGGCCTAGTAAGCACGGTAAAAGTAGCCATGAAGCCAACGGCCTAATTATACCGCACGGCGCACACAATTACGCCACCAGAAGACAGTCAAGGGTGTGTGCATGTAGGCTCACCGATCTCGACCGCTTGTTGAGCTGCCGTGCTGTTGTTTTGCTACCCGAGCACCCGACGCTGCAACGGCAAGTGAACCATAGAAGCAAGTAAGGACAACAAAAATAACATAAGCGTTAGCTGACTCTTTACTTCAACGAGGTATTCATAACACTGGAAGTCACTTACTGGTGCTTCCCTGGCTTCAGAGACTTGTTACATTTTGGGCAGTGCGTGAGCTCGGTGCCATGCCCCCGCTCCTTGCCGCTCCCACGGATGTCTGGTGGTGCCCGGAAGTGCACCTTAAGGCGCCAAAGCTCCGCGAAGCTCCGGTTGCAGCCAGGATAAGGGCAGTAAAAGCGCTCTGGGTCTTTCGCCCCGTCCTTGCCGCTGGCAGGCTGATTTTGTGGCGAACGGGTAGCTACATCGGGTTGAAGCGAATCTGTTGGCGCGTCAGGGTCCATTTTGGTGCCCGCCCCTTGGCTGCAAGAGAATTCCTAGGACGTGTTCGGCACAAGCATAGCAACCCTTCTGTATAAAGTCTCTTATGGCATTGAGTACCTACTTTTTCTTTGTTAGAGCTCGATCAAGAGTCATGCTTGCTATCCAAAAACGTAACGCAACATTACCCGTTCCGTACAGACAGGGTTCAGACTTCTGATGCCCTTTTGCGCTGCATGTAGTGTTCATATGCAACATGTTTACCAAAGGCTTAGCTTTATGTACAGGGCAGGGACATTCAAGTTGGCAGGTCCCACAGAGCGACTTTCCTTGCTGCATTTCCACAAAAGCCTGGAAGAGCTTGACCATATGCTAATGGGCACTCCCGAATTTGCGTCCATAGTATATGAGGCGTCGGTAGATGCTTCAGCTGCAGTATTGGTTGCATATCCCAGCCTCAAACACCCACATGGCACGCGCCAAACCATGCGGAGATGCTCCTACACTTTACGTGCCTTAGGAACCCTGCGAACAGCAACCCCCTAATTATGACTAGTGTTGCGCTCTCTTTTTTACACTTTGCTTCCAGACAGTGATAACAAGCACCAAGGCCGGATGCTAGTCAAGTGATGTCGGACACTGGCGGCCACGCGATTAGATGCCCTGAGTTCAGCCATCCTCGTGCACTCCTCGCTGGCAGCCTCGAAACACAGCGCTCGAAAATGAACCATAGCGGGATACCGTACTGCAGCCCAACACGGTGTTGATGTTGTCCATCCGAACCCCGGATTGCACGGAACCCCGGATTGCACATCCGAGGTGATAGCCCCGCTGCCCGCTGCCATCAGCCCATCACCAACCAATGTACTTCGCTGCCTGGTTTGCCAACATTGATTGCATCTTGCTCCTGGCCCCTACACTGCATGTTGTGAGCCTTGCAGTACAGCCTTTCGTTCCTGTTTGCTGCCCTGCCCTGCTCTGCCCCTCCCTGGCTAGGAGATCCTATTTCAGTTGCCTTGTGTGTTGGTGGTGGCTTTGGTGCTATAGGGTACCTGTTCTTGGGGCAATGCGCTAGGCCGCTAGCAGCCGTTGGAGGCTTATGCGAGGGCCTTGGCATGCATGGGTGTGGAATCCAAGATGCACGCTCTAGCAGGACACTGCCTTATGCCCGAACAAGCTATCTATGCATTGTTGCGAGGCCTGTAGCTGTACCTTTTGGCTGCACGTGCTACGGTTCTATTGGATGGGCAGCACACCGCGCGTCCGGACCGTTTCACATTGCGCCGTACCCAGTGCACTGCTCCCCACTGCGCAAGGTGCATGTGGATTGTCGTACCCGGCACCTATCCTTGCGGGCGTGTCGTTTGCTTCGTCGTATGGTTGGTCTAACTTGTTCGCACGAAGATGACTGTACCGACTATTCTGTAAAAACGTATAGGATTGATCTTTCAACTTGATGCCTTGGGCCTCATTATCAGTTACAAGGACAAACAAGCCTCGTTTCCCAGGATAGTAGAGCTAAACCTACAGCGCTTTACTGTTGTACAGCAAAGGTCAATGTAAAAGACAAAAAAACAGATAGCTGGGTCACTCGTCCAAAATTGGAGCCATGCAAGCTCACGTTCACCGACCTGCGCCTTGCGCCTTTGCTCCCAAACTAGTAGGGGCGCGCTCCAGTTTCCCGGCTGCAGCGCATACAACCTTTATTCAGCGCCAGGCCATTAGGCCCCCCCGTAGCGGAGCTCCTGCACGCCCAACCTGCTCCGCAGGTTTCCAACAACTCTGCCCCACTTCTCCGTTGCTCACCTCACGTGCACACCTCACCTTGCGCGCCACCTCCGCCTACTCCCCATCTGGCGATTGCAGCAACGCAACCATCACATCCCCAGCAGCACCACCCCCACCAATCATCACCAGCCGCCGCCCCCTACACATCTGCATCGTGGGTGCGGGCGTGGTGGGCCTCACCACAGCCCTCCGGCTCCTACAACTCAACCAGGATCCCCCCACACCACACGACACAGCCGCTGTTTCTTCCGCCCCTCCCCTTTCTTCCCGCCTCGGCTCCTCGCGTCCTCGCCCTCGCCGGGTGGAGATAACCGTCCTGGCATCCGACTTTGGTCGCGACACCACCACCGCCGGCGCCGCGGGTCTGTGGGGGCCCTACAAGCTGTCCGACACGCCTGAGGAGCTGGTGTGCCGCTGGGGGGGCGCCACCTACACCCACCTCATGGAGCTAGCGCACTCCCGGCAGGCGGATGCGGCGGGGGTGATGCCCTGCGCCGTGAACAGGTGCGGAGCAGGCAGCGGAGGCGGAGGAGCGGAGCAAGCAGGGAGGAGTGGGGGCATGGGTGTGGCGGAGGAAGGCCGCCGTGCCCTGTTTCTTGTCTCGTCCTGACATGCCCAGCACTGCGGCCTGCTTGCTACCGCGGTGCATGCCTCTGCGCCAACCCACCACCAATCATTACCGGTAAAAAAACTCACCCAACCACAGCCCTGCAGCTTCTAATCTCTGATTACTGGTATCATGTCTTCCGTTCCCCGACTCGCCTCCCCCCTGCCTCAACAGCTTCTTCTCCGAGGCCCAGCCGCTTCCCTTCTGGCGCCACATCCCCTTCAACTTCGCCACCATGGATCCCCGACACCTCGACTGCCTGGGCAGGGGCCGCACCGGCAGCAGCAGCAGCAGTGGCAGCGGCAGCAGCCCCCCCAGCGGCAGTGCTGCCCTGCATGCGGTGCTGTCCGATGTGGGTCGCTACCGAGAGGCTGACCCCCCGCCGCTGCCCTGCGGCTGGGGCTACCACTGGAGCTCGGTGGTGTGCGAGGGCGCCCGCTACCTGGCCTGGCTGGAGGAGCAGGTGCGGGGGGGCGGGTGGGGGCAGCAGGGGCGGGAAAAAAAGAAATTCCAATGTGTGGTGGGGGCAGCAGCCAGCAGGGACGGAGGGGGCAAGTGGGGATGGCACAGGGGTACCGGTATACTGATAATACACCCGGAGCGTGTACGGTATGTGCCTCCCCGGGGCGGTTGTAGCAACGGTCAATGTTGCATTGTAGTTGCTCAATTAAGCTCCCCCCCGCCCCCACCCCCATACCTTCCGCCGCTGCATGCACCCACCCACCCTCCTCCCGCATGCAAGCATTGCCAGTTCACACAGCTTTCATGGCTTTCCTCCTTTTCCCTCCCCCCCACCGGTTTCCTGTGGTTCGGTGTGGTCTTTGCCCCCCCCCCCCCACACACACTTCTTCTTCCGACATCCCAGTACGTTCCTACTTGCGGCCAGTTTTCTTAACACACACCGCCTTCAGGTGCGCTGCCTGGGTGGGCTGCTGCAGCGCCGCCACCTGAGCGGCCTCCCAGACCTCGCCGCCGCAGTAGCTGAACTAGGAGGGGGCGGCGGCGGCGGGCGGGGGCCGCAGGTGGACGCGGTGGTGAACGCGGCGGGTCTGGGGGCGCGGGAGCTGCTTGGGGACGAGCAGGTGACGCCCATCCGCGGGCAGGTGCTGCGGGTGCGGGCGCCCTGGGTCACGCAGGCCTACTTCTACGACCCCTACTACATCATACCCAACCGGTGCGGGGGGGGGAGGGGTGCGGGCAGGTGCAAGAGGGGGGGGGCCAGCTGCTGCGGTCAGGACCTGAGAGGGCGCGGGGAGGGCCGTGCGTTGGGCCCGGCGAGGCACGGAATGGACTGGTGGGCAGGGAGGGGCATGCAGCGGGCGGGGAGAAGCGGGCGGACGAGGAGCATGCGAGCGAGGAGGATAGCTTTGTGACCCTGACACCCGCCCCCCCCCCCCGCCCCCTACAGGGACTCGGTGGTGCTGGGCGGCACGGGCCAGGTGGGCGACTTCCGCACCGACCCCTGCCCCGCCGACCGCGCTCGCATCCTGGCCGGCTGCACCCGCCTGCTGCCCTCCCTGGCGGCCGCGCAGCCGCTGGCGGACTGGGTGGGGCTGCGGCCTGGGCGTAGTCGGCTGCGGCTGGAGGTGGAGCCGCGGGGACTGCTGCTGGGGGGAGGGCGGGAGGAGGGAAGAGGAGAAGGGTCGTGCGAGGAGGGAGGAGAGGGTGCAGGGTTGGGAGGAGGGAGGGGGAGGCGGGTGCCGCTGGTGCATAACTATGGGCATGGGGGCGCCGGGCTGACGCTGGCTTGGGGGTGTGCGGGGGATGTGGTGCGGTTGCTGAGGGAGGAGGTGGGACTGGAGATGTGAGGGTAGTGAGGGGGGGTGAGGGGAAGATAAGTAATCATGTGGGGTGAAGAGAAGGAAGTAGCCATGTGGGTAACGAGGAGAGAGCGGGAGGTGGGGCTGGGATTGTTGGGGCCGGGGAGGGGAAGAGGTGAGGATGTGGGAGGAAAGCAAGACGCTTGCTGAAGCCCAAACTCTGCAAGGCCGCGCGACCCTGAACTTACGGTGCGGGCTCACACCGTGCATAATCTTCACCTTGCTGCCGGCAGGGCGTTGGTGTAATGTGACAGTGAGAGCCCTACAAAGGCAAGATCATGCCGGCAACCCATAGACCCGCTACGGAAGTCCTGCTTGGATAGGGCATTTTGCGCCGATAACGCCTGCCTTACCGTGGCATGCATGTCACGGACTGTCGCACTTCCTAGCTGTCCGAGTATATACTCGAAAGTCACAGCTGCATACTTTGTTACTCGTAATATTGAAGACAGCTGTACTTCCAAGACTTCCATGACCTGAACGAGCTTGCCGTACCTTACAGGGACCAAACGGAGTTCACTACGTCAAGTTAACTGTAAGAGACTTGTATTGTGAATTTAAATACATACAACACGAGAGATGGCGGACGATTTTGCGTTAACGGGCGGCGCAGACGGCCTTGTAAGCGAAGCGTGCTTAGTGTTGAATAGGGCTTTTTGTGTCGCTTACTAACGCATTCCTTGTGCACGTTCGTAAATAGGATCTCGCAAGAGTCAAGCGGATCATGCAGCTGGAGGCGAGATGCATGACCGTGAACCCGGAGAGTACATTCTTGGTCACCAGAGCGGCGGCAAGTGATGCGTATGGGTAGCTTGGTAATCAACATGTAATAATGCCATTGCCGAGTGACAACCTATTTCCCGCTCTCAGGAGCTCTTCCTTGACGCTCTAACGGCGCGCAGCAGTATGTCATTAGCTGGGGGCCAGGAGCTCCAGTATGAACACGTTGGTGGGTCCTGTGGTCCTGCTTCAGGCTGCAATATCTCTGGAGGGGTTAGCCTATGGGGTCACTCACTCACGGGTATTCCTGCCTGGCGACTTGGTCAAACCTCAACCTCAAGGCCACAGTGAAACCACAAAATGCTCCGATCGTCACGCACGCTCAATGGCAACACGTTGTCAGTCAGCCCCATACGCAGTAGGCCCTACCCGGTCATCTAACCCCTAACCCGACCCCTTACTCCTAACCCTCCCGCACGCCCTCTTGTCCTGCAGCGCAAGCGGTCCAGGGCTGGCCCTCGGCAAACTTCCTTGCAGGTGCGGATCAGGGTATTGCATGCGGTTGCAACCGGACCTGCATGGGACAGGGCTGTCAGCTGGCCTGCTCGCCACATCTGTGCTGTGCGCCGCATCCGTTCTTTTCCTCTTATCACCTGTCTCGCTCCGTCCGTCCATCCTTGAGGGAGCCATGCGCCCATGTCTTGCGCACGTCAGGGTCCTTTGCACCCAAACGCGCATGCACTATGTACCGCGTGCGGTAATGCTGACCCTTGCTGCCTGTGACCTGCTTCTTGACCTGCTTCCCCACAGACATCGTCCCCAACAAGCATCTGGCGGGCCACCTGCGCGCCAACCCACACCTGCTGGAAGCCGGCCTGCAGCCGCAGGAGCCCCCGCGGCCCCAGCAGGCGTCCGCACCACCTGCAGCACACGCGCAGCAGCAGCAGCAGCCCCAGCCCCAGCTGCTCAAACAGCAGCAGCAGCAACAACAACAAGAGCACCTTCAGCAGCAACAACATCAACAACAATTACAGCAGCAGCAGCAACAACAACAACTGTTACAACAACAGCAGTTGCAGCATCAACAGCAGCTGCTACAGCAGCAGCAACTGCTTCAGGTGCAGCAATACCAACAGCTGCTTGCGCAGCAGCAGCAGCGGCAGCTACAGCTACAACAGCAGCAGCAGCAGGCGGCGGCGGTCGCACAAGATCCACAGCAGCAGCAAGCGGCCTTGCAGCTTCAGCAGCAGCAGCACTTGCAGTACCAGCAGCACCTGCAGCTGCTGCTCCTGCAGCAGCAGCAACAGCAGCAGCAGATGCTTATGGCCAGCCAGCAGGCCCTCATGGGCGGGGCAGCGGGCTTCCAGCAGATGAAGGCAGCTGAGAACGGAACGGGGTTGTGAGCGCCGTGGGGCGCAAGGTACCGTTAGCCGGTGCCGTGCGAGGTGGAGGTGTTGCTAGGGGTTTGGCGGCATCGCCATGGCCTCACAGCTGCTGTATGTGATGACAGCACTGCATGGGAAACTGAGAGTGTAGCGCGCGCAGCGGTATGTGGGCGGATAGTCGTTAGAGGGGTAAGAAGACCGATCTAGTCAAGTGGTCATTGACGTAAGCTGGTGGCGGCTGTGGAGGGTTGCATGAGCGCTCGCATGGGTTGTGAAGGTAGGGTGCGTGTGCTGGCAGCAGATTGGTGCTTGGTACAGAGGGCAGACGGCGCATGGAGGCTACGGGTGGCTGGTGATGAAGCCAGGTTGTGATGTAGGAATGGTCATCAACAGCAGCCACAGCGGCGCATTCGTCGCTTGTACTCTGAAGGGGGAGTTTACGGGTATCTTGCATGCGTTATGGTAGCATTGTGCGTTATAGTTTTGGTTGGACCGTTTGTATACGACATTGCGTATCCATTTAGTCGATTTACCGGAACGGATGAGCAAGGTATTATGGCCCGGGCCATGGGTACCACAGTCCTCGTGGCTCAGCTTGTGGGCTGGTGGGGATGATGAGCATTAGAATGGGGGGTGCACCGGCCGCATGAGCCCTTACTGTTGGCCCCCCCCAGGATGGGGGGGCACCATCCTTAGGGGGAGATAGAAGAGACAAGGGTGTGACGCTTGCTAGTACTTGTTATTGTCTGTCCTCTGGTATGTTTTGCGAGCATACTTCATTTTTATGCATGGGGCTTTTACCACTGTGGAAATGGAGGCGTCACGGTGACTGTGCCCACCGCGGAACAATTCCCGAACAGCACGGATAATGGATACGACGTCTCAACGAGCCTTGTGGAGTTCAACACCGGGGTAGCATCCTCGCGTTTACATGCAATGGGGCTTGGAAGGAATGCGTTGGAAAGTTGGAACACGTCAGGACACGTCACACATATGGTGCCGGCGCCCTCCCGAGTGTAAGGACAACAACTCGGACTCCCACAACTGGAGAAAAATGGCTGCTAACTAACAACCAACTAGACGCACCAAACAACCGAACGGAAAAACCTGCATGACAGGGAGGCCCCTTTGCTAGCCGATCCTCCAATCCACGTGTATCGCACTGGGCTCGGCCGCGTCCAATAGCGGATACGCCAAGATTAGTACTTCCTCAGTTTGGCTAGGCACTCAATCGCTAATCCCGAACTCCAGACCGTCAGTGTAGCCTGTTGACATATACGTCGAGACGACAAACAAATGCCTACCACCAGAAAACCTCATGAATACTTGCGAGCACGGCAGCTAATGTGCGCACGCCAGCCCGTAAAGAATATGAAGCAGCGCGACGTATGCAAAATCCTGTTCTGCACTGCATGCGAGCTGACTAACCAACCATTAAGCTATGCCGACGATGCACTCTACAAAACGGCGTGAGGCCAACGACACATGAAGGAGGGTGGAAGCCAACAGAATCACACAGACCAAATACCAGTCTAACACACAAGGAAAACCCAACCAACAACCAACAGTGCGTTCAGTGGACGTTGCATTCACCACAACATTTACCCCCATCTAGACACTCAACCACTACCACCGCCAACAACAACAATATCAACAGCAACATTTTCCAGCGAGCCTTCTCCGCGCCAACCACCTCTCTCAACCCCCGCTCTGGGACGTGCCCACGCTGCTAATGACGCTGCGATGGCCCGCCCAGCACATCCCACCATCCCCTCAGCACCACCAACCCCATCAGTGATCATCATACACGGCCGCATGCGCGCACACCACCGACAGCGTCGGCCGCCCCAGCTGCTGCGGTAGCCACACGCACGCCTCCCGACACACCGCCCGGCAGCAATCCACCCTCAGCTCCCGCAACCTCGGCAAACCCGCCGCCGCTGCCGCCACCCCCCGCGCAGTCACCAGCGGCAGCCTCGTGAGCTCCAGCCGCCGCAGCGACGCCACCCCGCCGCCAGCCGCCACAGCCCCCGCCTCCGCCGCCATGCAGCGACGCCCTCCCTCCATGACAGCCGCTGCCGCCAGCGCCGCCATGCTGCTTGAACGAGGAATCCCCACCGTCCCAGCGTGCCCGTTCGACTGTCCTCGTTCATTCGGCACGTCAATGCCACCGGTAGCGTCGACTGCTCCCGTCAATGGCGCCGCCACCACGGCTGCCTCCGCACATGCGTTGCAGGGCGGCACGGGAACACCCGTCGCAGCCACAGCTCCCAGCTGCGCAGCCGCCACCGCCGGCTCGCATGCCACGACCGGCAGCGGCGCTGCCATCCCCATGCCACCAACCCCGTACTCCTCCCTACCCTCGCAGCACCCCCACCCCGACCCCACACACCCGCCTGCTCCCAGCCGCCCCAGCCCCTCATCCGTTAGGTGGTCGGCCCCCTCCAGCGAGAGCTCCCGCAGCGCCGGCATGCGCGCCAGCAGCCGCCCCAGGGCCCCCGAGGTGAGGCCCGCGCACCCGGACAGGTGGCATGCGGTGAGGGAGGGCAGCGGCGCGCAGCGGCGGTAGTCGCGTTCCGGCAGGCCCTCGCAGCCGCCCAGACGCAACGATGAGAGGAGCGGAGGAAGAGAGGAGAGATGGGCTGAAGTGGGAGGAGGCGTCGCAGTGGCGAGGGTGACTGCTGGTGTTGTACAGGTGGCTATCGGCCCTGCAGGTGCCGCAAGGTGGTGTTGGATGCAGTTCTCGGCGCCAAGAGGCGTGCAGGTGGGGTTGCTGTTGGGGGCTTTGCTGCTGTCATCTGACTTGCATGCGCCCTTACCGCCGGCATCTGTGCAGCGGCGGCTGCAGCAAGCGGGGGTGCTCCTGCTGCTGCGGCTGCTACTACCGCCATCCCCGCTGGCGCTGCCATCGCCGCCCGCTCCGCCGCTACTGCCACTTTCGCCACTTTCGCCATCAATGCTATCGGCACCACCATCACTGCTGCTGCACCCGCTGCCGCCGCCGCTGCTGCTGCTGCGATCCCTGCAGGCCTCTCCAGTCAAATGGCGGTGAGGATGCACACCGTGCGGAACCACATGGTGGTGATGGTGGTGGTGGCAGTGGTGACGGGCGCGCTGCTCTCCAGTGGCCTGCACACCGCCATCATCCCCACACGTCCCGCCGACCTCCTCCCTCTCAACCCCACCGCCCTCCATCTGTCCCGCCATCACCACCTCCTCTTCGCCAGGCGGCAGCTCCCCTCCCGCCGCCACCCTCAGCGACGTAAGGCTCCCATGCCCCGCCACCGCCTGCCACACGCCCTCCCCCTCCTCCAGCGCCAGCGACCGCAGCCCCGGCAGCCACCTCACCAGCGGCAAGCACTCCTCATCCACGCCCTCCAGACTCAACCGCGTCACACTCCACAGCTGCGGAGGCAGCACCCCCTCCGCCCCCAGCTCCTCATCCTCCGCCTCATGTACGACAATCCTGGCGCCCTGCGCGGACAGGTATGACAGTGCCGTACATCCCGTCAGCCCCGCCAGCAGCTCCGCATCCAACACCAGCTCAAGGTGCAGCCGCCGCAGCGCCGCCAGGCCGCTGAGGGGCGCAAAGGCGAGGGCGGTGCGGTGGCCGGTGCCGTACAGCGAGAGGGACTGCAGTGCGGAGAGGGAGTTGAGGGCCGCAAAGGCGGTGCGGCTGATGGTGGCGTCCGAGAGCTCCAGGGAGCGCAGCTGGGGGCCGCAGGGGAAGCTGTGGCGACCCTGTGGAGGGGGATGGGGTACGGAGGGAGGGAGGGAGCGGGAGGTGTCCATGAGTCCTGTTTTACCAAGTACGGACGCACGAGATTCCGCCTTTACGCTAGCTTATCCATTCCCCGCCAGTCATTCCTCAGCCCTCACCTCCAGCCGCAGGTGGTCCACGCTGAGGGCCGCCAGCTGGCTGAGCCGCGTCAGGTGGTCCAGGCTGTCGCTGGTCAGCGCGTGCGTCAGCCCCCGCACGCTGAGCGCGCGCAGCCCCACGTGCGCCTCACACACCCGCCGCAGCTGCTGGGAGGAGATGGGGAAGCGCTGCAGGTGGAGCTCCACCAGGTCTGGAAACGCGGACTCGAGCTCCTGAAGGCACCGACCCAAATCGGAACATTCGCGATGTCGGCCGCGATAGCTGTGCTGACAGCGGATTTCAAGACGCTCCAGGCGCGGACAGGCCAGACGAAGCATTTGTAGAGCGGCAAGGAGACCATCTCGGCCGCTTAGGCGGACTGATCGGATGGAGTCATGGAGACAGGAGCCTTGCTGGCGCAGGGCTGCAAGCAGGCGGTAGCTGCAGTCTGCGTTGCGAGCGTTGAAGTCTAAAAAAGTGATCGGTGGCAGGCGTGCGAGGCTAGGAGGAGCAGTGCTGAGGAGTGCAGATGCGCGAAGGCTGCAGAGCCGGCCTGCGCTGGAGCACAGCGCACACAGGCGGTTGCAGGTCGCCCGTAGAGACTTAGTGTCGTCCTGAGGGAGCTGCGTGAATAGCTGGAGCAGGAAACGTTCCGGCAGGTCCACCAGCTGGATTGGTTGGGCCAAAGAAACGCCAAGTTCTTCCGAGCCTAGAGGGGCTTCGGGTAGCACACCGGCGCTGGTCGCAGCTTCTACAAAGGGCAGGCTGCTCATTTTGGAGCTTAATCTGTCGACTGGTAGCCCAGGAGCCGCCGAGGAAAAGCACGAGGGACGGCAAAAGCGAGTGTCGTGTGCCTAAGGCGCAATTTCAATTGCTTACAGGATCATTGCCTACTATAGAAAGAAAACGCCTAGCCGCCGGCGGCCAAATGCTACCGTTAGGCACAACGTTTGAATTGTTTGGAAACAACAGGGCCGAACACGCCTAAGCAACTTCTCATCTAAACGAGTAAATATTGACAAGTTACGAGTTATAAGCGTTGAAACGAAGGGAGCACAGACAGCCGTACAGTGCTCGACCACTAATCAGGCCTGTGCGTGGCATGCAGGTGCAAACCTGCACACCTTATTCCTGCGTATGTCTGTACTGTCTGCACATTAATAACCTTGGCTGGCAATGAGGCGGGCGCTTGGATGGCTGCTCCCTGGGCATGCAGCAGGCGGACCATTAGCCAGCTTTAGGTATGAAGTTAGGTATATCGATACGTGCTCTCTAGTAACGGCTCGCTGCGGGTTCTGTTGCAGCGGACAGCTGGTCCTGTCGTCACTCAACCATCAGCGACAGTACCGGCGGCTCTAGTAACACGCAGTCTTGTTTATTTAAGCCAAAGCTGTATACGTGCGCCTTTTGCTGCTTTAGGACACGGGCCCAAATCCTTACCTGTCATACTGCCCCTGTTCCATTCCTCCTCCCAGCTCCGGGGCCACGCCTGGATGGCTCCACCACGCCGCGGAGGCAATAGCCAACACCGCCTCAGCAGCATCGGGGGAAGCCCGCTGCTACTCAACCCGTGCAGGCAGCCTGTCCACCGCCGGACCTCCATCCCTTCCATCTACCTCGGGATGTGTGCCACCAGCCGCTTGCTCTGTCAACCCTGCAGTTGACCTAGGGTCTGGCTTGAGCTCCACATCAGCATCAAGCTCAATGCTCACTTCGCCTCCATTATACTCTCCATCATTGTCATCCGCATCCTCAACTGTTGCTTCCACAGCACCCATGGACGACTCCATCCTCCCATCCATCTCCTCCGCTGCCAGTACCACCACCACCGCCACCCAGCACCTAGACAACCCACTCTCCCACGACGTCATGGCTTCCACCCTCGACGCCTGTACGGCAGCCGAGTCTTCCCTCTTCATGTCACTCGTACAACAGATTGCCGGCACGTACGAATTCGTACACACCACCACGGGGCTTCCCTGGGCCGCCTCCATCCCGCTCACCACGCTAGCCCTGCGCCTGGCGCTGCTGCCGCTCTCCATGCGGCAGGCGCGCATCATCCGCACAAACTACTCCATCTACAAGGAGGCGCTGACGCTGACGGCGCAGCAGGAGCAGGAAGCTCGCGAGCGGGAGGAGCAGCTGAGGCTGGAGGAGCGGGCGGCGGCGTCCGTCTCCGCGGACTTCCGCCCCTCCACCTCGGCTTCCTCCTCCTCCTCCTCCTCCGCTGCTGCTGAGGCGGGCGTGTTCGGAGGCAGCAGCAACAGCAGTAGAAGCAGCAGCAGCATGGGGTTACATCAGTCCTACTCAACATCCTCCCAACCAGCAGCAGCAGCAGCAGCAGGGTTAGCAAGCACCCAGCAACAACAAGAAGCAGCTGACCCATCCCAACAGCAACAACAGCGCCACACAGCCCAACCCACCTCCTCCTCCGCCTCCTCCTCCTCCTCCTCGCCTCCCTCCGAGGAAGACCTGGCCGCCGCGGTGTACGCCAAGTGGCTCTACTCGCAGGCGGTGCTGGCCAACTTCGACATGCTGCGCCGCAAGTGCGACGCACCGCACTGGGTGTGGATTGTGGTGAACCCGCTGGTGCAGATCCCGGTGTTTGTGGGGGTCAGCGCGACACTGGGCATGATGTGCAGGTGAGCGGGGGTGGAGGGGGTGGGGGGGGGAGAGAAGGAGGATTCCCATTTTGTTGAGGAAGAATGCAAACCAGACGACAAGCTAGGAGGGGAGGAAAGGGAAAGGAGGAGATAGGGGGTGGTTCGGTGGTAGGTGAGGCGAAGAGCGGTTACCTACTACCGGTATTGGTGGCTGGTAACTGCCGTACCAACCAATCCGCGGGAAACCCAGCGTGGCCGGGTACGGTGGCTGCTGCTTGTAACGAGCCCGGCCCGTTCGTGTCACCCCGCATGCACTTGTTTACGCGGTGCATTCTCCTCTCCTCTCCTCCCCTCCTGTAAACCAGCCTATTGCGGAATGTATACCTCTGAATCCTCTGTAAATCCCCTCCGCAGGGCCAACTGGACGGGTCTGTCCTCCGAGGGAGTGCTGTGGTTCCCCGACCTCACCCTGCCCGCCTTCGTCATGGACAGCGGGGACATGCCGCTGGGGCTGGCGGGGTTCGCGCTGCCGCTGATCGTGTACGGCATGACCATGACGTCACTGCGACTGGCCTTCGGAGCCAGCGGCGTGGCGGCGCAGCGGGCGGCGGCGGTGGCGGGGCCGACGGTGCCGGGGGCGGCGGGGGGGCCGGAGGCTGAGACGCTTCTGAGTGGGTGTGGGGTGCAGGGCGGAGGGTGGAGGTTTGGGCGTGGGAAGGAATAGGGCGTAGGGCGTGGGGTATGCAGCGGGTCTGAGGGGCAGTGCTGATGGCGGGTCAGGCTGGATCGCAGCGGGTGGGGCGGTCGGCTGGGTCGGGGCGGTGGAGGGGGTGCCGTACGTTGTCCTGGCCGTGTGGGGCCACACGCATGCATGCAAGCCACCCGTCCTCCTCATGGCTCCTCACCTTGCCTGCACACGAGCTGCAACCAACCCCTCCCGCCGCACCCCAACTGCTCCCCTCCCTCCCTGTCCCCCTCCCCCCCCAGCCTCCTTCCTGCGCTCGCTGCCGCCGCTGCTGTACACCATGACCACCCTGAGCCTGTACTTCAAGGTGCAGATGGCGCACGGAGTGCTGGTGCACTGGCTGGGCAGCGCGGGGTTCACACTGTCGCTGCAGGTGGGGGGAGGGGGAGGCGGGGGGGGATGAGGGGTGGGATAGAGGGATAAGAGGGGAGGGAGGGAGGTAAAATGACGAGACTTCAGGAGGACGGGGGCCTGTGGTTTGTTGGGTGGAGGGAGGGCAGGCCTCCATCGCATCTCCTCGCCTCCGTGACCCCTGCGTCAATCATCTCAGACCACCTCCCCACCTCCTCAACCCCCACCTCCCGCCCCTCACCACCTTTTGCCCCCAGATGGCGCTGCGCAACCCGACCCTCCGCTCGCTGCTGAAGCTCAACCCGGGGGCCCGCTCGCCCGCCGGCACCACCCTGCGACCCGGACCCCTTGGACCCACCACCACCATCACCGACTCCCCCTCCTCCTCCTCCTCGGATGCCACCACTGCTGCTGCCGACGCGAGCGACAGGAGTGTGGACACCGCCTCCTCACCCCCCGCCCCCTCCTCCTCCTCCTCCTCCTCCCCCTCCGCGGGCCTCCCCCGCGACCTGGAGACCGTGGTGGCTGCGGAGACGGACCCCAACGTGCTGGTCATCATGGGGGCGCAGCTGTCGGCGCGACACGAGTGAGACGGGGGTTAGGAGGGGCGGGGATGGATGAGGAGGAGTGAGACGGGGGAGGGGCGGGGAGGGAGGGGGCTGGGCGGCTGGGGAGGGGAGGCTCAGGGAGAGGGGGGCCAGGAGGGAGAGGGGCCTGAGGAGGGTCAGGAAATCAGACAGGGTTTACGAGGCAACGAGCCTGTGAAGGAGCATTCCTTGGGGGAGGGGGGAAGGGAGGGAGGGCCAGGGAGGACATGTGAGGGGGCAATCGCCTTCGCGTATCTTTGGGCACGCTAGAGGTGAGTAGCGCCTGACCACATCCCGCACCCTCTTCCCGCTAGGGGGCACAGCGTTTCCCCTGCCCCCTCCATCCCACCCCGCCTCCCGCCCCCCCCTCCTCCCTCAGGTACACCCAAGCGCTGTACTGCCTGCGGAAGGCGGTGCTGCTGCGCCCCTCGCACGTGCGGGCGCACTACTCCATGGGGCAGGTCTACACGCTTATAGGTGGGGGGGTGGGGGTGGGGGGGGGAGGGTAGGGCAGGTGGGGTCAAAGACATACCCGACCATAGGAAACCACAGGTTCGGAAGACAGTGTGGAGGGGAGGGAGGGCAAGTGGGGCGGGATCATTAGCGGGCTGCTGCGAAGCTGGGGGCCGCCAGCCCTTCCCTGTAGGGTAGCTGCTGCGGCAGGGGGCGAGGTGCGTTGCAGCAGCGGTGGACAGCGCCCTCTAGGCGGGTGGGCGGTTGATGCGCGGACACCTCTCCCTCACCCTCCATCCTCCTACTGCATCCTGAGAATACCCCAACCCCATCCTGACTGTCCTAACCCCCACTCCCCCGCTCCAGGATGCTTCGAGGACGCGGAGCTCAGCTACCGCGCTGCTGCAGAGCTGTCGCCCGAGGGGACGGAGCGCGGGCAGGCGCTGTACTGCGCGGCTAGCGCACTGCACACCATGGTGGGGGTGGGGGTGGGCAGGAGAGGCGGTTTGGGTCGGGGTTGGATGAGGAGGAGGGAAGCGGGTCTAGCAGGTCCCCTTTGTAGATGAGTTCCTAAGTGCACCGAAAGCTTCACCATCCGATTGTACGGACTGCCGTACATACCTGTGCCGCTACCGTGCCTGCAGGGCAAGCTGGAGGAGGCGGCAGCGGTGTACGCGGAGGCTGACGCGCAGTGGCGGGGGCAGACGGTGATAGCGTACAGCCGGGCCAATGCGCTGGCGGCGGCGGGGCGGCGGCAGGAGGCGCTGGCGGCGCTGGAGGAGGCGGAGGCGCGGAACGAGGCGAGCCGGGAGCAGCCCTTCAAGGAGGCGTTGGCTAGGCTGAGGAAGCACCTGACTAGGACGGAGGGAGAGGGAGGGGAAGGGGCGGGAGAGGCGGGGAGCGGAGGGGAGGAGAAGAGAGGGTAAGGAGCGGGCGGGAGTGTGTATGAGGTGCGGATTGCGCATGGTGGTGGGTGGGCTTGGAGAGTCGCGATGCCGTGGTGGAAGGTGATAGGTGGCCGTGAGGGGCTGCTAGGCAGTGACTAAGGTCTTGCGGAGGTAGAATTAGTGTTGGCTGTGAATGGGTTTACCTGGCGCCTCTCGTGTGATACCTTTGGATGCCCCCCTGCACGTCGTGCACGGGACCAGCCTCTATCACCTCCGGCAACTGCAGACTGTTAATGCGCGAACCGGCTTTCGTTCACTGTTTGGGTTACGCATACGTGTAAGGACTTGGGATGGATGGCTCCTAAAAATCCTTATGACCGAAAGTGTTGCAGGATGGACAAAAGGGTTGGAACAAGTGTATCCTGTAACTCTTGGCTACCCCAACTCATGTTCTCTTGCGGCGTAGCTGAATCGGACAACCTCTCGCCGAAGTACGGCACCGATGGCTTAGATTCGCCAAGCGCCCTCACGCCTTGCAAACCAACATTCTTTATCTGCAAGTGACCTGTTCCCAACTGTGAACCTGGAAGCTACGTATCTTCCTTCTTAGCGCGGCCCATCCTACTCTTGCTGTTCACCCAACCACGCATAAGGGCGAACCTGTATTTTAATACTATTTAACCTTGCATAACTATAGATTTTGCAACTTTACGGTTTGGGTCAATTGCTGGCACTCTCACTTTGGAACAAGGCGCCCTATCTTTGTTGGGGATACAATAGGGACTATATTATCAACGTGAATACTTGTTCAATACATTAGGAGCCCCATATGGGGCACCGGAGCTTTCTGGCTCCCACCGCTGAAGCGTCGTGACATGCTCTATAGTTGTCCTGAGAACTGAGGAGATTGGAAGGCCGTGGTAGCACTATGCCGCTTTACGAGGAGTCCTCTCTGCCCAACGGGGGGCAAATGCTGCGGAGCGAGGCCTCAGCGCAAGCATCGAGCAACCCGTTTAACATCCCCGCCGATGAAGAGATATTCCGGTTTCGTGAGGAGGAGCGGGCACGTAAAGAGCAGCAGAAAATTGCAGCTCAGACGACGGGTGTTGCCGACAAGACGACATTCGCAGCCCAAATGCAGGCAACAGCCACGCCAGACGCGCGAACGCTGCTCCGGGAGCTGCGGCCGCCGAAAGGCCCAAAGCCCAGTACCACTTTGGCAGCGTCGAGCGTCGGAACGCTAGATCGGCGTAAGGAGAAGGAGAACATGTCCGACTTCATCGCCAAGAAGCGCGAGATCTTCTTGCTGCAAATGAGTTTGGACACAAAGCGCGCAGAGATTAAAAAACTAGAGGAGCGTGCACGACAGCGTGAGGAGGCACTAAAGAAGTCGGAGCAAATGCTTGAGGAGGACGCCTTGCGCTTCGACGCCTTCTTGAAGGAGAACGACGAGAAGGTGCAGGAGGCGATCAAGCGCGCCGAGACGGAGGCTAAGGCCAAGCAGGACAAGGTGCTGGAGATTAAGCGCCTCAACACTGCTACTGCCGCGCTGCGGTCAGAGCTCAACAAGTATGAGGAGCAGCTGGAGGACTGCCGGAGATATAAGGAGTTCCTGGACAGCATCACGCCCCCGGAGTGGTTTGAGCAGCAGGCGGCAAAGCTGCAGGTGTGTGTTGTTTAACTGTCGTTCTAGCTGGGTTTTAGCCAAGGACTGGGAAGGACACGTTGCTGCTGCTTTGTCATTCCACCCCGCTGGTACCAACCGCACAGGTCCGGGACAGGTGCCCCTGCCACACCCGCTGGCTTCTTTGTAAGCCTGCCCTTGACCTCTTACTCCCCCTACCCCACACGTTGCCACAAAACCTCCTGCTGACCCTTCCCTCTGCCTCCTGTTTCTCCCCAGCGGCGGAAAGACGCGCTGGTGGCCGAGTGGCAGGCGCAGTGTGACGCGCTGCGGCATCGGCGGGAGGCGGGCATGGCGGCCAAGCTGCAGGCGGAGTCGGACTACGCCAATGCGCGCACGCAGCAGCAGGCGGAGCGGGCGGAGCGAGCCATCAAGGACAGCCTAGCGTTCCTGAAGGTGGGGAGGTGGTGCGGGGGGCGGAGTAGAGGCGGGGCAGAGGCGGCTACGTATGGGCGTGGGGAAGGTTGTAAGGATTAAAGGGCATCTGGATGCTGTTGGGCTTATGAATGCCGCGGGTCCAACCAGGCTGTCCACGCGCGGCGAGAAGGGCAGCAGTCAGCCCAGGGTCAGCCTCAAACGTTTTATTTCCACGTCCACACTTTCCTGTGTACGCCCTCTATACCGTATAGGAGCTTGCCTACGCCGTATTACATCCCACCCTGCGCCGCTGTACCTCCAGCTGTTTACCCTCCCTGCCCCGGCTGCCCTGCTTCCCCTCCCACAGGACATCATGAAGGAGAAGGAGCCCCCGCCGCCCAACCTGGACTTCCAAATGGACCCCGACGAGGAGGAAATGTACTTCCAGGTACTGCACCGGTACTGGTACCGCAGTCGCACGCACTCGCACATGGGGCCTGTCTCCGCCTCCGCCTTCCTCTCTGCATGGGTGCCCCCTATAGTCGGCTGCGGTACCTGAATGGATGCACTGGGTGTGTTGGAACCTGCGGAAAGCCCGTCGTGGAACTCTCTGGTTCAGGATCGTACCATTGGCACCGGCACAGGAAAATCCTCTCATCGGACCCCACCCTCCGTCTTTTCTGGCTCCATGCCGTCCCATACCGCCTTCCTCCCCTCCCCTGCCCACCCACCCACCCCCATGCTGTCCTCCTGCTGCACCCCACCCTGCTGCTCCTATCCCCATTGCCTTGCCCCAACCGGTGCTTTCCTGTGGTTTGGTATGGTCTTTGACCCCCAGGAGCCCAGCCAGCTGCTGGCGGTGTACAAGCAGCTGGAGGAGTCCAACCTCTTCTACATCCAGAACGCGCAGGTGGGGTGGGGAAAAGGGAGAGGATGCGGTGGAGGGAGGGTGGCTGAATGGGATCGTGCAGAGGTGTATCCGCATGCCTGGAAGCCGGGCGCCGTGACGTCACAATGTGCCGCACCGCACCGCACGCGACTAGAAACAGGCGGTTTCAGGTGCCGCTCTTGCACTGAGCATGTGTATGGCCGTAGTGTCCTGGTCTGCCAGAAGCGTTGCACGTGCGATATGCGCAGCTCATCATGTTGCATGCCATCACTCAACCGGCCCCGCCGCTGCAGGAGACTGAGGAGGCGCTGGAGGAGCTGCGTCAGAAGCTGCGGGACACGCGGGCGCGCATGGACGCAGAGGCGTTAGGGCTGCAGGGGCAGGTGGGGGGGGGCGGCGGGCTAGGAATGGGCCGGAAAACGCTACATGGAGGGTTTGTCAGGGCTCGAGGATTGCGAGTGATCGGAGCAAACACTTTTGCCGGTAGGTCAAGAGGACCGTGTAGCGGTTGAAGGTGAGGGTACCGGGAGGACACGACTCAGTGCGGAAGGCAGTGCGGTGCGTAACCCGTAACCCCCGGCCAATCACACTCCCTCACCGCATGGTATTCTCCGCCTCCCCGCCCCTGCCTCGCCCTGCCCTCGCCCTGCCCTCTCCCTACCCGTCCCCTACCGTCCTTCTGCCTCCGCAGGTATCCGCGCTGCAAGCTGCCATCGTGGCTGCCCGCGAGAAGGCTCGGCGGCTGAAGGACCGCACGCTGGAGAACGAGGGTGCCTTCACACTCAGCATGGGCAACACCACGGGCGCGGGCAACAGCAATGCCGGGCCGCCGGGCGGGGGCAGCAGCAACGCGGCCGCCGGGCCCGTGAACCTGAAGCAGCTGGGGGACAAGGTCCGGGAGGTGTACGTGCGGTGCGGGTTTGATGCGGATGCGTCCATCAGCACGTTGCAGGTGAGGGAGGGAGGGGGGTGGGTGGGAAGGGAAGAAAAGGGAAGGGATGAGACGAGGAAGGTTAAGGGTAAGGGGCACGGCCATGGCCTCTTCCCCACCCCTTCCCTTGTTGCTGTGCTGGGGTGCTACTAGCCCCCTCTCCTTCAACATGCTCCCTCGTCCAAGTCATTCCGCTTCCCCCCATGCCTCCCTCCCCGCCCCCTCCAGATGCTCACCAACATCGAGATGAAGCTGGAGGAGTACCTGGCGTCGGTGGAGGCCATGCCCGGGGAGTACGTGGACAATGCGGAGAAGGCGCGGGAGAAGGAGCGGAGAAAGGTGGGACGACAGGGAGCAGACATGGGTGGGGAGGAGGAAGGAAGGAAGGCGGGGATGGGGAGGGGCGGGGACGGGGGTGCAATCCTGGGAGGCGTGAGCGAGTGAGCTTCAGCTGGGTGTTCAGCTGGGTGGAGTGAGCTTCCGCGGTGCAGCGGTGCGTTGGGAGTGAGGACCGGGCGGAGGATTCCTTGCTACCGGCTCGACGGCAGGAAGGCGACCCAACGCGGCTCTCCTGTCCTTGTCTCCACCATGCCTGAACCGCATACGCCAATGTCCTGCACGTCACATCGCCGCGTGTCATCTGAAGCCCCTCTCAACCCCTTAGCTACACGCTCTCCCTAACATGCATTTTCCCTCTCCCTCCTTCCCCTTGCGGAATATGTATCCTTATCAATCCCCTTGCTCCCTTTTCCCTTCCTCACCTTCCCAGGTTGCCCGCGACGAGAAGCTATCCGCGCAGCACCGCGAACACGAGGCGCGCATGGCCCGGGCGCTGGAGCGCGCCGCCGCACCCGTGTTCAAGAAGAGCGGCAAGCCGCTGATGTTCCGCTCCGCGCCGCCGCAGCGCAAGAAGGTGGTGCAGGCGGACGACCGGAATGATGAGGAGGCGGAGCTGGAGGCGTACCTGGCGCAGGACATGATATGATGTGATGCGCGGGGTGCTGCTGCTGCGCGGGGCTGCGGGTCTGAGGTTGTGAGCTGGGCATTTAATGGGTTGGTGCCTGATGGGGTAGGAGGCGGAAAGGACCTGCAGGAGGAATGTCGAGCGCAGGATAGGATTAGGGAGGTCCGGCAAGCAGCAACCCTTGTCATTCGGTAGGGTGTCTTGTTGTCACCTCCTGCGCTGTCGATAGCTTGCTGGCCACGGTATCGGCGGTGACACAGGAGTGAAGGTCGGCGCTTGCGTTTGTGGTCTGGGAGCACGAACCTGTATACATAGCAGACCGAACTGGTTGCGACCTTGCGAGCCTCATCACGCCTGCATCTGCCTTGGCGATGTCCTGCAACTGCATCGCCCCCCGTGTTCGTAACCGTAGTTCCGCACGGTCAAACGTAAAATGCGATATGTACTGTCGGCAGCTGAGAGGATGCTGCCCATCACATGTGGACTGAATGCTGTGGCGGGTGGCGTGTCACACGATTCCTCTGTAACTTACGTACGGGCAGAGTTGTTAGGTTACCCTATTGGTTGGCGATCCGAGCCGCAGTGCCGAAGCCGCATGCAGAGATGAGGAGGACGCTGTTCCAGGCTTCCAAAGGTTGCATTAAGTTTGCATGAAACTGGTATACCGGTAGTTCTTCCTTGGATGTTGCTTCGTTACAAGCTGTGCTATCGCTACTGCCCTACATCGCCTAGTACCTTACATAGTAGTTTACGGTGGTCGAAATGTGTGCTCAACAACGTTTAGAGAATACTGGCGCCGTTCAGGAACATTTGTCTCGCTATAAAGAAGTGCATTTGCTTTTGGGATTTGGCAGCAGAGCGCTTTATGAAAGTATAGAGGATGTGTTTAACGGATTAGGAAAGGACGGAATCTTGCAAGGAGGCTTGCGAAACATCCTCGATGTAGTGGACAAGCGCACATGCGGCGAGGTATGCGAGAACTTCTAGCCTCAGAATCATATGGGGCGTAATGGAATAGCTTATTCGCTCTACCGCCGTTGCTCTTTGCCATCCAGCACGACCACGTCGTGCCCTCTCAGCCCCCCCATCACATCCGAACTAGACGCCACTACTAACCATCCACCACCCAAAACCTGCTCCTTGCTCTCGGTACACAACCTCCTCAACCCACCACCCAAGTGGCTGCTGCTGTACGGCGGAGACCCCGCCAGCGAGCATGCCCCTGATGTGGGTCTGCTTGCCAAGCGAGTAAAGCAGGCGTACGGCTGCGACGTGCTGGCTCCCGTAATTCGCTGCGGTAATGAGACAGTACCGCCCCCGTCGCACATCACCCACTATTACATGTAAGCTGAGATGGACTGGAGGCACCACTGCGGTTTATTGCGGTATCAGGAGAGTGGAGGCGCACTCCTCGCCGCCCCTCTTTCCCCACTAAACGTTGAACGCATGTCCTGGTTCTGCCCCTCGCCCATCCCTCCTTCCCTGCCTGCCTCATCTCCTCCCGCTGCGGCAGCATGGAACCCCAGTACGAGGACGACCCGCCCCCGCCACTGCCGCCTCTTAGTGCACCGGCCAACAACGCATCCATCGCTGCTCCCACCACCGCCGCTGTCACAGCTGCCACCACAGCGGCTGTCACCTCCGCCGGCGGCTCGGCGGCTGCAGCCGCCATGACACCGAGCCCAGGCGCAGTTGGCGAGGGGGTGAGCGGCTCCCGCAGCGGAAGCGGCGGCGGCAGCCGCTCCGTACTCGGATCGCGCACGGCATGCGAAGTGGAGGGGGCCGAGAACGAGGGGGCATCAGAGAACGTCCGAACAGCCGAATGTCTGGGCAGCTGGGGCAACGGCCTCGGTTCCCCTGACACGTATGCAAGTGTTCATCAAGGCAACGGAGCACCATCATGGCACTTGGCGCATGAAAGGGCTTTCGAGGCGACGGAGGAGGCGACAGGTAACAGCAGCGCAGCCGCGGCTGATGTCGATGCCGATGCGAGTTGTGCTTCCGGGGACGAGGCGGCGGTCGCTGCGGCGCGTGATGTCAGACCTACAGGAGTTGCTGTCAGCGGCAGCGGTGAGGATGGAGGTGTCGACGCCGCTGCGACCTCACGGCTGGATGCCCCTGGTGCTGCTGGTGCTGCTGTCGGCGGCGATCCAGCAGCAGTGTCGGCAGGGGCAGGCAACGGCGGTGGGGGCAGCGTTGGTGGGCGGAGATCTATCTTGTGGGGTGGGGTGCGAGGCGATCCGCCGCGACCCGTGGGAGCTAGCGCCTTCTACCTGCAGGAATATATGTTTGGAAGGGTGTGGGAGGGCAGGTGGGGGTATTGGTATGGGGGGAAGGGTTCGGGCAGGTTCACACACAGCAGTGCACGGCTGCGGGCTGTGAAGATGAGAGGAACGGGGAGGTGCTAGCGCATTCTGTGCGTTTGGGCGCTACCTTTGGGATACTGTTGGCTGTGCAGTGTTGCCACCGTCCTTCCACCTCTTGACGCAAACCAGCCTTCTCCCGTGCAGCGCTTGTAAACTTTGATTGTATCACAGCACTGTCCATCGTTGCATTCACCTGCCCCAGTAATACGTCACATGCCATGCACATGTTTCCTGCCTGCGCTGCACCGCAGGCCTCCTCGGCGGCTAACGAGTGTGATCGCGGCGGGGGGTGGCGACATAGCCTTGCAGGTGCGTGCAGTGAGGGGACCCAACTGGCCTGTCCAATCCAGCCAGCGACCCACGGGTCGGGCAGGGCTCCTGCAGCACCATTACGGCCTCTGCTCAATAGCGCCACCAGTGCGACATGTCGTATACAATGCTGGGTGTACGGACCCGCGGGCGAACCTCTGCTGGGTCACGGAGCATATACCACTACATTATGGCTGTGCCTAAGAACGATGGACCCCCCCCCATCACCCCTGTCCTGGGTGGCTGCAGGAGCTGCAGTACGCGCACAGCCGGGGCATCCCCTACACCTACGTGCCATGCAGGTGAGTGCATGCAGGGGGCTGCAGCGCCCCACGGCGCACTACAGGTTTGGGGGTTAGCACCCTTACCAGGTGGGGGCCTTGTGTCAAAGGCTTTGCTGTCCGGTCAACCCAGTCAACGCAGCCGCCACCAGCAGCAGTAAACGAGCACAACCATGCACTGAAAAGGCCGGGAAGGTTGGGGTTAGGGGCGGAAAGGATGGCCGCTGAGGTGTGCGGAGTTTCGGGTGGCCCTGGGTTGGGAGAGAGCCTCCCTGCCTTCCTGCTTCCTGCCTTGCCATCCTCCGCACTGTGCGTTGGGTACAGAGCTTACTACCACCGTAATATGCTGCTGTCAGCTCCGCTTGCCGACTGGTATCGCCTGCTATGATTTTCGCGCAGGGCCCGCAACAGGCAGGTTTACGGCGAGGCTGAGGACGATGCTTTTGGACCCGTGCACGCGTGGGACCGGAGTCATAAAGCGTCGTTAAGGAATGGTGCAGGGAGAGGGAAGTGTCCTTGTGCGCTTCTGGAAGTGGGTCAGGAAGGAGCATGCCCGGATGTGAATCCTTGTGGAACGGAATGCGCTACCGCTTCCGTTGTTGCGAGTTAACATATGCAGCGGGGAGCGACCCGCAAGCCGTTTATGTTGTCGACAAACGTGATCTCCTCATCAGCGCCGAGTGTGTGGTGCGTGGATGACTAAACATGTGATGGCTTCTGAAGTCCTTATTGCGGACCTAACGAAGCAGGACGATAAGGAAGAAGCCTGCTTTTGGAGCGAACAAGACTCGCAACCAAGCTAGAACCTGCGCGAGACGAAGGCATTACGAAGCCCTTGAAAAAAAACTACGATTGTTTAGAAAGTTGTGTTTCATGCTGCCTCCTCCTCGCTGCGTCAGAGTTATTGAGTATGACTGCCAACTAAAGGTCACATGCTCTTTGACTGGCGCTTGCAGAGCTTAGCACCTCACCCACAGTAGGCGTGTTAAAGGCTAGCCACGTAAACGTCAGGAACCGTATGAACCAAGGGTCTTGGTTCATATATTGCCTGCACGGCAAATTTTGCGGTGGTTGTGTTGGAGAGATTCAGGGGGCGGAGTCATCGCCGCCAAGACAGGTGGCCTCATCTGTCCCTCCCAGTTAAGGACACCCCGTTCTCCACCATACATCTTCATCACAATTTTGTACTTGAACTCAGTCGTAAGACGTGTACTCAATGACCTTTTCAGAGCGAAAAGCACGTAACGTGGCCCCAACTACTCACCAGCGCTCCTTCAATTTCCCAGCGGAGTTCTCTTGGCACAAGCAGCTTAAGAACCGCCTCCATTTGTAGCCATATACTCACAAATGGTGACATCAAAGCTGTTCTGGGCCCGAACCAGCCGCATTTCGGAACCTATACGCGTGTAATTTTGCGACAGCCTTGGACTGCGTACGGTATAGGCTTCGAGGTTGAAGGCATTAAAACTTACTGCAGGCCAGCCTGCCATTTCCACCAGCGTATCGGGGGGTCCATTGCGCCGCAGCGCAAGCGGCGTTCGCGACCCGTGGGTCACACAGCGCGATAACAGCAGCCAGTCGCAACAGCAGAGTGTTATACTTAGCTTAGGTTATCACGATTGTTAAAAAATATTTCGCAAATGGCATACAGCCAGACCTTACCATTTTCTGGTGCTGAAGGCTATCACGTCACCGGTAGTAACGGCGATACTGGTGGCGGCGGCGATGGTGGTGGTGGCGGCGGCCTCGAGTCTGGGGTTCCCCCCGCGCACAGCTTCTCCCCACCGCAGCTTCTGCACCTACATCAGCAGCAGCAGCAGCAGTGCAGGCAGCATCCTCACCTGCAGCCCGCTGCAGAACCTTCCGGGCCGTTTCCAGCCTCCGATACCTCACTAACCCAAGCCCTGACAACGCCGCCGCAGCTACGACACCAGCCACACCCAAATCAGCAACCAAAGAGCCGTGACGCGCACCACGACTCCACTCAACTCGGCTCCTACTTGCAGCCGCAGCCGCCGCCAGCAGCGGCAGCACCGCCGGGCCACTTTGAGGAGCTCTTCCAACCAGACGATCCGCTGGTGACGCCGCACGCGAAGGGCCATGTGCCGTCGGCAACCGAGCCGCCCACTCCCGCGCAACCCCGACCTAACCTGCAGACCCTCCCGCTCTCCATGCCGACAGGGCAGCAGCACCTCTACCACCCGCAACCGCACACTGCGCACCCGCTGATGCCCCTCAACTCGCCCACCTTCATGGCTCCTTCGGCCGTCAGCGGCAGCGCCGCCGCCGCCGCTGCAGCGGAAGCGCATCATGGTGAGCAGCAGTACGATGTGTTGTACGGCAGCGCATTCGGCCATGACGGCTTTAGCGGCGGCGGAGGCGGCGCCGCCGCCGCCGGTGACGGCGGTGGCGCATCTGTGGGCGAACAGTTTCCATACCTCCAGGCCCACCACCTGCAGCTGCTGGCGTCCATGGCGCCTTCCATGGAGGACTTCACGCCGCTTGCGCCGCCGCCGCCGCCTCCGCCGCCACTACCGTCAACGGAAGCAGCGCCGCCGCCAGCAGCATATCTGTCGCATGCAG